CAACTTAAGCGTTCTTCCAGAATCAAATTATTTTCCAATTAATTACAGATTTGAGTAGAATTTGGATATATTTGTGGCGGAAGCAAGCAGCAATCTGACATGGAGGTTATGAAAAAAAGGGTCTTTTAACCGAAAGCCTGAAAAAGGAGAGGTTCCTTGACAGGTGATCGTCTGGCTGTCTTGTAATTTTATTTAAGTTTAAACTCACATGCACACGTACGTGAGACGGTGCGTTGTCGCCCCTCCTCCCTCCCCCCAAATTCTCCCTTGATATTGTAGATTAATACTTATGGCAGACGTATAAAAATAATACCAAATTCTTCATTTTCAGATCGAATAAAGAATTTTAAGAATAACAAAATTTAAATCTTCACATTTTCTAGTTATATTATTCTTCGTTTAAAAAACCTGTCAAACACAGTATACTTGAGCATAGAAACAAGAGAACAAAAGAAAATTGAAAAGAAAAAAGAACAGTTCTTACTTTGGAGGCGTAGAGGTTGGTTTTTCAGTAAAATTCAATGAATTATTAAATGTGTTTAATACCGGCAAATTTTGGTCTTCGTTCAAAATTAAATTACCAAGAGACGATATATATATATATATATATATATATATATATATAAAGAGGGAGAGGAGGAGATTTAGGAGAGAGGACGAGAGGGAGCAAGAACGAGGAGGGGGGGCTGAAATAACCTACAGTAAACAGACCTTGCACCAGTAGGCAGAGCTTAGGAAGATGCTTACTTTTTCATCAAAAAATTTTTTTACATGTATCAGGGTAGAAAAACGGAGAAGTATCTAACAAAGTTACTTATCACACAATTTTAAAGTATTTAGTCTCATACAAAATACCATGTAATAGGCATCACCTAGTATTTAAGATACAAGTATGCACCCTTCACTCCCACCCCCCCAAAAAAAAACGTACTACATTTTTTAAACAATAGGACTATTTGACATCTATCTATTTTTCGTTTTCTAACTCTTTGAATTAATCTATTATGTATTCTATTATGTATTCATTTTATTTCATTTTATTGGTCTATTTATTTATCATTACGTTTTTGTACGTGTCATGTATAACTGTGGCGAAAATAATAAGGTGATTATTCTGATTATTTCCATGCCAAAATATCCAGATGCGGTGGCGCAGGAATAACCACTCATTCTGTATATAACTCTGCTTCTTCTTGCTAATCATATACCCAAGCTTTGCAAACCTCACAAAATAGTACCTCCCATGACGCAAGAAGATTACACGAACCTAACAAATGTTTATTGACCGGGCTAAAAACTCGAATACATTACATGATGCAGGTCAAAGATTTCCTCTCTAAAACTCTGAAAAAAAACTCCAGTCTTATTTTCAGAATTCGATTTGATTATTCAAAATGAGTAGTTTTAATTGATGGTATAAGAAAACATTAAAATATTCTTGAACATAGGTAATGTGTTGGTTTGGTTGGTGTTTAGGAAAGATGCTTAACCTACCGTTTCGAAATAACATATCTCCGGGGATGACGCTGTATTGATCTCTCTGTAACGTTAGTTGCATTGAAAGTACAGAAGAAGCCGTGAAACGGCAAAAGCTATTCGATTTCGCATTACTCTTCTATTCAAATACCCTTCTTTATGGCGTTTTCATTATTGCTTTAAGAAGAGTCATATAAGTTGCGCAACTAATGACAGAGATGGAAGTTGAATACATTGCGCCTTTGTTGAATGTCGGGCATATATGATTTCAATGCAAAGGTAAATGCAGAGGGTACCGTGAAAAAAACGTTTTTGATGAGGTATATTTTTGTCCATTTATTACCCGTCACTGGTTAATTCTACTACTTTTATTTTCAAGATTATTTTCTTTTTGCATTCATCAATTTTACGCAGGCGATACTCGGGTTCAGAAAATATTTGTAAAATGCAGTTCACAAAATACCGTGAAACTCGCGACAGAGACAGTTTTTTAAATCAAGTGTTTTGTGGTGTGATTTTCTATTATTCAGTTTTCTAACTTGGTTACGTTAAAATTTCCACTCTTAATCCCTAGTATGACTATTTGTAAAGTAATAATCAAATTGTGGACACAGCAAAACAGTCATTTTTAACCGCTGAGATGGACTTTTAAGGGAAGGAAAAATTATATTAAAGGATGAAATATTAATTGCAATAATATAACTTCAAAAATCTAGTGAAATGTTGGCACAATAGTTGTAGAAATTTTTAAACAAAAATGTAAAAATGGTAAAGAAGGTCAACATATTTTTCAATTTGAAATATTTGTCCGTAAATATCATAACCGCTTTCAATCTGACATTGAGCAAAACCACTTATAAAATAAATCAAAATCTTGAAATATTAAAGCAGATCTGTGTAATTAATGTAAAGAATTGTTTTTTGATAGAAAACAATAACGACCTTCATCCTGCTGAAGACGTTGGCCTTTTTAGGGGGGTAGGGGAGTTATTTGAATCGTATAACTCTTTTTGTGGCAAACAATCTGTATTATCCTAAATGAAATTCTAAAATATCCAGAAACGGATAACTTCTTTTCATAAGAAATTATCTAACAAAACTAAAGTAAGCGTGCAAGTAACACCTCGATTTAACTCATGATAACAACAAAAATCTAGAAAATATCAAAGAATTCATCACTACACACACTTAAAAAAACACGTCTCATTTTATTTGGCATTATTACGAGAAATGTCATATCAATTATTTGTAAATTTTCAACAAGGCAACTAAAGATTCATAATTTGAAAAGTCACAATTGTCTTAATTTCATCGATAATACAACTGAAATTCATCACTTTAATTTATTTCTGCCACAGTAAATATACAGCCAGATATTTTAATATCTTAAATAAAAGATGAGGGCTGAAGAAAACTACGTAAAATGCATAAATATTGGACTGCCGTCATGTTGACAGGGAAGATTCAATTAAAATGCTAGTACACATAATTGTAAATAAACCTAAAGACTTGGCATGTTATTTAAAGAACAGTTTTAGTCTAAGGCAGACAGTTCTATTTAGGGCTCAGGAGTTGACTATACCATGAATTATAGTGTTTGTTTAGTCATATATTTCAACCTTAATATATATATATTTTTTTCTTTGTTTCTGATATATGTACAAAGCACGGTGACTTGTAGGCCCATGAGGCCGGGTGATGTATTCATATCATATGTCACATTAATAAATAAATACTATACTATACTATTTTATGTGGATTGTGACATACAATCTTTCCACAATTTATGTGATGTAATGAAAAGTTACTGGCAATGAACTGATGCCAATGGGCCTAAATTACAATATTTCGTAATTAGACGCAGCATCTTATTGTAATGTACCGCTCAAGGAACAGACTCTCATTAGAGCACAAAAACGACTATTTAACGGAACCATCTCTTAGTTTTTCTTTTTCTTTCTCTCTTTTTTTTCAAACAAAGCACATTTGAGTGTGTTAAATCGTTAGCAAGATTTGGGAAATCATTCTCTTATTCTGTCAGTCATATTTTACACTCTCCTGTCAGTCATATTTTGCACTCTCCTGTCAGTCATATTTTGCACTCTCCTGTCAGTCATATTTTGCACTCTCCTGTCAGTCATATTTTGCACTCTCCTGTCAGTCATATTTTGGACTCTCTTGTCAGTCATATTTTGCATTATCGTGTCTTTAAAAAATTTGGTGTTATAAAAAACACACAACACGCGTGGTATTGGTCTAAATGTCGTTTACAAACCGGCTTTCACTTAACCAACGTTAACTAAAAGCCTTATTAGCCTGCATGTCTTTTTTCGTTGTTTAAGAGAAAGGAACTTTGTTCTTTTGTTACAAACTCTAATCTTTAAACTTTACGTTATGTATAAAACTAGACGAAAAAGCGATTTAATAAAATTATTAGCACAACATAAACAATTTTCATCATCAATTTAAGTCAGTAAATACATTTTGAGAACAATTAAACAATAAAATCGAATAGTCTGTATAGAAATATTTTCAGCTGGTCACTCGTACACGCACAAGCACAGTAAAAGGGGTTCAATAGTAAACATACCAAAATTTTTAAATCATGCTATCATTATATTATATATTATATTTCTTTATTCATACTCTTTATATCAAACTGAGCTGTTGAAATTGTACAGGGATCAATAGTAATAGTAATAATACAAAAAACTTTATAAATAGCAACAAAATGACATATATACAGATATGCATCATCATTACACATATGTATGAAGTGGGTTTTTTTTTAATCATAACCTAGGTGCGAATAACCATGTGAATGACTAGCCATTTTCTTTTAATTCCAAACATCATTTAAAACAGTTTCTCTTAATTTTGTTGGCATTATTAACCTTGACTCTTTGGGCTTGTTTACTTCGTTAGATTCACTAAAAGTGAGGTAATCTTTCATCAAACATTCATTTTCTAGATCTAATTTCCTGGTACATTTAAATGTTGATTTGACTCATACGCAGACCCGATGCAATTTTTCCGGCTTTATCCAGATCTCACTGGCCCACGAAAAAAGAAGCGTAGAAAGTCAAGGAAAAAAATCATGCCTAGAAAGAGACACACAGAAAAAAACACCTGTCTCAGAACAATAACAAACACCTTTATTACAGACGAAACATAGAACACGTAAACAAGTGCCAGTCGTATATGAGAAAATGACGACTCTCTTAATAGTTCATTTCACAAATAGTGCGATTCAGTAGCATCGCTATCATGGCTAAGCTACAGCTGCCTGAGTCCAGCCGGGGGTCAGGTTCAATATCCTTAGTAGCCTGTGGTCAGTTAGATTAGTGGACACTCTAATATAGATGAATAATATGCAAATTGCACTGCGCAGTCATTAACCTTAAGTTATCACAGAGAACCAGCGTGTAATCTAAATGGTATTACGTAATTAGTTGACCTCCAGGCCACGACTCCGCTTTAGGATATTGCATAATAACATGCAAAATATAGCTGACCAACCAGATGAGAGCAGAGAGCGATTTAAATAGTTACTGAAATTCCAGAGTCATATAGCTAACAGGCACCTTATATTGTTTCTTTTACATCGTTCAGCTGACTGCGGTCCTTGCGGGTCCCACCAGACCCCACTGTTGCCAGAGAGCAACTGTTCTTGCTCACCGCCAAGCTACGAAGAGGCATAAATATTCTTGAGCCATTTGACCACAATGTGGTCTTAATGTTATCTCCCTGGACAAAGGTCATATTGCTCTGTTCTGCTGGTTCCCTGGATGTTTATATTTAAGGACTATGACCACTACTAAAATCCACTGACCTCGTATTAATTTATTGGCGCCCGGAAATTACTACAAGGAATCTATACACGGAAGCGTGATCTAAAGACCCGGATACTGATGATCTACGAAGTGGGATTTTAAAAACGTGAGTGAGGATTTGAAGCTTTTTTTGTGTGATCACTCGCCTAGTTTTAATTTTTACAAGCTTGGATGTCTCGCTACTGCATGGGGTGCATGTTTCCACGTTTCCACCTGTCTCTTTTTCGTGAAAACATTTTTATGGACAGTCAGTTTCCTAGCGAAAACTATTCTTTGGAGATAATGTAAATGCATATTGTACAATGTTAGCTGGGAAGTTCCGAGAACCCTCCGTATATACAGGCTTATTCTATACCGCATATCCAGGGTTCTACTTTATCCTCTCATATTACGTCATAGTATCGAATGTTCGAGCGCATACGCTGTGTAGCTTTTCCATCCAGCCCCTGCTACCCCGCCATGTTATATTTCTCTGTGATTGAATAGTGCATCGTCGCACGAACGTCTTGGAGAGATACCCTTGACTTTTATTTTTTATGAACTTTTATAATACTTGGGTCCTGAAATCTCGTTCATTTTTTTGGATTAGAAGGAGAAATCCTCACGATGTTTATTAATAATGCGCATTGTATCTACTAGCTATGGCACGCACCCATGTAATTTATGAAAAAGATTTATTCTGCACTATAATTGTGATTTGTAAATGAGATAAGAAATTTATCTCCGGAAATGATTATGAATTTATTACTCGTAATACATTGTCAGGTTTATATGAAGGAAAAAAGCGTTTTAACTAAAACCATAGCTTTTACTTCTCTCTCTCTCTCTCTCTCTCTCTCTCTCTCTCTCTCTCGTTCTTTTACTACGTAATCTGCACATAAAACCATTAACCATTAAATTTCTCAACCATGCCATAAGCAGGATCATCTATGTGTTAATTATTTAAGAACCGAAAAATACATTAACAGAAAAGAAGAAGCGTTTAAACCTGCATTAAGAACTAAACAGACAAATATATGTTGTGGCATCTTTCATTATTAGATTTTTTCTGTTGATGTAAAGCTGTGTGCGTTTATCCCCTTTCTTTCTTCAGAGTTGAGAGGGGAGGGAGAACCACACCCAATACCAATGACCCATTAAATCACGTAAGACCTTCCCAACCTTTTAATAATCTCTTTTAAGCAGGGTTCCCTTACTTTTGACTATTTTTGTAACTGGAACAAAAAAAACTAAGAAGAGTTTTATTTGATCTCATGGAAAATGTTAGATTACAAGCTGCAGTACCTGAATTCTTAAAATGTGAACACCGGTCGTTGACATCGCCGCTATCGCATTGGTGACACGCGAAGAGCACGACAAATGACTGTCATTTTGATATCATGCATATGCAAGTTTGTTTTGACTTTGACATATTGCGTCTCATAAAACTGAATGCAATGCTAAAAATACCACTTAATAACTACACAGTTAAGTCATTTATCTCTAGTTGAGATTTCTAAAAAAATGGGAAGTGACATTGGGGGGGGTTCGTGATGGTTTTTCCGTTAGCATGAAAGACTTCTTTTTGATGCTCATTCCATTGATTATGATTTTTTATATTTGTTCATCTGTACTTTGATTGTATTTATGAACTGTTTTAACCGATTTTAAATCAAGTTTTTACAGCATAAATTAAATTTCCCTTATGGAATTTTGGTTTACCTGACGCGATAAAAAAAACTTTATGATTGGTACCGGTACATAGATGTATAAGCTGGATATTTGTTTTTATATTATGCCAAATTTTTCTTTTATTTCACATTTATGCGTGTTATTGTCATATTTTATATTCAAATCGTGTCGAATACATACCCTTACCGGTTGTTTTGTAGGTCAATAAGATTTTAATCGTGTTTTTAGGTGGACCGTTGAATTATATAACATTATTTTTAAATCCTCTTTTACTCTCCTGTGTTCATGCACTCCCTTAGTATTCTTTTAGTTAAAAACATTGCAAGAAATACATAAATGCTCTTTTAAATATTTTTCACCCCAATTGCCATGTCAACGACGAAAATTAATTATCTTATAAGCTGAAAGACTATCAATTTCTATGCATTGATGTCAATATGAAAGCAACTCTGCAAACTAACAAAACTAAATTATGATAATGCATAGCTGCAAAGATTTTTATGTGTTCTTTGGTAATACCGTGGCAATGGCATAGTTTGATCGTAACCATAACTGTTATTTTGGATACACAAGTTTTTTCTATAATTTTCTATAATGAATAAAGATCAGCAAGTTGTCAGCATCCTCCATATGTAAACAAGCAAAAACGACAAAGTGTCTTACCAATTTTGCCTCTTACATAATACTGATGGTGTGAATCGTATATAGACCACACACACACACACATACACACACGCACAGTACCCCTCATTCTATTTACACGAATTCTACTGCAGATAGCAAAGAAAATAATAGAACTCCTAGAAATATTGCATTCTTTTTCCAGTATTCCCCTCCCATTTTTTTTTTTTTTTTTGGGGGGGGGGTGCCATTTGATCATTCGATTGTTTTTTCCCTCATAATTCCGATACAATGAACTTATGTATCAAGCAGTTCAAATAAAAGCCAAGCAAAGCTGAGAACAAGAGAGAACGTTGTTCAGAATGAAAGCAGACCTTGCTCTCATAAGATTTTGAACATAAGAAAAATGATGAAATCCACACTGCCGTGCAGGAAACTTCAAAATGCGTCAAAAATAGAAACATGCTCATTAACCAAACTGAGGGCGGCTTCTAGACGTAGGGAAATTACCGAAACACGTAGAATTAAATACTGTTTGTTGGGGTTGGGCATTAGTTGAGAGATTCGTGGAGTAAATAACTCTTGTTTGTAACAGCCATGCGAGTCTCATGGTAGCGAACACAAGTTCTCGGTTACCGAAAGACGTTATAGTTAACTTAACACCCTTCCTAAATATGGCGTGGGAGTTTCCGAAAAGACCCCGCTCAAAAATGCTTAGTTTACTACAACAGGTTGACACGTTGGCGTCCGTCCAAAATAATTGATACCTTGAGTCATGTGATGTTTTAGTTGTGCTTGTTATGTGACATTTGATAGCGGCAAGCCCAGTTGACTTTTACGACTAGAGCAGCAGAAAGACTGGAAAACGTAAATATGTTGTTTAAATTGGAAAATAGGCTATTGCATGTAAATAGCTTTTTAATCTCTTGTCACACCACGATACATATAACATATTCAAAGAAAAAAGGCAAGAGGTAAGCGAGAAAGGGGAGTTCTCATAGGACTGATTGTTTTGTTAATATGATTATGAAGGGTGTAATCCAAATTTTTTATATAATCTGACCCAATCAAATTCTTGCACTTCCTATTTCAGGGGATTTCTGGATTTAAGAAACGTAATTGTGATCTGGTCACATCCCAACTGGAACTGGGACTTCAGGGGATTCACATATATCTTGTTTTTTTATCGTGATTTATCCCTGACTTCATTTTTTTTTTTTTTTTTTTTAATGAAGTATTCTTATTAAATGTAATAAAATAACACTGAAGTAATTAATAATATCTTCACATTATAAATTTTACATTAATTTACTTTTTGTATTTTGATTAATATACTATTCTAATAATTATAATAAGGTGAGGTCAGCCAATAGTAGATAAGCCAAGTTTTCTCGTTATTTCGCGCCTTGTACAGGGTGATATGATTAAGAGGACCTGCAAACACATAGGTCAAATAGAAATTGACCAGTACAATTAACCAGTATTTTTCATTATTATTAATAAAAAACTCACCATGTGATTGATCAAAGAAAAATATATAGAATTTCCAGTATTTTCCGAATAGTTAGAAAAATTATCTGCTCTCTGTTTATCAATAATCTAAAAGAGATGATGATTTATTTGTCACAAGCATTTTGTAAACTAGAAAACTAGACTGAATCGGACAATATTTATGTTTGTTGATATAACGCTCAGTAGGCTCGAGATGGGGTGGGGTTGGGGGAACAAAGGGTTTTCTGTTTTATTTTTATGTGATTAATATGTGGATATCTTATTATCATAATTTAGGTTTGAAAAGTCGAATTAGAACATAAAATAACAGAAGAATAGATTTAAAACATAATCGGCTGTAAGCAGGTAATTGTAAAACTGATGCACTTTTTGGGGAAGGGTTCATTTAAGAATGGCATTGTTTTTCTTTCGGTTTTGTATGCTACAAAGTTTAGTGTTCCCGGTTTTTCAATATATTTTAACTTCTGCTTGTGGGGAGGAAATAAATTTAAAAAACTGCTTTCGAACCGAGGAATTCCGTATATGGTTTAAAATAATTTTAAAACGCAGCAAATTGTGCGTCTTTTCAAATAAATGCACTTTTCACATTTCCTAAATATTTAATGTGTTATATCGGTAAATTATAAGCTGTCTATATACACTGTTTTCTCTAAATTGATTTCAAAAAGAAGAGTGAAACATATATGCACAAGCAATATATATGAAAAGTGAAAAGAAGAATGGCTGTTTTGAATAATTGCTCTTAAATTTAATTCGGATCAGAGTTGATTAATAAAATTAACGTATACAAAATACAAAACATGAAATATTACATACATAAAAATGAAATATCGCCTATATTATGTATATTTTGTTAGTTTACATACACGTTAACCATTTGAATGTCATAATGTATTACTTGGTGCCTTTGAACCTGTTAATTTAGGGGGTAATAATGAAAGGATTAATCATGCAATTTCAGCTGTCGTTTTAAAGAAATCGTTCAATTTAAAAATAACCCTGATGATCAATTCAGCTCTTGCACCGGGTGAACCGCAGGTTTAAAGCCCCTTTTTTCTCACTGAAATTTAAACCTTGAAAGGCATTCAAATTCTTCCCTTCCACCACCCACTGCTTTCCCCACCTCCTTGGTCCAAAATCCATAAATTAAAGTCATTGTGTGAAGAGAAAGAGTATCTGGCCATCGCCAAGGTCAGCATTTATTCCCGCCAATTCTGAACTTCCGGTCATTCTGTAATCTTTCATTCTCCACTTGTGTTGTTTGCCCGGTTCGGTGTCGTTGCTGTTTTACCAGGTGACCAGAGTCAGTTCAGCGTTTCTAAAGTAAGTTTTCCAGTTTCATAATATTTTTTAAGTGAACAACACCAAGTTTCTATTTTTCAATGGGGCCGTAGCGCTGTTGTGTTCAATACAAAAGCGCCACGGTCAGTGATTTTCGTTGGCCGTTAAATCACTACTGACCAAACAGGAAATGGGCCCAATTATATGACCGATGTCATAAGATAAATTAATATATTTTATTTGCATTGATTTAACCAACATTGCCGGCTTTAATTTGATAATTAGCCCGAGGATACTAAAGGAAAGCGTATGCAAAGAATGGTACTTAATAATTAAAATTTTCTGGAAATCTTCGATTTCTTTGGCGTTATCTTTAAAATGTCCAAAAGTTATGGCAAGTAAGAAAAGTTATTGTGTTAAATTTATTCGGTACGCTTTGGGACCTCGTTTAACAGTTGAATCACTAACCCCATTGACTCATTTATCTTATTGAAATAATGCGCTTATATTTGCACTTGAAAGATATAAAGTTTTCTAAATGTTCTTAAAATGCTTTTTCTTGTGTTACACTATCCGGTCGTAACCTTTAAATAGTGGTTGTTGGAGTGAAAATTTGCGCGTACGTCAAATCGTAGCTTTTTCTCCCTTTGGCGTGGTATCTTGCCTGCCCTTTGACCTAGATTAGTTAATGCCTATCAGTTCATTCATCAGCGCTTTAGAGCGCCCGCAAGCGGCAAAGCTACGTGCTCAAAATAGTGCGCTAACCTCGCTATTCGAGTTTGGTTAAATCAGTGAATGAATTTCGACAACGCGTTGTGTTTACACAAGTCCGTTGGTGTCAACAGTTAACGCAAAGGGTTCAATGAGAGGCTGGCACCAAAAGGAAGGGAAGAAAGCACGTGGTCGCCTACTTAAGAACGTTGTGACAGTTCTGCTGTGCTGCGCGATTAGCGATTGGTTCAGCTTCAAATGAGCCAATGAGACGATTGCTTAATTAGCTGTATTAAAAAATGTCATTCCAGGTCACGTGACTCGTACTTAACGTAGGACGTCGTATGATTGAAGGACGGAGGGAGAAGCGGAGGTGTAGAAGGAAGCAGCACAGCTCTGAAGGTGGCTCCCCCGCCGAAGTGACTTAAACGACCATGGCCTCAGGTTCGAAACCTTTTTATTATTTCAGTAAAAAGATAGGTTCCATAACTTTTTGTATTAATATCTCCGGTGCATATGTGTGTCAAGAGAAGTTGAGCGCTGGCTAAGATTAGAGCCCACACAGCCAATTTATTTCGTTGAGTCAATCACAGATGCAAACAACAAGGCCAAACAACAACGTGCGTTGTGCCAGTTCAGTTTTTGTTAGGGGGCAATTTATGAACTGGTATCATCTACTGGAGGTCACTACGTACTGTTCATAACCTTCTTGTGGTTTTAACGCTACGCATTTATGTACATGGGAACATCTCAGGCATGCATTGTAGCTCTTGGTTCTACACATCTACCGCATGCTTCCCAGGCGTGATGCATTGGCATGAGCCCGATACAGGTTCACAGGGAGAGGTCAAAGACACAAGGTCTGAGGATCTCTTGTGCTAGGAAGCCAAAGGTGCAGTCTTATTTGGCAGCAGCGTCCTAGTAGTACTACATTTTCGGTGTTCATTAGATGAATATTGATGTGAGACTTTTAAGTACCATTGACAGAAATAGGCCTTTCTGTATGGGTTTGAAGAAAGTATGTGGAAAATGTTCAACTTGTAGTACCTCTCTTATTCTAGGGTAATGACCTGTAGTCTTTTTTAACGCGCAATTTTTTAGAACAGTGCTCCTTGCGTCAATTTATATGTGTATTTGTCCCCAGAGAGAGAGAAAGAAATCTGTGTAGGGTACCTTGGCCCATATTGTATGGGTACGTCATGTGGTCACCAAAATAATTTTTCAAAATTAAACAGTTTCCAGTAAGAAATTGTCATTTGGAAAATGAAAAAAAAATGGATTAAAAAATAAACGAAACCATCGGGAATTGGCAATCACACCTATTGTTTAAAAAGTCCATCTCCGTTTGGCAACTCGTGTTTTAATTTCTGTTAGGTTGATATTATTTCCTTATTATTATTATAATCATAATCTTGAATCGTTTTTGCGAAGAATATTGTTTGCATTAGACTTTGCACAGCTGAGCATCTGCTAATGAAAGAAAACATTGGCGAAGACAAATCCTGGATTCAGGCGAATTTTAAGCTTTAAATATGTCAAAGAGCAAAGGTCATAAAATGAACAGCAAACTAGTATGAAGGAGAAGCCCTTGAATGCCACATACTTTGGGGCTTGATCGACAGATGATAAACAAGGGATATCTGTCATTTCAGATATATATCCACGTAGATACCTTCAACCCCTTCTGCTTAATCATAATGTATTTAATTATATCCTGTATCTAGTAACGATGACCTAGTAATAGCAACGCTGAATGAATAATAACCTAGGTCATAATTTCATGCCATTTCCCTATAAGTGCTTCACGTGAATGGCTACCGCAAAGCTCCATTGAATAGGGCCATCTTAACCTGCGATCATTTTCTATGTAAAATATCTGTTGACCTTGTCACTTAAATAGGTAAACATAAGAAAAACGTTCATCTTAGGCCAATATTCGAAATCGGTTTTCAAAGTGGACGCCGAGGAAGCGCGCATGCTCCGCATACAGTATAAGAGAATTGTGTCATGGCGCACTACGATCCAGCGTGTGCTAGGCTACAGTAGTTTGAGAAGGCGCCGTAACGCTGGTCCCATTCACAATCTGACTTTATTCACGCTAAAGCTGGTCTAAGCTCGACGCTTTGGGATACGGTGTTGGCTCGACGTCCAATGACGCGCCAGAAGTCCCAAACAGCGAGGAGTACTGGGTTCCGAGGAGTAGCGGTAGCGCGAGGCGGGCCCCACGAACAGGGAAAAATATGGCTGTAGCAGGTTCACCATACTTTCTATTTAGCATGGCGTGTTTGAAAAATTGTAGCAAAATATAGTTATAGATCCAACGCAAGTAGGTTAAATAGTTTACCTAACTTGGAAGGGATTGGTTCTTGTTAGGCCCAGAATGTGGATTTTTACGGACATTAATTAGAAAAGTTAACTTATTGTCTTGTTCACTTTTGGACAATCAACCTAACCGAGCAAGAGAGGTATACTTAGAGAGTTGCATAACGCTCTGGACTCCTTCCAAACAGCTTTGTGTATTATAAATACCACTTAATAGGGGGTGCGGCGACCCTGTCAAATATATTATTCAATTGCTGCGTTCCTTTCAATATGGGTTAAGGTATGTTCGTCGACCTATTTATCCCTGGTCATTGACTTGGTTTTCGGTGATGAATATAGGCTTGATACTGTAGCTTCTTCGACGTTATAAAACCAAAACTAAGCACTAGTACTCTCTTGAATTCTCAGCGAAACTGTTGATGTTTTTAAGATGCTAGAATTAATTTTAGTTGAATTGTTATATCTGCACTATTTCGTTTTTACAAAAGTTATTGAAATGTTGCTGGAGTTAATATTTAAGTTTATAAATTAATTTTTATGGCAGTTGAAGTTGTGATATTTCATAAGAATAAGAAATTTGCTCTTGTAAGAAAAAATTTTGGGATGTTTGAAAATTTATATATTGTTTATACATTCCTTTATATTTAATATTCTATGGTAAATTGGCTTACTTACGATTTTTGCAGTCAGAATCTGACTCGCACATAATGTGCAATATTTTATTTTTCTTTGATTTTATATGGTCTTACCGATGACTATCTGACTGTTTAGGAATAGTACAGCACAGAAAGAGTTAAAGAAAATATTTTGATTTAGGAATAAATGATTGATAAGGGAAGGCAACTAAACTCTAAATTTGATTAAATCAGTATGCTGTTTGGTACATAAATAAAAAAAGATATTTGACCTTTTTACTTGCTTTTTATATAACTAGATTTTATCTTTTCGATATTAAAAACAATAAGCAATGTTATTTTAGAAAATCAAAAATAACATCTGACAACGGTAGCCAAGAGCCATCGGTGAGAGACCCCATTATGTTGATTTCCATGTTTTTCTAGGTCAGTAACTTTGACATGTTCATAGGGTTCTTGTAAAATTTTATGAAATCTTAGTTTGAACACTGGCTGTTGTCTTCCTGGCGTGGACCTGCCGCAGCTGGAGGCGAGAAAGCCTGATGTACCAGATAAGAAAAGCCATGTCATCGGAAAAGAAGCATTGCTTTCGTCAAGATTACACGCCAAGGTTGAATGAAAATATTTTGAAGGCTTTACTCACTTGGGTCATCTGCACTTGAGCTCTTATTTCATTGTTTTTGAGTGCAGCTCAAAGAATGTCATAGTTCTTAGGGAACCGTGAACATAAAGCATGGGAAAAAGTGAACTCTTTTTCGAGAGGATTGACCAGGGGGGAAGGCGGGAAATTAACAGAGTCGCTGGACCTTTTTCTACTCCGCATAAAATCAGTAGTGTTTGGTGCCCAAAATTATATGTGTATTATACCGGGTTAGGTACCTCTTTATACTTGTATTCTGTGCTTTTCTGTCTATCTTTGAGGTTAATACCTAGTCCAGTTCAAATTGAGCGTGATAGGTGAAGAGGGACTCGGAGAAATTAGCTTCTCCTGACCCAAAGAAATAAACATTTCACTAGTTTCCTGTGACAAAAGAGAACAAATAATAAATGACGGTATCATCAGATTACAGAAATATTAATCACGGGGTCCTGGTTTTAGTCTGGGTGCTGCAATGTCGACGTCAAAAAAGAAGCAACAGTAATACTTTTTATAGACCTTAAAACCGCCAAGATAAAAATCCTAATAAAATGTCTGTTTTGATTTTCTTTTGAACGGGTATGCGGCTTTCCCCGCAGGACTTCCCTAAATTTAAACCGAGCATAGTTATGCGACCTCATTTCATCAAAAGTATGGACATTTTTAAAGGAGGAGGGTAAAAGGTCAAAACACCATAAATTATGAATAGAAGATAACAGCAAAAATAGTGGTCAAGCGCTGGTCCTTTCTTAAAAATTAAAGCATATTAAAAAACATAAAAAGTTTTATTAGGGTCAAAATTTAGAATTTTCTGACTTTTTATATCCCCAACATTTGGTTATATTTTAATTTAAAATTCACGAGGAATATTTTCAGTCCTATTAAAATGTTAATGGGAGGAGTATATTTCAACTCTAATACATTCACGGTGTTACTTTTTAGAGGCTATCGCTGCCTGTAAAAACCTACCCTCCTGTGGGCTCATGGCTTTTCCTGCCTGGTCGTAAAATCTTCACAGCAGCTGGCTTCAAATTAGGGCCTGGTCAGTTACTGAAGCCACGAAGTGGCCCATCTGTGTCCGACACAAAGAGAAAGAGGAGAAGAATCTTGCAGCTGACATATAATTATCAAACCATTGAAGAACGTGTGTGAGCTATGCCCCAACTGCTATCTCAAAAGCATTGTTTATATTTTACATGCCTTTGTATATCTGAATAATTTTAAGTGAAGTGTTAACCGTTATTCATGACTTATAAATGTGGTCAGTTTAAGGTGGAGGAAAATTATCAACAATATATGTAATAAACATCTAAGCAGAGAAAAAAAATCAATGAGTGCTGTTTCACTTTAGCTCTGAGGTCGCGCATGGCAGTAAGATAGGAATGAGCAACATAATGGTGTGTTTACAAATTTTATGTATTAATACTAGCAGCTTAGGGCAGTGTACGGTATGGTCAAGAATATAGGTCAACTTCATGACCTAGTTAGATATATATTAAACACCCCTGGTCAATTTATTTTGAGGAAAGACAGCCAAGTTTTTCAAAATTGATTTTCGGTTGAAGGTTTCATAGCGTTCATGGTGAGCAGGATTTACTTTGAAGGCATCAAATAAAATTGTTTTAATGAGCTATCGTTATTGTGTTAGATACTACGGTTACATTTTAGTTAATAATAGTTATTTTCATATTTATTTATTCTAAAGCCAACTGTTTTCAGAAATATAATTTTATACTTGGCAGTTTTCATGAAACTGCTTTTCCTTCACTGGTTAAAAAATATATAAATTTTTGCGTTAATGTGTGCCCCTTTTTGCATGTCGGGTTAATTGTCATTTCCTTCAGTGATCACAGTATATCTGAAGATTATTTCACTATAATTTTGATGTACTCAGTGAAGAATTTTTTATAATTCATTTTTAAAGGTCGGGTCCCCCATAATACTGACTTTCTAAACCTCACAAAACTGAGGAGAGTAGTTTTCTACACAATATATCTGCTACCTATGGCTCTAGAAAAGATTTATGAAGCCAGAAAATAATCCAGTTAAATTCTTTATGAAATACTTAAGGTTTTGGTCGGGTCATATTTTTGACTCTGAATATATTTCAGTGGGAATAAGGTGGGATGTTTCGCATGTAACTGAAACTGATGCCCATTGAGGAAAGATACACAAGATCTACAGAACGTGACTGTTTCAAATTAGCCAAACAATAGAACAAAAATAAAGAGAAACATTCCAGAGAACTGGTGATTTTAGCGGTGTTTTCTGCCTCGCAATTTCTGAGACAGAGGGAGTGCGATATTGCGAATATGTATGAATATGACTAGACGTAGTAGTGCTCACCCGTTCTATACAGTCTTCCATAAAAATCAATAAAATTATGTAACGACGACAGTTCTCTGCTTCTTAGCCAAAAATAATTCATTAGCTCCTGGCTGCATCTGAATGTGCTCTTATGAGGTACACGAGAAACCATGGCAACATTATGCAGATCTCTCTATGTTGTGCAACCTCGAGGAGGAGGATGAGAGCGTAAAGATTCACAGGGGTGAACCGGTGCATGTTTGTCAAGCCGAGCCGTGTTGTTGGTAAATTAGAAGTTCCTCGCGATCAGATAAGACCTTTCCAGAATGAAATAGAATGGTTATTAGTTCTTTCTCTTTGCGTACACTAGGAGGTCAACAGTTTGAGGAAGGCCCGCCCTGGTTATAGTAAACAAAGACGAGTGTACTTAAAAGATATTTTAGCTTTTATCCAGTTTATATTCATGATGATATGGCCATGTTTTGTGAAGTAAAAGCACTCTATGTATCAGAAGAAAAGGTCGAAAAAATTGAAAGTGGTTATATAGCGATATTATATTAAAACGGCGAAGATATTCATCGTTTATTTATTGATCTTGATTGTCACAACTGTCTAATTAATTATATTTATAATATTTTTGAGATGAAAATAAGCAGGAGGAATACGTGTAAACTGTAGCAAATTTTTAGTTGAAAAAAGAAATTGCATTTACTTCAGTGACAACGAAGAAAATTATATTGCATTCAATTATTATTAATTACATTTGTAAGTACTAAACAAAACACAACACAACAAGAGGATCACTGTGCTGCCATCAAATTACCTATAGTATTTTACTTAGCACCTGCAGATTTATAATATTTTTATTTGAATGAGTGCCTCCCAAAATGCTGTCAGTGATTTTGTAAAGATTCAATATTTAACATTTAACTTAAAATACTTGTAAGATTTTGTGTTTCCTTGTCATTTGTCCCGAAAGAATTTCCCTTGAACTTTAGCAACATCCAGAAAAACAAAACTGTAAGGTTACGTCAGGTCAGAGCACCGACGCTCCAGGTCAACAGTCCGACATTTTTTATTCAAAATTCTGTGTGAAATCTCTCTGTTCGTGTCGGTTAAAATTAGATTTTTGCTACCCCGGTACGATTATGTAATGATTCTAGTTTTAATCGCCGTGAGAATATCTTGGTTTCAATGGCCTCCGTCCGTTACTTCAACGTCTTCCATTTAGAAGTCTTTCTGCCACACAACGGCGGCATTACTTGACGCGAGGTCAGTTAGCCGATCGGGCCATGAGAGGGAGCCAGGGTGAGATGGGGTCAAGTCGAGTGAAAAATAAATACACCAGGAAAATTGTTGCAATATGAGACAATATTGTGTGCAATACGCTTGCCGTTAGGGTATACCGGTGGAGAGAAGGTCAAGTTTGAAATACGAGTTATGTTTTTGTAGGCAAAGGAAGAGAAAAGATGGAGTTAATTGGCTAATAGGTGTTTAACACTTCGAGCGAACAGAGAAAAATCCTGAAATTTATCTCAGGTTAAGTGTATGTAGAGTCACAGAAAATAAGTTAGTGAATTACAAATTATCTGATACATTACCTGAAAATAAACAAACGTTTTAGGGGACTTGTTTTAAAGTTAGAGGAAATGAGAATATCTAATAACATTTACATGTTCAGGTCATAAAAAAGATAAAGATCACCTTAAAACATTTTTCTAATGAAATGAAAAATTATAAATCCCAGAAATTAAAATGCAATTTATTCCTTAGTCTACTCAGCCGAATTTTTTTTTTAAAGTTTGATGGATAAATATGATTTTATTTTATTTTAGGGGGACCAGGTCGACGCAGGGGGAAAGTGAAATGGTACAACGTTGTGAAAGGTTATGGTTTTATCACACCAGATGATGGCGGTGCGGACGTGTTCGTCCATCAGGTAGGTCGAAGGACAGGGTCTCATGCTCTGTCAACGCGTCGACTATTTATCATCTTAACCACACTACAGAGATAATTTTCTGACTGAGGCACCATTGGCGATAAGTTTACACGCTGGAAAAGGGAGCTGAATCAGTCGTCGAATTTCTTAACACCTTCCTAGCAATGAAATTTATACGAATGAAAGTATATAAATGACAAATTCCTGATGTGAAAAAATAATTTTCAGACCTGTCTTAAAATTATTAAAGAAACTCTCAAAGGATAGAAATTGTCAAAAGTAAATGAAAAATTCCGTGGAGTGTTCAGCAATTTTCTTGCAGCAATACCGCTGTATACTTATATGAAAATTTATGAATATAAATTAAGGAAGCATTCTTTATTTTAATTTTTATTTCAGTAAGTAGGGCATTTGTAGAACAAAACATGAAGTAATTTCTTCGTTTGAAAAGCATGTAACTAGAGTAGTCACTAGAATTATTTAGAATAAAAAAATAAAGGAACTCTCTCTCTTACTCTGCAATTTAAGCATAATTGTTAACGACCATTTTTTAACCATTCTAGGCTTTAAATTTTTTCAGAAAATACAAAAAATGCATTAAAAACTTAAGGTTATCCCAAATTTTATTTCATTTATTGATTACTGATTAAAATTCTTTTAGTTAGACGAGAATGAAAAGTTTCCAATGTAATGTTAGTGATTAGAAATTATCTTTCCTCTTGTCTGAGTATATATCTAGCATTGCGAAGAGGGAATCGTCATTGAAACTGTCTGTGCTGAAAATTGAGGAAACATTTCGGGGGAATGAATTGAATTTTGATTCAGTTTTTGTTATGTTGTAGATATATTATACTGGTAACTGGTAGTTAAACAAGGTGCGTTTTGTTCAGTGTTAGATTATGGCGTCAAACAAACATACACATATACCGATATAGGTCTTTTGAAATAAATTGAAATAAAATTAAATGGCCGCCAGGTGTCCTTTCCGTTGGTAGCCGTAGTTTCGAACCTCGCAAACTTGATGTCTGCTTTGCATTTGCAAAATATTGTAGTTCTCCTTGCGCAAGGTAACTGAACGACGACTTTATTATGATGGTGATTTTTCTTTTTCTACTGATTGGACAAGGACTAGTTAAACTTGTGTAAGTCATAGACTTATTCCCTTCTTTTATTGATATTCGTAAATAATCAGAATTCTGAACATGGATTAAAGATATGTTATATGCTTACATATTTTTACACTCGGCATACAATGATATTATGCAGAACGGAGATATAAGGTAATCAGTTTCTGTAAGAACCTTCTATTTGACACAGGCAATATTTAACAACCGGCAGTACATGAAAAAGGCTAGTAGAATGTAGCTTATCGAAACTCGATTCTGTGGTTGTACATGACTGTCCAGTCAAACAAAGGAGAGGTCAAGACGCGGTCAAATGCGATGAAATAGAACAATATAATTATAGACATTAAGGTTATTAAGGCCTAAGTACAAACCGATAGAGAGTGAGTGAATGAGCGTAAAAAGGAGGCGACCTTGTGAGGAAATGGGAAGGAATATTGATCATGTAAATTCGTATGAATTGACAAGTTATTTTGTCTGTCTATAAGCCTATGTTATCATAGCATTTTCACAATAAAAATAGCCGGCCCTTAAAATTGTGATGTTACAGGATTTTTAAACCGTCCAGATTTATGGCGGCAGCATTTTTGCAATTATTATGATTTTTATGTTTGCTGTGTCACTGTCACGGGATTGAAGGCAACAGTTATAATAACAACATAAGTGTTTCTCTAGATTTTTTGTCAGTGTTCATTGCTATTTTGACAGTGAGCTCAACAGGCCGAATTTATTAACGGGAAAAGAAAATACATTAATACAAAGGTTTTATCAACTGAGATCTTATTTAATTATTTTTTCTACACCTTTAAAGATAATTAAAATGGGTCCTATAGCGCAATGAAACGTTGCTGAAAATGTTCATATGATTTTCTGCCAGTGACCGAATACAGAATCGGTGTATAAAATGCCCCATTTAAAATGTGAGGAAACAAAGCAGCCGAACTTTTATTTATCTGTCACATCACGAGTGCCATGACACGAAAAGAATTTGTAAATCAATTTTTAAAGAAAAATCTTACTTATCATGCAGCTTTTTGTGCTTAAAAGTGTTAAGCCAATGTATCCCAGATTTCAGAAATTATACTCTACATATTTTTTTTTCTAGAGCGCACAAATCCATGCCGTATAGAAGAAAAAAGGATTCGCAGCAAAAATAAATTTAACTGGACAGTTAAAAACACTGTTTACTTACTAATGTACTCGTTAAGTATCTCTAAAAAGAAATTTCTTTCAAAAATAAATTCTTTATCGCGACAAAAAGGTCCGCCGCTTTTCCCGTTTCTTTATGAAAATAATTTTTAAACTCCACAAAGATATTTGATATCCAAGCCCAGTATTCCCACGTTTTCTTTAAAGCAGTCCTATTCTTCTACGCTGTTAAACTACATTATTAACTTCCATTTATCTTGATTCCGACCTATATAGTAGCCCACCCTTCGAGGGCATTCTTAAAGGCCACAAAAGACGTGATCTTGGGCATTACGTAATCTAAAATAGCTGAGAGTTTCCGTCTGAAACTAATCTGGTAAGTCAGGTAATTGAGAAATTCAGGTGAGTTCGCCTAGAAAGAATCTAATGCACGTGATAATCTATCTCGGAGAGAAACTTGGTCGTGTAATAGACACAAAGGAAAATAACTGCACTCAATGACTTTTCAAAAAAGTGAAAAAAAGATTGAAAAGTTATTTTTCCTGTCAAAAGTGGAAGTTTTGCTATAAAAATTTGAAGGTAATTGTTGATTCATTTACCCAGTCTACCAAATCATGTGATATTGTAGTTTTTAATGAAAAACATAAACTGAAAATGAAAACTGGAAGATCTTAATGATTGTTGTACAAAAATTATAAAAAGAGAAATAACTGTAAATGGCCAATATTAACGTAAAATAAATAATTTAAAGTTAACACTTTAATCCCCTAATTTGTAAGAAGGACTTCACAGCAATCTCACACCGTATTTGATAAAACGAAGCGTACAATGATCAGTTTTCTTTGCATCTAGAAAGTTGTCTTGAAAGATATCCGATCTTATTCCGTAGTCAAAAGGAAAATGTCCGTATGAAATACACATTAAAATGGCTGGAATTCCAGTGGTCAGTCGATCAGCTGACCGCACCTCGCCACGGTCTCCTTTCATTACAGGATAAATACATTACTCTACAACAATGCTCAGTACTCTGCCATGGTCGGGGTGGTTTATATATTTAGTGAAAAAAACCGGGGGGAAAGTAAAACAAAAAAAGGAAAGTTAATTTTGTGCTTAAATTGACACAAGCCATGTAGACTTGCATTCAGGGCCTCGCTTACAGACAATTATCTTATTCAAATACATGCAATTTTAAAAACGATGTTACGTCAAGAACATGTTTCCACCTTCATTAATAATATTTTATATTTCAACGTGTAGAAATACAACGGGATCGGATATATATAATCGGTGTTTTTTGGAATGAACATACTAGCGTATTTTTAGGACTTCAGTAATAAATATATATATATATATATATATATATATATATATATATATATATATATATATATATATATATACGCCTATGAAATATTGGTTTACCAGTTCTAACCTCTGGCTATTGCCTTTTCATTTGGCTGGTAACCTTAAAATTTGCCTAATTCATGTGTATGTCTAAAAGCGCCATGTTTACATAATTTGGCAGGTTTGCAAGGTGAAAAACGAGTTAAAATTATTTAGCTCGTCTCACGTACAACCAGTGCGGATGGGACTAATATAATTTCTTTGGCACCTCGTAACTGCTCGGGTTTCGAGTCTTGCATAACGCACACCTAGAGTAAACCTGCATTATGCCGAGAACTGACCGTTACTATAGCAACCACTCGAATCAATAGCCAGTGGTCTGTTGGCCTCCTAGATCTAGGTCACCAGTACGGGTAGTACGCTCTGCCTGTTGAAACAAAACCCGCGAAATTTTGTTAGCACAGAAAGGACGTCCGTGGATCTATTTGATAGAGATTTTAAAACAGAAAGTTATGAATCAAATATGAGTCCCCGTGATATTGAGTGATACAGTTAAAAATAAAATTTGAGTTCTGGTGATATTAGGTGCAAAAATGGCGAATTTTGAACGGGTTTTGGGAAAATATTTTTACAAAGTCGAAGATGTTTTAGATATTTACCAAGAGTATACAAATTCTGTGATGATTGCAGAAAATGAAATTGCTAAGTAGGCCTATCCGTTGGTTAGCAAAAATGTTATATTTATGTTTTATATTTTTATGTTATTCAGTTTAGTGAAAAACAAAGATTATTTTAACCATGTAAATGAAGGCGTGAGGAAAAATTTGAATTGAAGATATGAATAATCGAAGAAATTTTGACTATACTGTAGGGGAATAGAAATTTTTCTGTGTATTTATTCATTAACTGTTCAATCATTTCTTGCGAAGAATAGAAAAACTCCGTTTTTTGTGAGATTTACCTGGGAGAAAAATATGTAAGGTACACGGATATTGAATTAATAAGCCAAATAATGTAAAATTAAATTAAAACATTATGGTTTCTGCAGAGAAAAGTTTTGTTAAACGTTTTTGGCGATGACAATGCTTGCAAAAAGAACACCAACATTTCGATTGAAGACAATTTGCAAATAACTATCTAAGGAATGAGTCGTAATTCATTATTTTCATAATTGTTAAAAAATACAATGCCTTTTTTAATACCATTTCGACGGGATTTGTAAAAAAAATTACTATCGCCGTAAAACATCTTTGCTACTAAATAGATATGAATATCTGAAATAGTCAAGCTCTTTTTACTTTAATTATTTTTTAGATAACGAGGAAAGTTTTTGTGAAATAAGATTCATAAGAAAAATTGTTGTGAAATATGATTAATAAGAATAGTCTATTTTTTTTAGTAAGTTTAGCTGCTACTACAGAAAAAATATTTATATGACAGATTCAAGTGCCCTTTAGCTAAGTAACGAGAAATTTTAATGTAAAATTTTGGCTCATTTTGCAATCTCGCAACCAATCTCGATATGAGTTTGAGGAAGCTTTATTAAAATCAGTATCATGGAAATAGTCGGAGCATTCTCTTTTTGTCATTTGTTGTCTTTTTTCTCGGGCACATGCCTAAGTTCGCCCAAGAGGTATGATCCCCGGACTCCCTCCCCCACCCCTTAGGCTTAACGAAATAGTTTAACTGCCATGTTCCCTGTAACATAGGACAATCAACAAATACGTTGTCATTTCTGGGAATCCCATATTATCTCTCTTTCCTTATATTTTCAGTCCCGGATAAAGAAGAACGGGTTTCGTAGTTTAGCAGATGAAGAAGAGGTCGAATTTGAAAGCCAGCCATCAGACAAAGGCGTGGAGGCGACATACGTGAGCGGACCGGGAGGCTTGGACGTTCGGGGCAGTGAAAGAAGACCCCTCTCCAGGAAGAAATTTAGAAAAATTCGGTGCGTAAATTACTTCTTTTCCAGTTCAAACCGTAATTGTCTTGCGCTACGATAGACATATTAAGGTGAAATATGCGTCATGATAAATAAATGAAATTGACATTTGAGCACAAAAGATCGGTTAAATGGCACGTGTGCAGTTAAGTTACGTAATTTTCTCAAAGCTTTTTTCGGCGTAGCTTCCTTGGGAGTTTCCGTTTGACTCTTCCAGCGGCGGTAAATTACGTAATATCTGAATTTTGGGTCAGGGTATCCACTTACGAGGTGCGCCCGCACAAAGGGACTAGACGTATTACCAAACTTATCAAAGTAATAGCTACTTTCTCATGGACAGCGTTTGTAAAGCAGATTTTTTTATTGACCGTCATTTATAACGGTTCTACGCACAGTGTGTTGGCAAAATTAAAAGAAACAAGATATGGACTTATCATCGAATGCCATGTACCATACTTGACCAAAACAAAAGGGAGCTGTTTTAAGACCTAAAGCAATAGAAATTATAGAGATTAAAAACGAAAGTCAAGAAATGAAAACAACTGTTTAGGAAAAAAATCATATATTGAGGAAGTTATCAAAAGCACTAAGTGAATTTATGATAAACAAAATTATATATAACAATGAAATGTTTATGTTTCAGATGCTATAATTGTGGTGACTTTGGGAACCACGTGGCGGCAAAGTGCCCACATGGCCCACTCCCAAAACGTTGCCATAACTGTAAGGGAACGGATCATTTGATTGCGGACTGTCCACAAAAGAAACAGTCAGAGGGAGAGGACAATGGATACCCATCGTCATGATAAACTTGCGAAAATTTTCCAAAAAAAATGCGGTGTGTGAAGCTCTCAAGAGATTTAGTTTCAATATGCAAGCAAGAAAAACAAAGAAATCCATTATTACTGTCACTGTCAGTACACTACGACGTTTTGAAGTCCCAAAAACTGGATTTGATTTATGTGTTACAAAAAGTTACAAAAAACGTCCAAACAGTCTGAAATTGTTGAACAACTCTAGGAAGCGGGAGGATATGTTGCAATACATTGTTTTTTGTTTTTCGAGCTTAACCCTGCAAAAAAAGGATACTACTGTTAGCCTCCCTCCCCATAACGGGTACCTTGATTGCGTTACGATTCCGAGGGGAGCGGGTACTGTGCAATCTGGAACCGTACCTTGTGTGCACAAAAGTAGCGATTGATCGCCTCCACGTTACTACCTCAACAATTTTTTTGTTCAGGGGAACAGCCACGAACATTTTCTTTAGACATTTTTTTGTACTTTTTTAAAGGATTATGTTTTATGTATACTTCAATTTTAGATTAAAAATACTCCCATGATTCATGCTTACGATGGTAACGATAATATTTTGCTTGAAAGATGATTGATCTGTTCAGTTTCAAAATATGGATTTACGAAGAGGAAGCGATCGTGATGTTTACACATTGAAAGATAGTGGAGAGTCAAAAACATTTGCTACCTCATCATTTCAGTGGGCAACTGAATATCTATGGACCGACCCTTAGAAGAGCCAAAGCATTTTCATAAAAATTTCGCCATGTTAAAAAAACGACCAATCAAAGCGAATGTGTATTCATAAGAAGGCTTTCAGAGAAGCCGCCAGCCAGCCAGCAGACGCTTGTATTGATTTTATATTTACTTGGAAGAAAGTAGATAGCAGCCTCGAAGCTAGGCAAAGCGAAAGAGAGAAAGAGAGGTCATTCATTCGTTATACCAAGGCCTGGCCGTCTTGTACTGAAACATCGTGCACTGGAAAGATGCGGGGTTGGATGGATGGCTCTCTCCGTCGACAACCTATCAGGGATTATTAGAATTGACCTGGGTCGGGGTCGATGTACTAATATTACTGTTATCACCGTTTTGTATTGTCCGGGCACAATTGCCCTTGTCGATTCCATGACCCAAAGATCAACACGGAATCATTTTATACCACCGACGAATAGCTGGCATACTTTTAACATGATACGGATGTAACCCAACGTTCAGGGCGACCGATGCGCTATTAATCGTAGAGTACAATTATTATGAGTATTATCTTCACTGTATTATCGATACTACTATAACAATATTATTTTAGCGTTTTAGTGAAAGTCAGTATTGCTTTCGGGACATACAATTTTGTATTTTACAGTTTCAGATTCGACGGTTACTGTTGGCTTTTATGTAGTCTTAGTTGAGTATAGGGGTTATTTTTTTACCTTGGAGACGAGCCAATTTATAACGCGCAAAAGGTGGTCATTCATTAGAAAAGAGCACTGGTACTATTAGGCTGCCAATTAGTTTGTTATTCATTGTTATTTTTGTTAATTTTGGGAAGTTCAACTATTGAAATCAGCCACCAAGTTCCCTGGCAACGAAACCCCTTTTCGTTCGTTCTGACTGCGAGAAAAGAAAGAGATCGTCCATTTTGATGGTTAGTGGTGCTTCTTTGTATCATCATAAAGCTCAGGGAACATTATTTAAACATATTGCGGATTGATGGCAATGTGGAAAATGTTGCTAAGTTTCCATGGTAACGTTACGCTGAATGTCAAGCCTGGAAAATTGAATATTTTGCGGTTTAGTTGTGAAGTTCAACAACTAACCGCAGATATTCACTTTTGTAGATTCGTGCGCCCTGTCATTCAGCCGGTACCCTGTGTATCCTAGGCAAGGACAGTTAGTCACCCGAAAGATGCGTGCCTATGATTCTCAGGGGTAAAGTTTAATATATGTATGTATCTTTATTATGTATAATAAGTGAATTATAAGCGGGCCCGTTTGCGCTCACCAGCGATTCCAGCGTAGTTCAAATAAGTAAGATCTTCACTGTACTTGAGAAACTATTTGCGTTCAGGTTGCTTTCATTACGACGCAAGGCAGAAGTGTGTGACCGAACATTCTGGCTGTAAACTAAACCCGCTTTCACAGCGAGTCAATATTTATAGATATGACAGAAAATAAGCAAAACAGCAGGGTGTTCATTTGCAACGCCATGCAGCACTCCTTGTTATTTTTGGTTAAATTTATTTGATTTCGGCTATTGAGATAGAGCGGTGTAGATGAGTTAATTTCGAGCTTATTTTTTAATCATATACAATTTTGTGAGCTACTTGAGAATTATAAGTTGTTTTCTTCGAAACGGGTGATGTCTTCTTTCACCCCAACGCCATCTTTTGTGCCATTTTGTAAGGCACTACATCGTAGGAGGAGCAAAACAGCGAAGGAAAGGGCTAAATAACGTCAGAATGGTATTACAAGTGTATATTTGAGTCCTTTAACAATAATAAAAAAGTAGTTTTATAATACGTTTGTTTTTTGTTCTGAATAGCTTCTACGTATTGCCATTTTCTGCCTAAATGAACCATGTGATCAAATTAATCGTGTTGATCTGATCGATTCTAGAATTTGTCTTTGGAGATATGCGTAATAACATCTTCGTAGTGATAATTTATCACCTTCTTCCTTGCCCACTTGATTTTGCCAGAATTAAAAATGCTCTTTTTATGCCAGTGTAGTATTACCTTGAAATCATAAGCAGATTTTTCTCGCTGGGATGTGATTATTCGGGGGATTCCTAGTCGCATTCCTGTATATGATAATTCGGGGATTTCTGGGATGTCACGTGATATTATATAGTCTACAGCTAGCTCGTATTTGACAAGGGATCGCCAAAAATTGAGAATTATCTGGCTTTTCTGTGGAAGGTTGTAGCTTCATTTCAATGAGACAATGTCTCAGTCAACACCTCCTTTTCTAGCTATTTTTCCACAGTCCCGCGTTACCTAAAATATGCAACGAAAATCACATTATAGCTAGGTTAGAAGCTCCAATCGTTATTCCACAATAACTGCACCTATCCAATGTTGCCATTACTATTTCGGTTCTTCACCACGTCTTTATTCAAATTTAATTATTTTATGTTATATTATATTTGCGGGGGGGGGGGGGGGGGTGTCTAACGCACTTCTTTCCATGCAAGCTTCAGGCTGGGGTTTGGTGACGGTTCAATGTATCTGCAGCCAGAGAAATATACCTTTTTTCTGCCGAGATTCTTTGGGTTCCTGGAAAATACTTAGTTTTCACACTGTAATGTAAAGACCCTCCCGATACACCTGTACACAACTTTTATACTTCCTCAATGATAAATAACTGCTTGCTGCTGCTCTCTACTTTATCGTTTACGTTCATCATCCAGCGTAGGTAGCAGGGGCGGCTGTTGTGTTTTAGTCACATTACTAACTTACTAATGCCACCCCTCTTGGAGCATAGGCCACCTACAAGATTCTTCCATCCTTCCTTGTTTTTTGCTCTCCTCTCTAGTTGTTTCCAGTTCATACCAAGTCTCTTGGTTTCAGTATCTGGCTCTATTCTCCTGGTATTCCGTGGCCTGGCACTCTTTTTTTACACATTACGGGGTCCATAGTAAGGTTTGTCTGGTAGTGTTTGTTGGAACCTTACTAAGAGCATGCTCAAGCCATTTCCACCTTGTCTTCTTCATGTCATCCTCCATTGGTAGCTTCTCTGTTCTCTGCCACAGCTCCATATTACTGATAGTTTTTGGCCGCCGTATTTCCATTAATTGTTGCTATTCATATTTAAAAAAGAGTCAAACACGAGAAAAAGGTCATAAATATAAAGCAGTATTTCCCAGATGCAGACGGCGCAATACATAATAGATAACCAGTTATCTAAGTCCGACCCCCCTCCTTATGTCTATTTGTCCATTGAACATGTAAGTAAGAGTAACATTACTTAGGATAGCACAGATGAACAAAATAATTGTTGAACTTCTTCCGATAAAGTTGTTAAATTTGGCACCAGACAATGATACTACAACCCTTGACTGGAGTCTCTCTATGCGGGGCCATTTCGATACCCAATCCCTGGGTTACCTTCCAAGGGTTAGCAGGGTCAGCACGGGCGGTCAGCACGGCCAGTGCACGCACGAAGCGGGAAGAGAGAGGGTTACCTCAGGTTTACCAGCAATTCCACGCATTTGCGAGTATTTTGCATATTATTTTGGACAGACTCCCACTGTTTATACCTGTTATTCTGTTGTTTATTAGACATTAGATAATAGATCTACGCGTTTTCTGTATCGTCCTTTTGGCAACCCCGTTTGTAGTAGATATCGTATTGAATTTGATGCAAATGCAGCATTAAATATGAATATTACAAACGAAATTGTGTTCTACTTCCTGCAGAAGGAGACTGTATTTTTCATTACCGTGGGCAATTATCGAAAAAAATAAGCTTTAACATTATTCATAAAAAAGAAACAATATAATTTTTTACAACTCAAGCTAATTATTGCCCAGACCCGCCAATCACTAATTTTAAAGAGTAGCTAATTCTATCTCGTGCAATAATTTTGTCTGACATAAAAACACGGATTTAAATCCAGGAAGCTGAGTGCAGAGAACGCACATCACCTAATGTTAATATCGCCAGGGCTGGCTTGCGATCATGATTTTTATGTCAATTTCCCCAGGCAATATATACGTGGTTCCAGGGCCAATTTATGTTTGATAGTGTATAATGTATTGTGTGCAGCAGTTCACCATATATCAGCTATATTAAACACGTACTCCACAGACAAGATCACTGCACGAGAGAATCACCTTGTTGCACTTAATCTTAGTTTTTTTTTCAAGAAATAGTGTATTGACGTATTCGCATCTTTTCAATTCCAATTAGAAATCAGAGCTCATTTTCGTTTTCATCAATTTTTTAGTTTTCAAATCATACACATTAAGTTTAACTTCTTGGGGAGGTATTAATTTGTCTGTTTAGCTTATGTGCGACAATTAAAGAAAACTGAAACTTAACAAACACTTTTCAAGGTAACTTAATTTTAAGATGGTTAAAAATACGAAAGCTGAAATATTTTTTCTGAAACATTTTTATAACCACACTACAGTCGTTTTTTTCTTCCAAGAAAATGGTTGATTAGTCGTTTTTCCTTTAATAACAAAATATCTATTTTCAGGGTTTGATGTAATACTTTAAAATTGATAGATTTTTCTTTGAATAGTTTACGATTCAGGTCTTAATGTTTTTAGTAGACAACCAACTGTTTAAAGAATGAAAATAAAAGCTGACCCAAAACCGCCAACATTAATATTATTCACCATATGAACCCTATCAAGTAGATTATGACACTGAAAAAATGGCCCATGGACGCCAACTTGTGTTTTACCAACCACGAGAACTACACAAAAAGGCAAATATTTTTACAAATTAACGCCTAACGACCAGAAAAAAATATATGATGACCAGGGACCGCCAACATTGATATGATAGGCCACGCGAGCGACATAAGATAGAATACTACGACAGAGTAAAACGCACTCATGTCACGTGGCCCTGTGGTCGAAAGAGCAGGTGCGAGCGAAATGGACAGATGGGCAGAGCACCGCACGCCGTGTGTTATGTAACCCACAAATTGGATCTCTCTTGATGTCTGCTGATAAATCGATCAAGAGAGAAATGACTTCTGTTTGAACTGTTTTAAGTCTTTTGTGTGCGATTCGAAATTAAAAAACCGCAGCGTCGGGTCACCTGCTAACGGGCCCGTTGATTCAAAAAGAGCGTGGTGTACCTGACGGGGTGACCGTTTGAAGCCGTCACATAAGGAGGGTCAAGAGTGGATTTGACACCATAATGATTTTAGTGAAAGGATCAGATTCAGATTAAGATAATAAAACACTAGTTGTAGAGTTTATACAGCTTACGCCGTAGCTTCCTAGCAGATTTGAAATGAAAGGTCAAATAAACGTTCATCAAGACTTCTCTAAAAACAAAGCATTTTTGAAAATGTGAAATCAAGTCAGCTGCACTCAAGAACCTCTAGATTGATAGGATTTTATTTAGCCAAATATTTATACCTCCCACTGAAACAAAATAAACTGAGAATTTGCAGTTCAGTATCTTTTAATTTTAAAAACATTCCTAAATCGAGGCCGCTTTCAAATGAAGTGTCACAAAGATTGAAAATGTGGTCTACCGCTTCCGTTTTACGCATGTATGATTTTCCGGCTCACACAAAAGGGGCGCAGATCTTCTCGGCGCCGAGGCTTTAATGTGCGGTAAACCTGGCGGCACTGTCACGGTACTGTTGTCACGTTTGCAGTACACCGCCTGCAGGGACCATTGTTTGACGTAAAATGTTATAACACACACGAACACAAAAAGAAGATTTTACAAAAGAGAGAGAAAGAGAGAAAGAGAGAGAGAAAAGGAAAAAAGGAAAATAAGATAAATGTATTCACTTTGAAGATGAATTTTGTTCAGGCCTCTGTCTTTCGTAGTTTTTAAAATGCATATTTCCATATTGATGCAGAAAAGTTACTTTATGCAAAATATTGGAATTTTAGATAACAAAAAGCGACTGGGTTTGCCTTTGTAAGACAGACACAAAAAAGCTCGCGGTATCACAAGAAATCAATGTGTTTATTGAACCCGTAGAAAACATGTAGTTTCTACGCTTGATAATGAAATTGCACACATAGACAATTGCACAGGAAAATATAATCTTTTAAGATATTAAAATAGATTATTTTCATAATAAATCAGATTAATCATCGCTATAAGTTAACTGAATCAGAAAAAATTGAATTTTAATAAATGAATCAGTCATTGGACGTCAGCTTTACGTTTAGATAAATTTATCTCCTTTATTTATCTAAACGTAAAGCTGACGTTTACGTTTACGTTTAGATAAATTTAGCTCCTTTATTTGGCATTGGAATACTCATATAACTGATGCTCAGCTGGATGGTTGGATCGTAAAACTGATATGTAGACATCATAAGTGTATCTTTGAGCAATAATAAAAAGGCAGGAGTTTGCGCCTCTATCAATCGAGGTCTTGCATTCACCTGCTTCAGAACGAATTTTGCCACCCAGTACGTTGTCACGGGTTATGGCACTGCTACAATCGGAATTTTAAGTGCATGCCTTGGAAATAACAAACCATTGTGGCACAAGTAAACACCAACATATATGAGTTACCGGTGGTTAAATATAAATTTAGAATTAAATATAAAAAAATGTAAAGAAGGGCATATGTACGATTTCTCTTTCTTTTTCTCTCTCCCTTCTCTGCTAAATCAGAGTCAATTTTTCTAACAACCGCTAGATAATTGCGATATTCATTTTCTGTTTACCTGAATGGATGGTTATCTATGTTTTTTTTTTCTTGTATTGCTATTCTCTATCCCTCTTTCCATGTTGTTTTAAGATAGTAGTAAAATGTGAAAAATCAGCTCAGTTCTCTTGCATTCAGCTCTTGATGCCTAAATAATACAGTGAACGTTCTGCATTTGATGAAAATAGTCAATGTTAAATGTTAATATTGCTCTCTCTCTCTCTCTCTCTCTCTCTCTCTCTCCATTTTATATAAATGTTGTGAAATATGTTGGGCAATCACCCCAGCTCTGCACAAGCAGATTTTAATTCAACCGCCAATAGATCCAATGGCGATACTACGTTTATTTGGTATGGAGTTATTAAAAAATAAATTATAAATGGTATTAGTAAAAAAACAATAATAAAACGTTAAATTTTTCTTCAGTGGGAAAGAAATACACTTAATGTATGTAGACCGTGTTACTTAGATATTATTGATAATTCCCCTTCCCTACCGTCATTTCGTACACTAGTTTATTCGATTTCAAATTAACGGCGGCGAAAGGTCAAGTGATTGCAGTAGAGAAGACTAAACCGAAACTTGATTCAGCGGTGCTTAGGATAGGCCAGTGCACTGGTTAAGAAGCCTCAACTTTGCAAAAAGTTATTAACAACAGTTGATAATAACGAACATTTATCATACACGTTGGATGGCATTATTGAATATTGGTAGTATGATTCAAGAGACACGTGTATACAACATGTGCAAAATGGTGTATCCCTGCACGGAGTGCACGTCAGATTTGAAAATGTTTCTGTACAGTAGTACCCCCCAGTCTTCCGCATCTAGTTGATAACAGAGAAATGAAATAAGAATATCAAATGCTATATATAGTTCATCTATTGCATGGTCAAGGCAAAATATTTACATGCTGGCTGTTTATGGGCATAGATTATATATATATATATATATATATATATATATATATATATATATATATATATATATATATATAGCGCAGAATGCTACATAGTGTCACTTTGCTCAGAAAGACATACACTGTATATCTTATCCATATCAACCCTACACCAGTTCATTAGTATTCGGAGGAGAGGGATTATAATTGCATATCCTAATAACCGTTTGATTGATCGGTATCGAATGACTGGCTTATTGATGAAATACCGTACGTGTCGTCTCATTACCTAACACTATTAGTATTCTGAATACTACAAAAACCACTGAACCTTATATATTGGCACCTTTGATAAAAACATTGCGCCAAAAATCAATTTCTATACAAAACCTGGTCAATAGTTGACCTTATTTGTGACTCGATTGTGAGACCACAGGGTGGCTTCAATTCTGTTTTTAATCATCTTTTTTGGCACCTTAAGTCCGGCTTATCCAATGCCATGGAAGAATAAGAACGCTTTTATACTGAGTACACCCCTTTAATGAAGAGGGACTAAGGGTTGCAGGGGTGCCGTTTTACAGGGTGAGTCTTGAAACGAGCAATCTGCTTTACTGTTTCTGAGGCGACAATCTCGAGGCTGTAATCTACAGACGGTGACCAATTGACTTCTGTAATTCTATTAAACCTTATAGCAGAGTCAAGAGATTAAATCCGGTCATTTAAGAATTAACGCCGGAATGAATGTTTGCCAGGAAGAAAAAAGAGAACGTCATGCGTTTTGAGCACACAAATCAAATGGGGATTTATCTCGTGAAGCGTGAAAGGTGCCGAAGATAACGTTGTTATAAGAACTACTAATGCCAAGCCAATTGCTTGGTATAACTTGCATAACCTTCAAATGAATAATCAATGTTTTATGTTGCAACAGGTCTCACCAAAGACGTGATAAAACTTGAATCAAACCTAGTCGCAGTCTTCCATGCTATAGCAACAATTAATCCGCACCGAATTCAAAACTACCGAGGGTCTCAAATCAAGAAAGACACGTTTCGTAAGTATTAGACTTTTTAGGTGACATTGTATTTAATTAAGAATATCACCATTTGAAATGAACCAGTGATTCAGGGACTTAATCTTCCCTTCAAGATATAGCGTTCGTGTCAACAGAGAGTGGTGATGTGGCTTGATTGGGAATTTTGCGTTGCCGTGAACGTTTGCTCCCGCTGTAGGTTAATATAAAAGATGATTAAATGGTACATTAAAAATCCCATACTTATGATATTATTTAGGTGATAAATGCAGTTGACATTATAAGTGCACTTAATATTAAAGATAATGATGGGGTTTAATTTTGACAAGTGTTGCATGCACTTCCGAAGGTAAAGCGTTTGAAAAGTAAGCTACTTCATGGGACCTCGAGTGTTTCAGCTTTATTTTAGTTTTATTTAATCAGAAAATCAAATTGGCATAATAATGTATAGCTTATATCCACCTCTTGATGATTTTCATTGGTTACAAAGAACTTAGTGATACGGATGTGACTGCATATTCTTTTAGAAAGTAGGCCTAAGTCGACGCTCGTGATTAGAAAATTAGAAGTTATTGCTTTTCAGCGCGCGCACGATAACCTATTTTGAAAAATGAAGGTACTTACGTGGTTTGAACTTTTTGAACCAGGAGATATAAAAGTGATGAAAACAGATCTAAAGGCTTTAGATAATTAGTGTTATTCTAAAGCAGGTGACTTTGTATACCCCCTTTTTACTTCTTTGCAGCCATGAAACCATGCACAGGAAAAAGATAGATCAAATGACTGGTGCGTCTCTTCGTAATGTCCGTCATCAGCAGCGATTGGTATCTCAGTGGGACTCCCTTGACCAACAGCGGGATAAAGAACTCAAGAACTTCACCAAAAAACGCCTGGAATGTACCTACGACTTAACTTATTATCGAAACAATAAGCAAGGACTAGAACACCTGTCACCAGATCTAAAGGGAGAAGGGTTGAAAAAACTGACTGATGACTCCCGTTCAAAATGGCAAGCCGATAAGAAAAATAGACTCGATAAATACTCGTTAAAACAACCAGACCCTGTTGACCGAATGCCAATTCCACAAATATCAAATCCAACAGAAATTCAAGCCGGCTTTGACAAATTTGTGAAAGAATCTAAAGAAATGCCAACAAACGAGTACGATGCAAACGATTCATATGGCAAATTTGAAACAAAAGGAGCAGACGATGATGAAAACGATGACTGTTATCTTCTTCCCCCCGTTATGGCTTTTCCAAGACGTTGGAGCACCACTGTAGAAACAATCACAGAACTCCCTTCTCAAATGCCCCTTCAGATGTCTCGAATAAGGCGAAATTCTGCCATGGCAGCAACTTTGCAGACAAAGGATAAGTTTTCGCGCCCGTGTGATATTTTGCACATGCGCAAGCATCTTCCACCAGTGAATCTTCCAGGACAAAAACGAGATTGAAACGCATTAAACAGACCTTTTAAAGCCTTTCCTTATCAGTGGAGGCGGTATATATATCAATCAAAGAAACTGGCCTCTTTTAGTAGTAAATTAAAGAAAGTTAATTTAATCAACGTTTTCAGACAACTTTAATAATAATTTGCAGTTCTATTTTGAGAACATGGGAACGTTAACAATAACTATAACCCACACTTATTTATTGTAGTTTATCGGAATGAGAAAGCAGTGATCTTATAGGCTACCGATGCAAATTTATGTATTTTCTCTGCGAATCAATCATGTGGATTAAAAATACGATTAAGTTTTACTAGTATTGCGATATATTTTGATAATAATTCTCTGGAGTTGTTTGTTTCAGACTTGCAAAGCCAAGTAGAAATTCAAAACTTTAGATCATCAAAAATAACTTAACACTGTTATATTATTCATTTTAAAAACACATTGCATAAAATGCGTAGTTTTTGTTAAGCTCAAGGTGTCACCTGGCGAAAGAGCCACATTTTCCTATTTTGTCAATATATTTCTTAATTGAACCATCGCGAAGTCAATGTATAGGCGATCACGCACACACCCTCGGAGTTATATAGTTTCGAGACATGGAAGAGGACTTCCTTTAGACCGACAGTTATTTTTGAAAGAACTCTAGATAACAAGTTTAGATACAGTGTTCAGAAAGAAAGGAGAAAGTCGTTGAGGTTGCGTGCGTACAGGCAACGAGTTAGGGTGTCGTTTTGAAAGGCAATTTTGTGCAAAAATCCACACGTCTGTCTTTATATTTAAAGCCAAAGTGTGTTTAAGACCCCATTCCTATAGATTTTAGATAGATCTATCCCTGTGGGAAGTCTCACTAGATTACTGTCAGCTTAGCCGGCTTAGGCGTCTGTCCCGCCTACTAAAAGCTGTAAGGGGGTAATTAACTATGGTGCGCGCTCGGCTGACTGCAATTTAGCGTGAACCCCCAGGGAGTTAGGTCGATCTAAATCTTAATCTCTGGATCGTTCTGAATCTCTGGGAATGCACCCTAAAACGGATGCTTCATTCTTTTCAAACAGTTAAATCAAAACCTTGCTCAAAATATGCATGCATGGATATTGATACAATAAAACCAAGGAGTTCCAACTCCTTGGGAATTCGCCCTGTAAAATAACAACTCTTAAAAGTGTACCGTTTTTAGACAAATTGGGGAGAATAGGTCTTTTTTGTTATTGTTTAGATTTACTTTTCAAATTTTGTTTCAGTCAAAGCGTATATCAGACATTTTTTCGGCAAAACTCAATATCTGCACCCATGGCTACTTGCTTTAACAAAAATTTTAAAAAGGTGAATTAAACAGAAACATACATTTAAAACATACTTTACTTCCGTTTCATTGTAATAAAACACAGAGCAAAAACAATTTTCATAATACGCTTTAATAAAATCGATAAAACTCAACTGCACCATTATAGGCATTAACAAAAAATATCAGCCCATGATCCAATAAGACACTATAGTTAATAGTCAAATATTTAACCACTTCCAAAACAAGAACTGCAGAATGATAAAAACTCATTCAAAACAAGTATGTCATTACTTTGAAGTTATTTGGCTTTTACTACTGCATCCTGTAGAACCTATTTATATTTCCAATGTTTTCTTCAAAAATATATTTATAGAATGATTTAAGGTCAAAACGAGAACAAGTTTCATAATACGCTTTAATAAAATGATAAAACTCAACTGCACCATTCTAGGCATTAACCATAGGTATCAGCCCATGATCCAACAAGACACCACAGTTAATAAAGTCAGCATACATGACTTACAAAACCACTTCCAAAACAAAAAACTGCAGAATGATAAAAACTCTCATAAAAGACATGTATGCCATTACTTACAAGTGATTTGGTTTTTACTACTGCAAGGTAAAAGGTAAAAGGTATTTATGCATCCCATTTTTTTTTTTCAAAAAATATTTTTATAGAATGCGTAAGATAAAACCCATTCAATAACACTGTGCAACTTGAGTTATTAAAGACAATTTAAATAAAATACACTTCAAGTCCTACATGTGCCTTAATACTCTTGTGCTAGACACCATATGACCTCTTCAGTAATAATGTAACATAAAAACATGCATACACCATACGCATTTTGCATTGTATCTATTATATCTGTAATACTTACTTTAAAATAATTTGTTCCCTTCTCCAATTACAACAATATCTCACCAAACCTATTTCACGTTCACTTTAATATCATGTGGATAACTGGCTTAAAATCATATCATACACATACACACACATATATATAACCAAGCTGCCTTATGAAATCCCAATAATATAATGTTGTACAAATAAAAGATGCCTATTCAACCAATCCACAATTTGATAAGAATGTTTTGCAAAGGAAAGGTTGACACATCAATTGTTTTCTTAATAATAATAATAATAATAATGAGTAAATACATAAATTGAAAACAGGTTTGTGCACTTGACTAACATCAAAAAATTGCATCAATGACAATTGTAAATTGGTCACACGTGTGCAGTTTTCATCAGACAAGGAAGACTGAGATCACAAAAAAAACCCCTTCAAAAACATACTTAAATACAGATCCTTTGTTATTTTAAAAATGTTAAGAAATCATCCAGATATATGAAAAAGTGAAAAAAAAAACAAAAAAACTCTCTGTACAGCCCCGTTGGTGTTAACTAGGAAACGTTTCAGAGTCCTAATTTTACCTTTTTTTTTTTTTTTTAATAAACCAAACTGTCAAGATCTTGGGGGGGGGGGGTGTCCTTACTCCAACTTCCATTAAAAAAAATCTGCCAATCTAAAATTATTTTGTAAGAAAATAGCATGGCTTTAAACCTTCTGAACAAAAAAGCCAAACTCTGCATCTGGAGAATAGAAATGACAAATAAAATGAGGAAGCAGGTGGATATACAATTATGATGAAAAAAAAAGAAACTTCTTATTAAATCTGTCCTCAAATGTAGACGTCTACAGTGCGCCCGAATATTCCATTTTATAAGCAAAAGTGTCATTTTCAGCAGCAGCTCTAATGTTCCATGAGCCGTCACTCCACCACCTTCATTTCCTTCCAGCTTCTATTAAAAAGAGTATGTCTTACTTGGAGTCACTGTAGAACCGACTACACCCCTTGATGGCATTTTTTTTGGTGTCTCTCCATCAGCTGTCTCTCTAATGAAAAAAAAAAATACTACTAATCACAATTTGATTAAATCATGATAGAAATAACCTCAAACTCCAATCATTATTTTTGGATAAAGTATCAACTCATTTTTGGAAAAAGTATATCAAATTATGTGTTATCAGGTAAGGCTTACAAAAACAGGTCTGGGCAAATAAGAACCTAATTACTCAGATCAAGTATATCCAGGGGCATAAATATCTCTGGGAAAAATTGAAGACCCTGAATTGCAGACTTCCCATCATTCTTCGTTATCATAAAGTCTATTTAAGGCAGAGATCTCTATTCAGCTATGATTCAAGTTAAAAATATTCTGACTGAAATATTATATCAATTTAACAGTACTAATATATATATATATATATATATATATATATATATATATATAAGTGCACCATTTATCAGCAATAAGAATAATAGGAAAAAGTCGCAGTTTTGAGACCTCATCAGATGTCAGTTATCAAACTGTACAGATGGTTATTGTGGCAAAAACCAGTTCAGCTGTAAATGAATAATAGTGAGCACATCTGACTCTCAGGTAATGCATGTCTAACACAATCCTTGCCAGAGTCATGGAACACAAACCACATTCAGCCTGTTTTTCAAAAAATATATATTTTTTTATTTCAGAAAGGAATTGCAGTGTATATACTTCCTTTATTCCGAGCTATACAATATTTGTTTAAATCATTCTGAATGGTGTCATATCCAGATCTGCCAAGCTGTCAGAAGTAATGTCCATCTCATATCATTAATTTCCACTGTTTTTTTTATTGGTGTACATCCTAAAATTCTTAGTGAACTTTCATCCAGGTTGAAATTTCATCGTTGCTATTTGTGCAGGACCCAATGAGGAAGCAATATGGTAATAAAAAAGGCTGTTACCAGTAGTAATTGATAAGAAAACATTTTCAAAGTTGATGAAGGCAAAGACACAAGTCATTACACACCACACAAACCACAAACATATGCTAAAAACATTGAACGGAATAAATAAAATAAATTACCCATCCATTTTCCTCTTGTTTGGATTGAAATGTTTCTTCAGGCCTTCCCAGCACTTGTAGTATTTGTGGTCCACTTTCTGGCACTTCTCATTGCCCCATTTTGTAACCTGCATGCTCAGGGAACTCTCAAACATGAATGACTGGAAAACAGAAATAGACAGCAGAGCTGACAAATATACAGATACTTAACAGAAAGATTAATTCCACTTGCCCTATGGACAGACAGTAATCAGAATATATGATGACACACACAGTGTCTGTATAAAATAAGAACAAAGCATTTGCAGTGTCATTCTTTCTCAATATGTGTGACATGCCTTAAACTTGGATGAATCTTTGATGAAGACATATTCTACAAAAGAGAAAAAAAATTTTTTCTATTTACTACTTTAATATAAAACTACAGAAGAAGATAATGTCTTATAATATTATCAAAATATCTTGGAGTATAATTTCTCCATGAGCTACAGTCCAATACCGATGACAAAATGCATACATAAATGTAACTTAACTATGCATATCTTATATGAATTCATTTTGTAAAATTATGAGACACAGTATGTATTACCATAATGTTGAAAGATGATTGTTTTGCAGCATCCCTAATGTGATTGTAAACTATGCCTGATTACATTAGTACTCATCTGCTCTGGAAAATGTATTAGTGTGCATTGGTGTGTGTGTGTGTGTGTGTGTGTGTGTGTGTGCGTGCATGCGTGTGTATGCATGTGTTAGTGACAACCGATCACCTTGAGAGGCACCCAGTATTACCATGGTTCCATCAGCCACTCTCTGTGGCTTCAATTTGGCATTGGAGGCCTTCTCAAAGCATTCCGCATCTGGACCATGTGGGGTCATCATACTGTGGAGGCTGGCACCTCCTGGTAGGAAACCTTCCTCCTGGAAAAAAAAAACCTTAAAGCAATAATAACTCTTCCATTGAGATTCAAAAATCCGCATGAAATACATTGTAAACAACGCATGGAAATATATTCTATTGTATTTTACCACTGAAACGGCCGTTATTGTAGTAAAACTAAAATCTGTACTTGTCAATAGGGCTTTCGAGCCTTTCTTCCCAGTCATCAAGGCACTCGTTGCTAATGACGTAATGGTGTCACCGGATTCTCGCGTTCATTCGAGACCAAAATAACATGGCCCCAAACGCATTAATGCGGACACAGACGTAAGTTGCGAGTTTTTGTACAGTGCGTCGGATAACGAAAAGCCCAGAATGGCACACATTGTGGATATAAATGCATTTTTAACAAAAAGACGAATATATCTCATGAATCTTATATAGTGTCGTTGTTGTCTGCTTTTCCCGCGGTTTTAAGTAGGTCACCAGTGACTTTGCAAAGTCAGAGAGAGCTCCGTCAGTTAAAATCTCTTAAGAGATTTTAACAAAAAACCGTACGTTTAGGAAAAAAACCCTGGATTAACTTTGAATGCAGGAATGGGGTCGTTGACCATTGGTTAGTACGGGAAAATTGCCGTTTTTTCCAGGAAAATCCAATTTTTGGCCAAAACGAAGAGTTATTATGACTTTAATAACAGTTTTCTAATGTAGAAATATTGGATAACCTTCTCTACACTGCTTTTCTCTGTAGCATGCTTCTGGGTAGAAACTTTTAAAGAGTTTTATCTCAGCTTATGCATAGTTTTTTTTCATGAAATACTGAAATTATTCTGCACTGTCTAATTTCTCCTTAAAATTGTGAACACACACATGCATGCACACACATGCACAAACACAATAACAACAACATACCTTGGCCTCGTAGTTGCCATAGATCAAACCCATAAATTCACTCATACAATTTCCTGCAATGAAAAAAAAAATACAATATCAATTAAAAGATCACACTTTATAATGTTATCTCTTAATATTACCTAATGATCTCTTGAAAACAGTAAAATTTTGATGAACTTTTTAATTTTTTTTCTAGTAAATTGTTTAAAGTAGTGCAAATACCCACTATTCTTCAGTTCTAAAAAGAACAGTACAAACTACATTGTACATCATGCACTGCAAAGCATACTGGAAGGTGATAAAAAACTTTTTGACTGGGGCAACTGAAATCCATAAGATTTGAAAACCGTTTTAATGAATGCATAAATTGATGTTGACAAGAGGCATAAGGTGAAAGCACCAAAAGTGTGATCAAAATCTGCTTTATTTGAATTTCCTGCCAATAACTTGCCCCTTTAGCTTAAGAACATATTTTTTAAAGTTAAAAAACAAATACATTCTGTGTAGAATAATCTTACTGTGATAGTATGGAGGTCTGAACGTATTCTCAGCCACACCCCAGCGTGGAGGAAATATAACAAAGTCAGCAATGGCCACCCCTGGCTTCATGGACTGGCAGGTCAACACAGTGAAGATGGAAGGGTCCTACCGTTATAACAATAACAGACAGTATGACTAATCCATGGAAATAAATGACATGCATAGAAAAAAACAACAAGAGTACAATTTGTTTTGCTTTGAAATCTAAATACTCTAAATATATATAAACAATATGTGTATGTAAAACCAAAAAATTGCATTTTAACCAGATACATGTGTTGCTAATTCATATCACAGGTTGGTTTGGAATTGTTTTATTATTAAGAATATGAGTATCCATTCTCAAACATTTTTCTCTTCTTTAAAACATTCTAAATATTGCAAAACAAGAAAAAGAGTAAGGGGGAAAAGACAGTTACACCTTATCTGAACTTTTTTGAACCATGGACTAAATTTGTTGGAATTAGAGTGTCAAAAAGATCAACAGAAAAAATGTCACTAAATTAGAAAAAACTGTGGACCAGCCAAAAATTAAAAAATCTTCTTCTGACCCTGTACATAAACACTTACCACATGATCAAAAGAGACAGTGTTGATGGTATTGAATTTACTCAAGTCGTACTTATATGGAGCAAAGTTCCCATGCCAGGCAACAACATCAAATGGAGAGTGATTCTAAAAGGACAAAACGAATCTTTTCAATTGTCCATCTTACTTCAGTCAATCATATCACTCAAACCCATGAAATATAAAGAATAAGAACTGGTTAAGAAGCTTTTACAAAAGCACAATGTCCAGTGCAACAAAAATATGAAACAGCTGTTGTTCTGACCTGTTTGGCAGCAAAGAGACATCCCTGGAACTTGCTGATGACAGTGAAGTCACATTCTCTGTCCTCGTACCAAGCCACGGGGGTCTGGAAGTCCCTGGGATTGGCAAGACCATTAGCACCTTAAATCAATACAAACAAATAGCATATCAGTAAGTCAGCATACATATATTGGTATAGTATGGTAATGGCCAAATGATAAATATATTTGAATTTGTGCATAGGCAATGAATTTTATTAACCATTTCAGCCTAACAAAAGTTTTACATAGTTAAGGAGTGATAAATGTAAGGATTATATTAGACAGCTCAACTCGACATATTGAAAGCTTAAACAGCTCATGTCAAGATTTAACATCACCAAGTCTAATTAGGACCAAAAAAGGCTCGCCTTAAAAGCCATCCAGAATGCTCTTTGTTAATGAGTGTGTGGTCTTAACACAACTTCTAACAAAAATCTGGATAACAAAATGATATCTCACCAATTGGTCCCAAATTTGGCAGAGCAAAAGAGCCATCAAACACTTCTAACATGTATCCTCTGGTTTCTCCCTCCACGGCTACACTAAAGCGAACTCCTTGCTGCAACACCAAATACTTGTATTTATTTTTTTAATTTTTTTATATATGACACCACTGGGACCAGCAGAGACAAGAAAAAAGGGACAAAGAAAGAAATGTAACCATATATTATTGAGCATTTTGCCCTTCTGTACTTTAATTTTATGCCCTGTTTCTAGTGGGTGAACCTAACTTAGAATTATCCATCCCAGCAGGTCTTTTAATCTTGGAAGTTGATCTAAGCATAGTCAAACCCCCTTCTGAAATGGGTAATAAAAAAAGAGGGACTCATTTTTCAGTCAAGAGTGAGTCTCTACAGATGAAAGATATGGTCACTTTTACATGCAAATGCCTCAAAGACCCCCTTCCCCCAAATCATGAAAGCATAAATTAACAGCTATATAACATAATCATAAGAATGATATAATTTTGGTTGCATCTGAATTACCTGAATAACACAAATTTCATTTGGATGGACATGCATCATTCCAAATTCAGTAGTAATCAGCAGTGGACCCTGTTGTGGAACTACAGAAATAAAAAACAATAGTTTTATTGTCTAATATGTTTATATTATTCACCCATGGATAAAAATCTGCCCTTGAAAACATACATAGACATCCTGAGAATTATCATAGTTGTAATACTAACCTATCAACATTTCACCGTCAGAGTTGTAAAAACATCTGTAAAGAAAACAAAAAAGTTTTAAATAATATGTCTGATGAAACAAACACAATTATAGAGTAAACCATTTATATTTTATCAGAAATTATACCTACCTTTGTAATACTTTTACAAAAAAAAGTTAATAAATAATTGATTGACCTATAATTTATCAACAATGCCTTAATGTGTTATTTATTGGTAATATTTATGCAAAATCTTGGAACATCCTTAAAACTAATTCAGAGATGACCTTTCACAATTTGCATTCATTTTTCAACTTTATCTAATATTATATTGCAATGGATAACATAATTCATTCCAAAGAATATCCATTTCCAACTTCCCTTCAAGCTGCTCACCTGTTTGTCATGGAGGCATTGCAAGCAAAGATATGAACTCCACACCCATGCCTTGCCCTGGCATCACCAGCACCACACACTGTGGCCAGGCCCTGGAAACACTGGTACTTTAACACAGTTTCCTTTATACATAATATATCTGAATATGTTAACAATATCTAAGGAGCAGTTTTCACACACACACACACACACAAACACACACACACACACACACACACACACACACACACACACACACACACACATGGGACAAACCAAAAATTCTGAACATTTACTTCAAGCATGTCATTCTTGATAGTTGCTTTACCTAAAGTTATTTTCACATAACATGAACAGTTTTTAAAAATAATTGAAGAAAACATTTAATCATCCTGACTTTGACTTGCAAGGTGAAAATAAGTTAACTTATATTATGCATTTCTTTCTTGACACTTGGAGACATGCATCATTCCTACCTCAACAAAATCAACCTTCTTTCCATTTTTGTTGGGAATATCAAATGGTTTCCATCTCAGCTGAAAAAAAGGTCAAACAATGGCATAATTTTTAAAACAGGTGAAGTACCTTGAACTAAAAAAGTTTTTATAGCTTGCTTGAGATGTTAAATCTTCCTAAATTGTGAGTGATAAAAAATTCTGAATTAATTTCTACTCACAATTATTTAGTTGTTTAGGAACTTTGAAGTGTAATTTTAAGTTGAAATACAAACTTTCTCAAACCTGGTTGGGATTGGGATGTGTATCAGTCCAATTATTAGTAAAATTTCCTGGTTCCATAAGTTCAAAAGGTTTGTGCATTACTGAAGGCCTAATGCGATACAGCCAACTAAAACAGAGCAAATGTGCTTAATACATGGAACTTATAGATTGGCAAAAATATATTAATAAATAAATAAATAAATAAATAAATAAATAAATAAAACCAAAAATGGGGAAATCAACTTCCATGAATTGCACCAATATTTAAGCTGAAGGTCAAAGCTTGATTAATAAGAATTTTAATAGGTGGCCATTTGGAAAAAGATAATTTCCGATTTGAAAAGTAGGTACTAGGTGATTTACATTGAAGTTAAACATACTATGGTGTCCTATCTTCAAATCTCCTATTATTCTGCTTGCCTTTACAAAAATCATGCCAAAGTCTATCTTATATTTAATTACCTTCTTTTATTTGAATCTCTGGGAGCTGTAAAGGCACTTCCAGACAGCTGCTCAGCATATAATCCATAGTTACATTTTTGGGGGTTATTCTGAAAAAAAAAATCAATAGACAACCAATATAGGTAAAAACACTGTCTTATTCATTCCTATAAAATTCAATGAAAAACATGTTAAGTAGTGATTGTACTCTAGGGATTTTAAATAGATATGATAAAGCTAGACAAAAACATGAGCTTATTCATAAAACTGAACAGTGAGCTGCATTTTATATCATTTATATTTGGACTCACTAATACATCAAGACTCATTATTAATAAAACCATTAACCTATGTTAGTTATATACAGACTAAAAAAACCTAGATATTCAAGTTCTATACATTGTTGATTAAGATTCCAAATCACCGTCTAGTGACGTTATAGGCTCCACATGAGAGATGCGCGTGCAGCTCAGCGTCATTCATTGCGTGGTTTCTCAGCGAAGCGAATGCAGATTTACAAGCTGCATGAAACTAATATTTCTGCAGTGTTTTGAGCTCTTTGAGTGCTAAAGCATGTCTGCTGACATACTGTTAATACAGTGATATGTGGTTATCAGTTGCATATAGGCTGAATAATCAACTACCCAAATATGTATCATGGAAACCTGATCGGTTTGCTATGACAACAGATACCTTGTCTATTGACTGGTCACAGATGAATGCTTATGCATTTCCACTTTTTTCTTTAATAGGAAAGATGTTAAGCAAGATTGAGTTTGATCAAGTGGATAGTATCCTAGTGGTAGTGCCTTATTGGACAACTCAAGTATGGTTTTCAAAATTGAGCCATCTGTTAATATCCTGTCCTTTTTTACTTCCCAGGAATCAAGAATTGCTGTGGCACCCACACAAAAACATGGACAATCTTCCAAAGTTACAGCTTATGGCTTGTGTATTGTCAGGGAAAGTTGTGAAGACATGGCATTTTTGCCAACAGGTGTCAAATTGGTCATGTCCTCATGGAGAGATACAACTGTCAAGCAATATGAATCTTCCATTTCCAGATGGATTCAATATTGTAGTGAGAGGAACATTATACCTTGTTACCAAATGTAACTGATGTTGCTTTGATATGGGCCTTGGATATTCTGCTCTAAATACAGCAAGATCAGCACTTTCAACTTTTATTTTGGTGGATAAGTGTCCAGCAGTTGCTCATCCTCACGTGGTCAGACTGATGAGAGGAGTTTTTACTTCTAGACCTGCATTACCAAGGAACAATGTAATATGGGACACAAGTTTGCTTTTGAATTACCTCAAAAAACTTTCACCTGTGAAAAAACTTAATCTTTTACAACTGAGCAAGAAAGCATTGACATTGACTATGTTATTGACAGGTCAAAGAATACAATCGTTGCATCTTATTGATATTCGTAACATCACAATTAATAAGTCTAAAGTCACATTAAGATTTGGTGATTAACTGAAGCAGTCAAGTCCAGGTCACCACATTCCTGAAATAACAGTGACAGCATATGCACCAAACAATTATGTTTATGTACTGTCTTAATGGAATACATGGACAGAGTCAAACATTTAAGAGGAAATATCACAAGATTGTTTTTAACATCTGTAAAGCCATGTAAGGCAGCAGCCAAATCTACCATATCTGGATGGATTAAGCAAACTATGAATATGGCTGGTATAGACAATTCTGACATGGAGATATTTACTCCACACAGCACACGTAGTGCAGCATCTTCACAAGCAAAACTTGCTGAAGTGCCATTAGACACTATTTTGAAGACGGCAGGATGGTCTAAAGATTGCACATTTGCTAAATATTACGATACAGAAATAACTCAACAGGGCCAGTTTGCAGATGCTATTTTGTCTGGCACTGGTGTCTGACACGGACATTCAGATTTACAGGGAGCTGTTTTATGAACTGTTTATTTGATTTTACTTTTTAAGCTGCAATTTGTGCAGTTACAGTTGTTTCCTGCAAATTGTGCAGATGGAGTTCTTTTGAACATTTAATTATGCTGTTTATAACTGCAGCTTCTGCACTTAGAGTTGTTTCCTGCAAATTGTGCAGATGAATTTCTCTTTTGCATCGAATATGCTGAACATTTACAAGTTGTTTGATAAACAAATTCATTGTTCTTTGCAGTTAATACATGTTGATTTAAACACATAGTGTTTGTGCCTTTATTTGCTGGTTTCAAAAAACTTTGTAAGGTGTTGTGTCTGGACCACACTTTGAACATCTCATGTGGAGCCTATTATGCCACTAGACGGTGATGTGGAATTAGAGGGTTAAATAAACTTACTTACCGTAGGTAAGTGATATTTTACCTGGATTCCACATCATCGTGGGTGACAGAATAGGGTTCACATCCCATCCTGGGACATTTCCCTTCCCGTGAACCATTCTGTCACTCTGTGGTCCACACTACAACTACTTTGAAATATGACGCTGCGTGCGCATCTCTCATGTGAACCCTATTCTGTCACCGACGATGACGTGGAATCCAGGTCAAATATCGTTCACCTACGGTAAGTTCATTAACCCTCTAATTAATTAAGTAAGAAATTATTTGATTTTGTACTCTTACAAAACCCTGTCATTGTTTGAGATACTTCAAAACAAGATTTACCTGGCCTTCAGGTAAGGCACCTGCACATCTGGGATCTTCAGACGTAAACTCATTTCCAAACCCAGTCATATACTTCAGCTGCAACAAATGAAATATGCTGTAGGTGCATTGTATTACAGGAGCTGTAAATATATTTAACAAAAAACAAATCAGATTAATTTTTTTTTATTATTTTATCCTGGGGGATCTGACCAAATAGCACACCAGAGGGGGTGATAGGTAGTCATGCCTGTCACAACCTCATTCCCAGATGAAGTCTGACTGCAAGTAGATGAAATATTGGATGGTAAGATCAGACAGTAGCTATAGACAAAAGAATCTTCACAAGTCTATTACAATAATATAGCTAACTGTTCTACAGGACATTATGGAGTTCTAGTGTCAAATTATTGCTGCTATAGCCAACAAAAACTGTCACCAAATATTTAAAATTAAAATAGTGTAATTTACATGTATATAAATACCACAGTTTCATTACATCCCCCCCCCCTCCCCGAAAAAAGTACCACATATATTTTTATCTTACTTTCCGTGCCTACAGACTCAAGGGAGGGGGGGGGGGGGGGGGGGGAAGAGGGAGGAAGAGAAAAGTTGGTCCAATTTCAGTCCAATTTTAAGCCTTTTTTCCTTTTGTTTGAGAGATAAATCTTAGTTGTTTTGGCATGCCAATTTTATTGTGCTAGAAACTTGTACTATTAATTCAAATACGTTACATGGCATTTAATTTTGAATTAGGAGATTAATTAAAAGAGTAAATCACCAAAATTACATCTTATCAATTTTAATTGGTAATGGATTTTCTTCAGAATTTAATATATCTCCATTTAATAATCTGCCTTTTGTATTGTGTGCAAGACACATTTATCATTCTATTTGGAATGCATTTCTTCAGTTTTACAAGTGTATTTTATTATATTGGAGTCTCTTGAAACCATGTCAAAAACTCGCTCTTGATATTGCCCTAGTTAGTGGTCTCATACTGGGACAAATATCATTTGTCTTTCGTTTCACATAAAAATGTAACGTAAATGTGTTGACATTCCATCATGCGCGCGATCCAAGACAAAATAAACATTTTCGCAAATCGTGATAGTATCCGATTTTATGAATCACTTAAAAAGTATTAACGTCTCCGTAAAAATCAGTAAATTGCAAGTGTGTGTCTTTGTACATATTTGTGCGTAAAAGAGATCCCCAGAGCCACGAAGATCCTGCAACATGTGCATGCCAAACAACCAATCAAAACTCGTTATTTGAGACACACCTCTGTCTTAATTAGTTTTTTTTTTACCCAAAGTTAACCACCCATAAAACACCAACAACTATCATAAGTTACTTGTGGTAGAACCGAAATTTCCTACCATGTAAGCAGATTTTTGCTTATCTTTTCAGTAAGGTGACAAACATGACAAACGTGGACATAAACAAAAAACGCACCTTTAACTTATCCGCCATCTTTGATGGTCTGTAGTCTCTAGCATCCGAGACCATCTTGTGAGATCAAAAAGCATCAAACTCGAATGCAGGAAACATTTCTTCGGTTTTACAAGTGTATTTTATTATATTGGAGATTTTACATGAAATCTTGAAATATCTTAAAAATTGACCTGGAGATGACCTTCCGCGATTAACTCCAGAGGAACGGCCGATGTGCAAATTCTTGCAATAACATTCGTTGATTTTCTTGTTCAGAGACAGAAAAGGTAAGAATCGTTTAGTGTGAGAGCAAAATAACTCTTCCCTGTTAACGTGACCTAGAATTTTTGTTGATTGCATTCTTGCAAGTAGTAGTAGCATGCTTTGTATGTGTCTGGTGTTATCCGAACTTGCTGGGCTGAAAGTAGGTCACGAGCTTGATTATGCTAGGGACGAAAAGACCGCGGGTACTTGGACCATACCGACAATTTGACAGGTGTCTTTGATGTTTTATAAGTTTAATTTATCCTTTTGTCTATGCGGCTATGGATGCACAGTGTACAGTTTTGTGTTCGTCTTATTTGATATTTTAATGTAAACGAAAAATCACTGATATCTTATTATATATGTCAACGATAAATATTTTGACTTATGTCTTATTAAAACGTATTTGAAAAATAGCAAAGAGTCGTATTTTTATGTCGAAATACCTGCAGAGCTACTTATATTTCCCAATTAAGACTTTATAAATGGCAAAATCCCTCAAATAAATGTTTTCTTCTGAAATGTTTGGACGTCTATGGTAATCTAAATGTACATGTACAGGGTCTGACCAGACGTTTACAATTGAACAGCCCCAACTTTATTATTTATTAATAAATGGAATTAATAAAACATTATTTCCAAGATGTGAGATGTGCTACACAAAAATTCTTGAGCAGATGTTTTTTTCTCAATATATATAGATTTGATTTAAATTATTGTTTTTCTTTTTATCAAGAGCTTATAAAATACAGAGCTAATGAAACTCTTATCTCAATTATATAGATTTGGCTTGAAAATCACCTCGAGAATACCGTCAAGATAGCATGTAAAATGATTGAATTCATATATAAGCACAGGTCCCATTTATGGGATTTCAGAGAGAAAATTTTCTAGGGCTCTCAGCAATTTTCTAATGTCTAGCAATCATGACTATACTGAGTTCCAAACCCATAATTCCTGTATTGATAATTTTTTAGGAATTTTGGAATTTTGTCCTTATTATAGTTCTTTAAGGGATGCAATATATTTTGGGGTATTAGTGAAGCCTATCACTAAGAAAGTGACAAGTTAGCCTGCTGTATGCCTTCAATGATAGATGGCAGCAGGTTCATGCTACAGGTCAAATGTTGCAGCACATGTTAGGCACCTGACCTTGTATCATTGACCAATGTCCTAGATAAAATCTGTAAAGATGTGCTCTATGCTAACCACTTTTTGCAATGTAAATAGGTTACATGAGCTATTTAGAATTTGTTTTATCACACAAGGTCATTATCGCCTCTCTTGTGTCATGAGTCTGTTTGATATAAGATTTTTCATAGAATTTGACCATACTTATAATTACTTAATATCTAGATCCTCCTAGATGTTTTAATATTCTCACAGTATCATTTATGATTTTTTAAAATTTATCTGATTATAATCAGAGTTGGATTTCATACTCCATAGTGGCCTGACTCATCTCTCTCTGTTGCTGTTAAATATAATGGGTGGAGTTGGGTGGAGGCAGGTTTTAATCACTATCTTGGCCTTGTAATCAGATCCAAAGAATTGTCTGAAATATCTGTTATTGTCAAAACAACAGAAGTAGGTTAACAAATTGAGTCGTAATAGGGCTGGTGTTTGGTACTTTGACCCTGAGTTTCTGAGTTAAGGCAGTCACCATTTCGCCCATGGGATTTAGATTGCAGTAATACAGACCTTGAAATCCAGGGTGCTTATGGTTATACACCTGTGGTATTTTTAAGGTTGATGTTATTTTTGTACTAGTGTTATGTTTTTTTTAAGTAACACAGAAAAAGATGATTTTTGGGCTATTATAGTAATCAGACTGTGGAGGTTTGAAAAGCTAATATTGATGTAAGAGAAGGGATGAAATTTTGCTGTCAAACCATCAAATAAGTATAGACTGAAATTAAGCCTAATTTTATTGGTTTACCACAATGACTCCCTTTGGATGTTTTGTTTATTTGCTGGCCCAAGTTTACTGAACAGAGGTTTCAACTTTGCTGTTATTACAATCCTTTTAGGGGTCTTAACCAATGTAAATAAAAAACGCTATTTTTGTAACTCTTTATTGAAATAGCAAAACACTGCTTAAAAAATTGACCAACTTTATTAGTGGCCTATATTTAAAACTGATGTCTGTTGAAACCACATTTCTGTAAGATGAGTATTGTGGCTTGACCCATAGTTATATTAGCAAAAAAAAAACTATGATATACAGCCGTAAAACTCTGTTATTAGAATAATCTGCATCAATACATGTAGCTAGAACCCGTGCTGCCATTTAATTTAGATTGTGACTGATATGCATCTGTTGGGGAGGCACAGTGACAAGTGTACTTACTGACTTTTAGGTGGAGTTGATGTATATGGTCTGCTTTTTGTTTAAAACAATAGTTGTCAAGGATTGTTTATTTTTGTCATATCAATACTGCTGCAAATAGCAATGTAGTTGAAGATGAGTATTTCAAATTAGCATGCAGTAGATTAAATATTATGCCAATGATATTGTTAAGATTTTTTAAAATTTTGTTAAAAAAATAAACAGTTTCTGGAAAGAAGGTGGAAGAAGATGGTTAACCATGGTGAAGAGGCATCTTACAATTATACTTCTCGGAGGAGGACAGCTCGTTATATTTGCACAGAGACTTGCTAGGCTGTTCACTGAACTTCAGATAACATGATAAAATATTGAGAATATTGAAAGCATTACTAGTACATTTGCTTAAACCCCCTTTACACTGGATGGCATCCTTTCTGTGCCATTGTACAACCACGAAACTGGCCTTACTGCAGTCGTAGAAAGGAGGCACAAGCATTGCTTTGGTTGCAAAATGAATGCTCGGTGATCAGCCAATTGTTAGCACGGAAAGTACTTTTTTTACTCATAAACAGGGCGGTACTATGGGACAAAAAAGGACATTGTCCAGTGTAAAGGGGGGTTTACTGCATCCACACTTTCTTCTTTTTATTTATTAGCCTAATAGCAATTTAGTTAAATAGTTCATAAATAGACAAAATGGTTTTTGCTATGTCAGTGATTAGCTAAAGGAGATCTTTTGAGATAAAGGTAATCATTTTTGTAGTTGACATCATGGATTGATACTGATAAGATGTAATTGAAGTATTCATCAAATAGGGGACTCATGAGTAAATACATATCAACATCATAGTAGCCAATAAAAGAATTCTCTAAAGATTATCCCTATAGTAAACCATAGTTAGAGCAGTAACTGAGTGTTTGAATAGATCTCTTGGATCATAAGTTTCATCTTTTGTGTTGGGACAAGAATGGAACATGATCCTGACAGTGGAGATGCAGGTTATTTGACAAAATTTCTTATTTTTCAAAGGCAGTTTCCTGAAGTAGATGGATAAGAATATATAAGTGAATTAGATATTTATGATATATGTTTAAAATAGTTCAGTTATTAAAAAACTGCAAACATGCAGAATCTTGTCCTGTATATGGAAGATATGCTTTATTGGGATGCTGTTTTTATTTACATACTGTCTTAATATTCTTACTATTTTTTGTAAAAAAACTGAAGATATATGCTTTATTGGGATGTTGTTTTTATTTGTAACATATTATCTTAATATTCTTACTATTTTTCGTAAAAAAACAAGGTTCAAAAAGTTCAGTAGTTCCTGTTCTCTTTTAAAGGGACTGATTAAGTTGTGACAGGTACAGTAATCTCAAGGGATTACAAGGTCATTTTAACTTTGACAATATTAGAACTTCCTCTGGATGAAAACTGTGTGAAAAGCTGAAGATTAATTGCAGTGATTTTCAAGAAAAACGTGTGTGGCTACCCACAGTTCTTTTTGAAATAAGCGTGCTCTCTTTCCCTTGTCACTTACTAGAATCTAGTTCCATTTTTAAAGACTGAAAAAAAATTATGAATGACATGGATGGTAGAATGTAATATGGAATTCTTAAATTATAAAATTACATCTAAGGACCATTAGTCTAACTATATAGTTTTCATTATGATGGGTTAATTTTTAGACAAAAAAAGTACAGGGTAAATGTTGCCTTATTCTTTAACCTGTTATTTACAGTAAACTGCTTACCGCCCATCCTTCCACATTAACATGTGACCTCGATTCTGTGGGGGATGGAGGTCGCATGCTCATATATGCTCAACATAGCCATTGAGAACCTCAGTGAATCAACGTGATATGTGTTTTTAGAGCAATCTATGTTTTTTATGGAGGATTTGGTATTTGTGAATCAGCAAAACAGTGTAGTGGAGATGTATACATAAACATGGATACAAGGCAGATGATAGAACAAAGATGGGTAAAAAAAAGTTTAAATGTTGATTTATGTCATGTTAGCTGCACTGTGTTAAGGATATTATACAAAGCAGTATTGTGTAGTACTTAAGGACTTTAGGAGAATAGTACAGCAATTTATTTTTATCTTAGTTTTAGCAGAAGAATAGGGGGAAGTGCAAAGGCTGAATTAACATGTTAGCTCATGTTTTATGTCTTAGTAGTGTGTGTGTGTGTGTGTTTGTGTGTGTGTGTGTGTGTGTGTGTGTGTGTGTGTGTGTTTGAATGGTTTTTGGGAAACAAGTGTTAAAAAGTTTATTGAAATCAAATGTCCGTATAAATGCTACCTGGCTTGACAGCAAAGAGATATATAACAAGACTATTTTTATGTCTGGTCTTTACATACCGAACAGACTACATTTTCATATTGCTGTACAGCTCTACTCAAGATCTGTGCACGTAGATCAGCTATACATTGTTTCCATCAGCTCCCAGACAATATACATATGTAACCTACATACATCTTGTTTGCATATCTGTAGCCATCTTTTTGCTATACATCTTGCTCACGTAGATGATTGCTGATCTGTAATTTGTGATATACATTGTTTAAAGTATGTCTTATGGTTTTATACTCTTTTCAGCTCTCAGGTGGCCTTTTTCCTAGCAGCAATGATGCCAAAATGAAGGTGGTATGCGTGATTGACCGCAGTCCGTCAGCTCCACCCATCAGGCAGAGAGTCTATGAAGAGATCGAGAAAGCATGTAAAAGGTAAATCATTTTGCATTATGCTCTGCATTCATGTGAAGGGCAGACTTTGTGCTGTGTTAAAAGCAGCTTTTGGCCTATTAAATTACATCTTTATGTATCAAAAGAATTGCTTATTTCATGTGCACTTTAACTTGAGTACTTATCCAGTAAAGGTATATCCTCTTATATCATTGATGTTATACAATGGATGTGGAGTGGCAATCTTCGTGACTGTCTGTTGTAATAAAGGCTTTCTTGGAATATGTTTGAGTAAAAGAAAATATTGTTGATTTGAAGAAGTCATTATCTTGTAAAGTGCACAGAAAAGGTCTGCTGTCTTGATGAAAACAAAGTGAAACCTTATTTATTATTGCTTTTAATTATAGACGTAGTCTTTTTGTTGACAGAAACCCTTGTAAAATGCATGAAAATCATTATATTTTTATGTACATCCAATTACTTTTTTGTAGCAAGCAACCCTTTTTGCAGCTTCTTTATATATCAAAGATAAGCCATTGCTTTCCAATGCAAATAAGTCTGCTGGCTTCTAACTATAAGGACATCTGCTTGCCATATCTAGAAAGAAGATCATTTTGTGCATATAGCCATGCACATTTTATCACAGCCTTTCTTGTATGCTGTGACCATACTGAAACATATATTGCTATACTGTTGACATCATGAATTCCCTGAACCAACCAACCAAGGTGTTGTCTGAACATGCAATCTTGCAACACAGAAGAGCTTTGTTTATTATACCCTTGCAATTTTTTTTTTGCTTGGGGGGAAGAGTCTATACTTATACCCTGTTGGTTGATCAGTCAGTTGGGCGGACCATCTGTCTCTAAATTTGAATTGGCTTTATGGTGGGGATTTTTCTGCTAGGGTCCTGAAATTTGGTAGAGATGTTGGTCCTGGCCAATGCTAGTACATGTGCCCTGTAAAATGTTACTTGCACTTGGCTGTGACTGAAATCCACAGATGTTATACCAATGGGAAATGACCTAGTTCAGCATTGGTCTGTTGCTGGAAAGCTGCCTTCTGTCAATTTGCTGAAAAAAATTCTGACTATTACAACTTCCTGCTTAAAAATTTCCTGGTTCCAAGTGAAAAAAAAACTTTTAAATACTCTTTTTATAAACCATATTATCCCCACTTGTCTTAGATCAAGTGAAGGGAAATATTTATTTCATAAAGATATTTACTATTAAGTTTCATTTAACATAGCCACCATGGGTTTTACAATTGTATCTAGGCCCTAAAGGGATATGTTTGAAGCAAAATAATGAGAAAACTAAATCTTGTACTGGATCTTATGTTGAAATGGAAACAAGACAATTTGCTGTATGATCCAACCCGCTTTACTTGTCTTTAAATTGAAGAAGTAACATATCACTGAAGCTCAAAGTCGAACCAGGCTAGGGTAAATTGTTTGTTCACTTACATTGTACTAAAATGTTGATAATAATGATAGTAATAATAATAATAAACAATAACAATAAATATCAGAGTGGCACCAACACGTGATAAATGATGAGGTATTGATAGATGCCAAGCTTTTCTTATACTCAAAGCAGTGATGCTCATCTCTTCTACACTATCCTATAAGCCAATTTGTCAGAAAAAATTGCCCATAGCGCCCCGGAGTATTTCGGCTGAAGGTTTTTTTAACTGTAGTCCATAATAGATCACCAATCTGCTAATACCTTTAATGATTTGTACACAGGTTGTATTATACAGCTGAAGTTTATTGTTTTGAGCTTGACTGCCAATCCAAGCGGCTTTCCTAAGGGATATATATTAGAATGTGATTTTTGTCAGTTCCAGTTGTCCACCTTCATTGCAATATATATATATATATATATGTAAGAGCAGTTTCTCAGATTTCCGTAAGCCAGACAGAGCAGAATGGAGGAAGTAGTGGGTGGTGATGTTATCTAATTATATAAGAATCAAACATGTATTACATATTGGTAAAAAATTCCTGATGGAATGCATCACATACAGGATGCTTGTTGGTTTGGATAGTTTTGACAGGAAGGAAATTGGCCTGTAGTTTCTACTGCTTTGCTGCTGTCTTTGGAGATTGGTATGGGTCTTGCACATTTCCAGATGTCTGGAAATGTTTCAGGTCTTAGGGATAGATGCATGATGTATGTGATGGTGTTTGCTATTCCTGCTGCTGATAACTAAGCAGTTTATTGGTATCCCATGTAATCTCGCTCACTGCCTTTTGTGCAAGTTTATTGATGGTACCTAGATATCAAATGTATTTTTAAAGCAGCCAGGGGTTAGATGGGGTGAAACAGGGGAAGGGGTTAGTAACAACATGGGAAAGTTGTGTCTTTTTGAAACCAGTTGATTTTGTAAACAAATGCTTAAGGTTTCTTTAAATTAAACCATTTACTGAATTGAGTCCAATTTTGTGACTAGGCACAACTTCATTATATAGTGGAAGTATGTTAATGACATCAGCAATGCTTTTTTTCCAACCCAGAGGCATCATGCTATAGCACTGAACATCAACCAATATTAGAGTAAGCCAGTACGTATTCTTAGCTCTTCCATGGAAGCTGTGGGTTAATTTGGTTTTGGAGAAAAATACCAAGAATTGCGTCAGTAGGCCACAAATGTAGAATAACATAAATAGTTGCATCTGTGCCAAAGTTACTGGGAAGTAAATATTCAAAACATCACAATTTCCTTCAGTGTAAGTATTGAAAGTTGTACTTGATGCCCATTACTGCATATGTATCTGTAATATAGACATTAATACTGTTCTTATAAGGTGTAACTTTATCAAAATTAATGTCACACTTATTTGAAATACCATAGTTGAAGATTTCCTTGAAAATAAGATCATAATTCTAACACAGTTTGTGTATTTTGAAATTTTATTGTAATCAGTGATATGTGCGTGCGTGTGAGTGCGTGTATGTGTGTGTGTGTGCGCGTGCGTGCGTGCGTGTGTGTGTGTAATAGATCAGTGCTGCAGTCATGGGATTGTACATCAAACAACTAAATTTAAGGATATTCAATATGCAAAAGTAACTTACAGTTCCAGATTGTTGGATTAATTTTCTAGCTTTGATGCCACCATCCAGCACATCAGCTTTGAGAAGCTAGACTTTGGTGAGACCAGCGTGTTGGACAGTTTTTACAATGCAGACGTCAGCATCAGCGAGGCCTCAGTCCAGACCCAGCAGTCGGCCTTGTTCTACCACATCGGGGTGCGGGAGAGCATGGGCATGGATGATAACTTTATTCTCTTCCACGACACTGACCCAGAGCAGACATTAGCTCTTAAGGTAGGTTAAAAGGAAATAGTATTTTACTCCAGTAAAGCACTTGTAACCCCATTGTAGGATTTTTAGCTGCTGATAGGCGAGGAGTTAAACATACATTGTAGTTCTCATTGAAGGTTGATTGCAAGTTAGTTGGTAGGATGGAAGAGATTTTGGTTCATGTAATTGTCTGAAAACATGATATTATGTATAGTTATATCAGTGGATGTTTCTGAGCATCCTTGTGATTAATGCAAATGGCACTTTCAGTACAGATCACCCAGAGTTTCAGAATGGTAATCACGGGGCCATATCAAACTCTAAACATCACACACTACACTCCAGGGCCCTGTAACTCAAAAGCATCGCACATTGCGATCGAGTATAAGCGTCTCGATTCCATAACTCGCCCATACTCGTCCCTTAGAATACATTGTAGTCTCTATGTGATATCGCTATTCGCAATATGCGATGCTTTCGAGTTACGAGGCCAAGTTCACCACCATGGGTTTAAGAGTGTCTAATCAGGGGGGAATCAATTCACCCCGAGGATCTGGAGGTCTGCATTGTTTGCATACCTATCTCCCTGATTTCCAGACCTACTAGTAACCATTGGGCATATCTCCCTGAGTGGATATTAGAGCCTATTTGTGACTGACTTTTCCATACGCCTTGGGATGGGGTGGCAGGTCAGATAAACAGGCAAACTGATGTTTTCTATTTATGTACTCATGTCCTTGATGGGAGGTTAGTCCCAGAATTGAGGCCAAGAAGCTGAGGGGGTTAACATATATCTCTCTCTCTTTCTTTGTCTCTCTCTCTCTCTCTGAGATGTGAAATGTAGGTGTTCCTCATAAATGCATCCTCATGTTCAATTGTCAAATTTTTCTCTCTCTGAAAATAAACCTGGTTTGTTTTAAATAATAATGCTCTCCCATTTCTTCTGTTAGACTTCATGACAGTTGTGATTTGAGTAAATGTGTGTCATTATACCTTAATGCAGGATGAGTATTTATTGAACTTTTGAGACTGAGGGTGCACAGGTGTTATTGAGAGATTATATCATACCATTACCATGACTACTCGAGGTGAATACCTTTCCTCTGTATGTATCTTCTGATATGAGTAGTTGAGATTGAAATATATATTTTGTATTATCCACAGGGATAGGGGCTGGTAGGTGGGTAGGATTTGGGGCTTAACTCTCCAATTTTTGTTACTTTTTGCAACACTTCATTCATAAGCAGAGGAAACGGGCTGAGGTGAATCCCTATATCTTTATTTCTTTCAGACTGGTTAGCTCCTTCAGTCTTCACATAGATTTTGCCTCCTACATGTGTGTTATCGAACACAGCAATTTGTACCTCCAGATTTACTAATATGCTGAGATTTACTGATATAGATCATCTCATATGTCAAAAAAGTATGCCTTTTTGCATTTGAGATATATACATATAAAACTCTACGGAGACTATTATGAGTTCTTATCAATGAGGCTCTGTTGAGAATCTGAAGTTTATGCTAGTAAGACATTTGAAAAATATGTTTCATTGGATAGAAGTTTGTGATATGCATACATATGCACATAGTTCAGTCTTTCTAGCTTGCAATAAGATCACTCAGGTGTCTTGGCATTTGTATATATATCCATCATTCACTGGGGGATGAGGTGAATGCAGGTGGATGAGAAATCTGGCCATTAGCATAGCTGGAAAGTTCAAATCCACCTCTGAATTCCCCTTGGTTATCCAATTAACCTTTGTCTTATATTTCATTGATTATGTGTTAATAGCTATGTTGTGGATCTGGAGATGTAGGTTTTCTGTACTTGTACATGTATGTACTTTTGCTGGAAATGCTGTGTCAGTTAGTCTCAGGAAATGAAAATCCCTGGTAGAACATCAAACTGTTTTGTTATTAGGTGCTTAATTTTCTCATTACTCTCAAAAAAAAAAAAAAGAAGTATTTTGAGTGTATTTTTGGTGAAATTATCTGTATTAAATATGTATGATAGCAATTTGTTGTTAAAAACTATATATCTACAGCGCAGAATGTGTGTCAGATCATAAACATTGAGCTCTGCAGAGATCCATAAAGCACATTTGTATTTATTTCAAACTTCCTTGTTCTGAGAAATTAATTTTTAAAGCTAGAATTAAATTCAATATTAAAATCACCATTCACGAAGTGTTCATTTGATTTTTACTTTTCAGCTATCATGTGTGGGGAATGTGTTTTTCCCCTACCTAGAGGATGAGAACCACACGGTGTATGTGACAGAGGAGGAGGATGGGATGAAAATCTCGTTAGATGGGGATGCATGTTTGTACCCCAATAAGTACTCCCTCTCTGCAAGACTCAAGAGGGGCATCAAGCAGATTGAGACGTCAACAAAGTAAGGCAATGGTGACATGAGAGATTGTTCACTTTATACTGGAATATTTGATTAAATTAATGCTTTTTTTTTTTCAAAATGGGTGTGCGGAATTATTAAAATGTCATTCTCCCTCACACTTTAGTTATGATGCTAATCCTAATTATTATGGTTCTTGTTATAATTGTTGCTAATTTTTTTTCAGCATTCACATGAAGGAAAGGTTTTTGTCAGATCTCAGAAAGGCAAGAGAGAATCTGAAAGGGGAAGAATTAGCCAAGGTATATATATAGCAGATTATTGCTATCATCTCAAAGTAGTCGTACAATAGTTGAACAAAGAAATGATTAATGAAAAATAGATAAGATGTTTGTGAGTGTGTGGGAGGGGGAGACATCTGAAGGCGAAAGATCATTTGTCTTCTCTACCTGTTCTCTGTAGCACGACTGTTATTTCAATCACTTCAAAAAGAATTAAAATTAATCAAAAAATCAAGTTGATAGTTGTACTTTATTCAGATATTATTGTCCTTTTATAGACCCTGTCTAATATGAGGAACAGGTTTGATGATCCACAGCTGTTATCACTGGACATTGTACTGAATATGCTACTCTCGTATAGAGATATTCAGGTAATAGGCTTCTTTAGATTTACCCTTCTTTAATATACAAATGCTGCCATTGAATTGATAATTGTGCATCTGTTTGTTCATTGTCTTTGCTTTTGTTTGGTTGATTTATAACTTGCATAAGATTTGTAACACGGTTTTTAAAGCAATAAATCTACTTTAGCTTATGGAAAGAAGATTATTTTATAAGTTGCCTACTCGATGAAAAGAGTGACTCCTTAGTGTACATATGAACTATTCTCAGTTATGTTTCATAAATTTGGACAGATTTAAATAGTTTATTTTATGTAAAAATACAACTGGATGACTAGCATATATTGTATTGTATATGTTATTGTTATTCCAGGACTACCATGCCATGGTGACATTAGTTCAGGATGTACAGGCCATTACAAATGAGCAGTGTAGTAAAATAGTGGAGATCCCAGCTATACAACAGCTGTATGCATTTGCTCTCAACAGGTGGGAATTATATTAGGTTGACCGTTTTGTTGTGGTAAATTCAAGGCAGAATTAAATGGATACACATCTGAAGATGTTTCAGTGATTTGAATAGATTTAATACAGAAAGTAATTAATTCAGCTTTGTTGTTCCTGTTTAAGGAAACTAGGATCATCTTGAAAGAAAGATGATCTGATTCCTTTTGTTACAGAAAAAAATTGACTGAACTTGCTTAGAGTAAACAGTCTGTTTTGATAATGTCACATGATCTTGTTTCAACATCTAAGATTGTGCCTTCTGGTGGAATAAAAACTGAAAGTCTAATCGCAATCAAAGATTAACTTTAAATGTTCTAAAGCCTTTACAGTGGCTGATAGAATTTTTTTTCTATTACAGAAGAAACAAAAAAGGAGATAGAGACAAAGCATTAGAGGTGATTCTCAAGGTAAGTTAAGGATTTTGACTCACCTTTAGGTGCACTTTTCTTCATAGATTATAACTTGTATATTTAGAAATAAATCAACTGAAAATGAAATCATAATCATGAAAGAATAAGAAACCAGATTCCATTAACATATTAAGATTAAATATTAATGTTAATGTCTTAAAATAAAAAAAGTAAATAAATAAAAATTGGGCAGTAGGGAGCAGCCATTATTCCTTTAATTGTTGTCTTATACTGGTGTTGTGTATACCTTCTCAAAGTTAGTAAGTACTTAGAGTTAAGAATAACTTTTAAGACAACATTTTGCAGTTTGACATGACCTACTCTCAACCAACACATTAATTACAAAATCAGTGAATGTCTCAGATTGTACTATGAGTTCTTGGTTTATTTTAGGCCATTAACAAACAGGACCCTCCTGTACCTGATATGATCTGTCTGTGTGGCAGAATATACAAGGATATCTTTGTAGAATCTGACTGCAAAGACACTGCTGCTAGAGACAAGGCCATTCAGTGGTAAGTGATTGCAAAATACATTGGTCAAACTCGGACAGTGACTCCATGGACAAGCTTATATGGATTTTGTCCACATTTGGAAGTTGTAATTTGGGTTTGTGCATAATTGTAAATTGTGGAAATAAAAGTTTGTGTGACAAATTATAGGGGCTATTTTTTGTCTTTTTGTCATATTTTGCAAATAATAAAGAGAATAACATTTTTGTGACCCATGCCTCTTGAATACCTAATATTTGATCCTATAATTCAGTACATAAATGCGTGAAATGGGCTATTAATATCTAAGGAAACAATTTGCTCTTTCCAGGTATCGCAAAGGATTTGAAGTACATCCTAATGAATACGCAGGAATAAATCTAGCCACTCTTTTGGTTATCTCAGGGAAAGAATTTGCAAAGTCTTCAGAATTACAGAGGATTGGTAAGATGTAGAGATTGTAGAAGTAATTGAGTTAGCTTGATCTGTGGAAATGTTAGTCTTTCAGAAAAAATGTAAATTAAGGTGTGAAATAATGCAAGGAACATGTTAATTGATGTTTTTTATTTGAGATATTTTTCAAGATTGAATTCAGACTGCCAGATAGAACTGAAGAAAAATGCACTATTTTATTTGAAAGATCACTTCTCTTTGCCTGACTAATGCACGTTTTTGTTATTTCTCATAATGAATCTTGGCTTTTATCAGGCATGACCCTTAACCAGTTAATAGGCAGAAAAGGCAGTTTGATGTCCCTGACAGACTACTGGGATGTAGCAACATTCTTTGAAATCTGTGTTCTGGCTGAGGACTATGGCAAAGCAAACCAGGCAGCAGAGTGCATGTTCCGTCTGGAACCTCCCATATGGTATGTGGAACAATTGTTTCAAACGTGCTTTCTGAATTGAAGATTCAAAAATAATATATTTTTTAAGGCTGATATGTATTTGGTGTCTGAAAAGTTTTAATCTTCTTTCTTGTATTATAAGCTTAAAAGATTCATGGAGAGAGAAGTTTATGGATTTATGAATCAAGCTTTTGAAATATTTATGTGGAGGGAAAATAACTCATTTCAGAAATTAATTTTCTAGAAGAAAGTTGCAAATTAATCCAACCATTCTTTTCACAAAGTATTTACTTTTGTCGATGCACTTTGGATCTACTATTTGCTCATATTTTGTACAAATGTGATATTAACTTCAGGTATCTGAAATCCACTGTGAACAACATAGTGCTCATCAACACATGTAGAAAGAAAAATGAGGACCGCATTGTCAGTGAAGAGGAACAGATATTTAACTTCTGGATGGATTTCTTTATGGAAGCTGCAAAAGAAATATCGTCAGACTTGAGATATCCTGTAAGCTATGTGTTTGTCTTGGTGGTTTTGGTATCTTGACGTCTGCAATACAGCTCTGTCTTGGCACAGAATGTAACGAAAGAATGAGAATCTATGGTAGATTTTGGAATTTCAAATTTTTTAAAATTAAAGCGCTGTGTGTGTGTGTGTGTGTTTGTTTGTTTTTTTTTTAAGTCTCAAAACTGCATCCTAATCCCTGGAAAATCGGCTGTGGCTTGAAATTTGAGTGGCTTTTGCTCTTACTGTTGTTAAACCTGATCTAGCAAACCTATTTACTGCCTTGTTTCAACTAGAGGGAAACGGTGAAGTCGGTGTGGGTTTTTTATCTGTGATGTCTGAAACTCTTCAGGTAAGGTTTTGAAACTAAAAAGTCACTAACTTATAATAAGGGGGATTCTAAGATCACTGCCATAAGAGTAGAAATTACTGATAATATTATGAGAGCATACAAACAAAATAGGCAAATTTCTGACTTATAAGCTTTTTTAGAAAAATAAACCCATGTTGACGCTGTTGCTTTTGAATAGAGAAATTAGTACAAAGCACCTGTAAAACTTCATAGAAGTCTAACAGCCAGGCGAGGCTGCTTTTAAATGTATCACTGAAATAAATGCAAGATCCTTTTATGCAAAAAAAAAAAAAAAAAAAAAAAAGAAAAGAAAAGAAAAAAAAGTGCAAGTGTCACATAAAAGGAAGGTTTTTGCCAACAATGATGAAGGATGCACAAATTGAAAACACTCATGGTAACCTTGCTTTTCAAAGTTTGCCATTGCAGCTTATTAAGATTTTGAGGAATCTTTGTTAAAAAAGTATAAATTGAGTTAATATTCATTAAACACATGAAAACTTGTTTCACGTGTATTAGTAATCCAAGACATATTTGTTCATAAAAAAAAAGAAAAAAAAAGAAAAAAAAATCAGCATGCTGGCTTATTACGTAAGTCAAATGAACGTTTTTTTGCTCATGTCAGCACTTGCCACCCATGCCAGCACTTACCACCCATGCCATCTTCAGAAATAACACACAATCGACCTCTGATGTTTTTGTGTCTGTGGTTTGTCAAGCAAGTGAAACAGCCTCACAAAGTAAGAAAGTAACTAGGCTTTTTGTCCATATACTTTTTCATTTGAGAAACCCTCCTATTGTCTTTGCATTAAGCGTCATCTTTATTCTAGGTCATGAATGATTTAATCACATGGACAGCACTTCATATCATGCATAGGCAATATGTAACACACAGCAAATGTGACACATAGAAAAAAGGTTTCATTTTTTTGGACTGAGTTTGGATTTGTACTGAGTTTATTTAGAAAAAATATGGGTGGTATAGTGTGTTCAGATGGCTTGCAGGTCACTTCTAGATTTGGAGAATCTCGTTTTTTTTTGCTTTTGTTTTTTTTTTTTTCATATAGAAAATGATGTGTAGCTAAACTCAGAAGTTTACATGTTGTGTTTCTTGTTTCCTGACTTGTGCTGTCATATGAATAATTCTATATGGACTTACCCTGCTAACACTTGTCTCATGCTAGCACACAGTGGAGCAGAACAGTAGTGGTGATGAAAAAAGGAGCTTTTATGGTGAGGTATGGACAACATCAGTGTTTAGCTTCCTATGTTCTTAGTGAACTTACAAAATTCTCTCATTTTGTCATTTTGGTCTGGGTCACAAATGGATATTTTCAAATTCATTCATTTGTTGTGGCAGTCCACTTAGTCTGTTGTATATATTTTTTGTTTTTTCCTTGTTTATTTATTTATTTATTTATTTATTTATTTATTTATTTATTTATTTATTTATTTATTTATTTATTTATTTATTTATTTATTCAACAAACACTTGCTTATAGGATGTATGCTTTTTTTGCACAGTTATATTTCTTTTCTAAGCTTACTTGTTTAAAAGTGTGATGAAAATGATTAAATGGTTTATAGAAATGTGTGGTGACAAAAAGAATTACTGACTTTGAAGGTCAGAGATGTGATGGAAGCTATGTAAAATAAAATGATGATGCAGCTGGATATATAAAAAAAACATTCACTCCAGCCAGAGTAATGTACCAGAGTAAACTCTGCTTTCATTGTAGTTTATTTCTTTGACAACATATCATGTGCCTCCTATCTTACCTTATCTTTTAACAGTAGCTGCAATAAATACCTGCTTTTTATTTCACCTTAGTATATCATTTCTTTGATATCCCAATGGCATTTCCACAGTGTTAAGTAAGCTTTTGTGTTCTAACATATAAGGCATTTTTGAAAATGGATAAGATATTTTGCACAATAATGTCACCAGTCTGAATGCCTAGTATGTTTGTCAGATTTTTAGTCAATAGACCTTGCCTGTCTTGCAATCTCATAATTGTTCTTTATTCTAGGTTTTGGTGTTGGAACCGAATCGTGTGTACCAGCCAAGCTATGTACAGATTAATAATGAGAGCTCTTCTGAAGATGACTTGGATGAACCGGTATGATATATTTCTCCTCTAAGTAGTTGTCTGAGTTTTTAGTGAAATAGTGCTTCTATAAAACTAAGGTCATCTGAACTGTTACTCATTTGGAAAAAAAATTAGATCAGATATAAAATTCAAAAATAGAGAAATAGTTTTAGGATTGTAAAGAATAAGGTGATATTTGTCAAAATAATTGTTTTAGCAGGCTTTATATTTCTGTCCTGTAAGGATTCACAGCAATTTTGTTTTTATAAAGAACCAAATAGCATTTTAAACTAGTTTGCATAAATGGCTGTTTGTGTTTTTCAGTCTGTGCGTCTGTGGCATTGCGGAGCCCCACGTAACTGCAAACAGATTCATCAGTGGACCTTTCCAGCCTCCTCAATCAAGGGAGTAAGGTGAGGCCTTGTGTAGGTCATACATGCACTCATGTACGCCTACATGCTCATGATAAAAATACACATGCACATGTATGGTTACTCGTGCACAGACAAATGATGTTGAGCTGCACTCGGATACCTGTGCCTATTCATACATGTGTACGTGCAACCGCCCAAAAGATAAAAGAATGCTATTAAGAACATATTAGATACTTCAACATACACAACATGTTTTCAAGTTGCGCTTATCAGTGGGGGATCCAGGAGAGAGGCAGCAATTGCATGACCACCGGGCACCCACCTTCCACCCCACCCACACCCTCCCACCCACCCACACCCACCCACACTCACCCACCCACACCCTCCCACACCCTCAGCTTGGGAGGCACACGACAAAAAGGTTCTGATATGAAATGTGCCTGTCAATGAAAAAAATAATAAAATAAATAAATAAATAATAATAATAATATTGATAATATTAATAAACTTATAAAGCAACTGTGTGTATAGTAAAGACTCATTTATTTCTGATGCATGTTAAGAAATTTTTGTTAATTTTTATTATTGACAGTGCTTATGCTTATTTTGGGGTCAATTTTTAATGTAATTTTTTATTTTCTTTTTTAGCATCTACAAGAGAGATAAAAGGGCCGTGTTTTTGTATGTGCAGCAGAATTCAGATGACTTTCAGATATTTTTCCCTTCTGAAACACAGAAACATAGGTAAACATTCCAATGAAATAGTTTTATACCAGGAGGCAGTTACACATAAACATGGATGTTATAAATAATTAATATACAGTACAGTTATTCTAGTATTGGTGGTGTTTTAACTCTGGTCAGTTTATAGATAGACACTGTTGTGTCTGAGGAATTATGTATTTCACGTACATAAAAAAATTGATTGAGGATATGATTATATATGCATTAATTTTTTAATTTGAGAAGGTATTACCACACCCTTAACACTGAAGGGAAAGAGACAAATCTGCATGTGATCTGTAGTTATTATTAGCAAAGACAAAAAATAAAAACATATAGATATTAGATAAATTTTAATTGGAGGCATTTCAATGAATTAATTAGTTTAGGTTAAATGTATGATGTTCTAATTCAGAGTAGGGTTGGGTATAAATAAAAAGCATACTACTGCTTGCATTCTATATAAACAGCTCTTGGATGTCAGGAAATTTTTCAGTGCTTGAAAAAGATATTATGGGTCTAAGAAACATGAGGCAATAACTGTTTGAAAATAGGAAAAAAATGTAAATATTGAGTGAAAAAAAAACAAAGTAAGTTTTTTTTAGTGTTAGTGTATTGTTTGATTTAAAAAAAAGGAGCAGAGAAAAAAAATTGGCAGTTGTAGTATTTACTGGGTATTGTTAGCAAGTCTCAAGAATTTGAAGCCAGGAGGCAGTACAGTGAAATATGAGAAAAAAAAGGATATTTTAAAACGTGCAGGAGTACTCTTTTTTTTTTTTTTTTTGCTATAAAGAAAAAAAAACAGCCATTAGAATTGAAACCTGATGTTTTTAAGTGTTTGTTAAATTGCGATTGCTGCAAGGGGCCATGGTGTAAATTTCAGTGAAAAGAGGTGTGTTCAGATTTATTGAATAGGATTGGCTAGATTGTGGAGGTGTTGGCCAAATACTGATGTGCCATTGGTTGATGATTCAAGGTTTTCCACTTGTAAGATGATGCTCTAGGTTTCATTTGTAGCCCATTAACGTCAGTCCATTTTCCTGTTGAACTTTTCAAAACCCTGTTTATCAGCTTGGGAAGATTTTGATTTACAAACTTTGAAGCTTATTTTGATTAGAATTCTATTTTGGGAGTTAAATAAAAAAAATGTGGATCAGAACACTTGTTACATATTGTTCCAAGACAACGTCCAAGAGTAACACCATTGTGTTTATGTTACACACATTGTAATTGGAATGTGACCTCATTATTTTGGGAAGTTTGTTCTGAAAGTATTTAATTAAGGGGCTAAATGACTGAATGTGTTTTTGAAACTTTTTTCCTATTACAGAGATTTAGGTGATATTTGAGATATTGGGAAATTTGTAATGCAAACTGTTTGGTTCGAAAGTTCCCCGACTGAAATATTGACCATTATTTTCCTGGCATCTGTCATGCTGCTAGGAACCTGTGGGCATTAGGAAGTGCAGGCTACCTTGCTTAGGAAGTTCAGTGTACTTTATCTTGCTTCAGGAAAAGGGAAGCCATTGTACTGGCTGGCTTCAGTGGAGCACATGGCCTCAGATGAATACATTTATATTTATTTTTGACCAATACATGACAAGTGTATGTACTCCTTCGTATGCCCAACAATCTTTTTCTCTAGAAGTTCAGTATCACTATGTTAAGTTTAAGTCTCGAAGATGCTTTATACATGTTTTTTTTTTCCACATTGAATAAAGGCATGCGTTTTTGGCATATTTTCCTTTTGTTAATTATATTACTTATATATATTATGTCATGATAAAGACTTTAAGACGCGGGCTATTTGAAAAGACATTTGGGAAGATTTAGGTGCATGGCTATCCCACGATTTTCCTCCTATAGAACAGTTTCTGGATTAGTCTAGTATTAAACAGTTCGTGGTAAGATTAACTGCACAAATCAAAGGAAACATAAAAGTTCCGGTAATAGATATAAATAAGTACTATTATCACTGCGCTCATTAATGCAGATTAAGGCATTATTTTAAGGCAGTGAGCTCATCGAAGCTGGATATTTTCTGAGGAAAAAACAAGTATTACCTCAAAAATTCGAAATCTCCTCCCTGCAGCATCATTATCTTTAAGTCTGGTGCACTGGTTATCGGATAAATAGTTGCTAAAATCAGATCAAATCAAATTTCATTAGGTGCCCTACAATGATGAAAATTAATAAAGGAAAAAACAACTGCTACCTCAGAAATTTCAACCATTTCCCAGCCATCATCGTCTTAGTGAGTCCACCTGGTGACCAAACAAACAAGTATCGTTTGGCAGATATAACCAGATACAATCCAAAGAAAAAATTAGACAAAATTTAGAAATGCCTCGATGTCAATCTAGATACGTGGAGAGAGTGATAGGCAGATTGGCAAAAGTTGTTTTGCAAACTTTGAAAGATGAAGAAGATAGTAATATGTGGGTTTAGATGTATAGTGATAGCATAAAATGAGTAAAAATATAGATAAGATAAATATTTAGATTAATCAGCATTGTACGATGTTAAATATATTAAACCATGATTTTTTGAGATGAATGATATAAATTATTTCATATTATAGGTTCTATGATCTGGTCTCCGATATGATAGAAGACAAGGAAGGTACTGTGCTGGATTTGGAAATGGAGTACACGTCCAGTCATCCTATACAGGTTAGACAACTGTTTTAATCACAATAGTTAAATTGCATTTGGAGTTGACATAAATGGAAGCAGCCTTTATTTCAAGTTTACAAGTTTCAAATATATGAAAATTTTCACAATTCTTCTATGTTCAATTCTTCTCTCTCTCTCTCTCTCTCTCTCTCTCTCTCTCTCTCTCTCTCTCTCTCTCAAACACACACATATTGTTACCTCCTCACTGTATGTTTGTGTATACATTACATGTGCAAATGATATGAGAACATTCAAGTTGTCCACTTTAACATATGGTTATTTTCTAATAGCTTTATTTGAATCTGGTATTTCATTTGCCTTGGAGGTAAAAGGGTTTGTTGACAAAAATGTTTTGCAATTGGCCACTTGTGTGGCAAAACTAGATCAACTGTTTTAACAGGGGCTATCCATATACTGTTGCAAGACTCTGTGACTAGCTCTTCAAACTTGACCTCTTTCTTGGAATCCCTGCTGTGGTCAGACAAAAATTGATTGATTGGTTAAGACCTTGGTACATTGAATATCTGGATCACTTTGTATTGTGAATAACCATCTAGATCAGGGTGTGTTCATGCACACATAATAGGGGGGTTTGGATTGTTTTTTATTTTGATGGAAAAAATCTTTTTACGTCATGTGTCAAGATTGTCATCTGGCACCAGTTGAGAGTTAACCTTTGCTGCTTATCATGTCAAGACAGTGGGGCAGTAGTGTATATTCTCAATGATTTGAAATAAAGGCATGGTCATACTGTATTCCAATGATAATGTGAGAAATAGCACTGTTTACAATTGTATGCATTACATACTCGAAAACAATTGATAGCAGCAGTCCAAGCTGTGGTATTTAACAGTGTGACATACGTCATGCAGCTATTGTTGAAAAAAAAATCTAGAAATAGAATCCAAAGAAACACTGCCTCAGTTCCGGAGCAGATGTCTTTTGCGGTGTTTGGGCGGCAACATGCCAGAAGTTTCCGCATAGTTTATAGAGCACATTATTGTGAAAGGAACAATCAGTTTGAGTTTTTCTCACAACATTGAAGATAAACAATTATTACTGATTGGAATTTATGAAGTGAATCATTTATGATAATTATTTTGGTGGAGGGAAAATCTAACTCAATTTATGTCTAGAAGACTGAGGGACATTATTTGGAAGAAGAAGCGCTGCTCTTTGCCCATAAAGATACCAAATGTGTATGAGTTTGACACAGATGCTCTTGCTGGGATAGAGATTCCACAGGTAGATGGTGACTGTTTTAACATTTTAGGGTATGTGTGAGAAAACACTTTTATTTTCACATTTGAAATATATACACCACATTTTTGTAGCTTAAGAAAGAAACTGCTGGAAGTATTGTGGCTTGCATGATGGAGTGAGTTGTCTTAAATTTCAGACTTTGTGCTGCAACTACTGCAAACAGGTAAAGTGGTACTTTTGTCAAAGATGGATGGCTTTTTGTCTGTCACTGAAAAGTGAAATATGTTACAACCACAATTACAGGCTGTACTTAAAGTATTCTTATCCTCAGACTTATAATATATCATTACTGCATGTGGATGTAACAATTTCATAGCTGATTTTATTTATGTATCGATTTATATTTTCTGATACATGAATATCACTTTCCACTATATCAAGAGGATTTTAGATGCCAAAAGTATAAAAAAGATTTGTGCATTTGGAACCAAGTAGCATGATAGTGTATTAAGCTTTTTTGTTTTGTCTTTATCTAGTTTTTGTCTCATCTGTCAGATGTTTCTGCCCTTGAAATTTAGGAACTATTTGTCCTTTTTGGATTACTTTGAAGTTAGCTACATGCTTTTGCAAAATATATTCATGCACCTTCAAAGCCAGATACAGGCAAGTAGTAACTTGCTGTATATTTGTTTATAAGGTGTAGTATTGCATATACATTTAGAAGGTGCAGTGCATATGTTTAGGAGATACAGTCTAAATGTATAGTTGCAGTAATGTTCATGTATGAAAATATGTTAGGTGTTGTTTTATAAGTTCTGTGATAAAATATGTTAGTTTAAGTCTTTGGTATGCAATATGTGGTTTTAATGGACAAGTTTACAATTTGATATTGGAAATAATAAGAGAATTATGATTGGGAGCATCACATTTTAGATTAAAATGTCAGTTTACTTTCATATTGACTGGACAAATATGCACAGAATTAAATGGGACACATCAGAATCCTTAGTTGCCCCAACTGAGGCAAAAGTTGTTTTGTTCTTGTGTTGCTTCGGGAATTCCCAGCTGAAACAACAGAAGAGAATTGTGCATATATGTTGTTTAAATAAGCTGTAAAGTCCTAGGCAATCCAGTCTTCAAATGTCACACAATATGTCATAACAGGTTAACAGCAGAGGAGGTCCTTGGGGGGCAAAAAGAAAAGTTCATGTATCTGAGCTTTATCTGGGCAGGTTGTGCGTGTGCTGTGTGGTCACAGAATTCTGGGACAAGAATCTAGAAGGTGTTTTCTTGCAGCGTTCTTAGAAAGATGAATGTTACATTTGAATTTGTTCTGTTTTATGACAAACATGAAAAGATTATGGAGAAAGAGAGATGGTACGTGCTTAAAGAAACATTTGTTGAATAACAAACATAGGCACTGAAAGGGAAGAAAAGGTCACCATGAAAATGTCTTGTCTCAAAGGATTCTCTGACAGTGTCTGCCTTCAATTTCAGTACCTGTCGCAACCTCTTTTATCCTCAATGGTTTTCTTTTTTTCATTATTTTAATCTTCATCTGTAGATTCAATGACATGTTTTCACCTGTTGGTCGTCAAATCATTTAACATGGAAATGTGTCCTTTTGCCAATTATGTATGAAATATAGGAAAAAATCATGTTTACAGAAATCTTTGCATGTATTTACAGAGGTACAATCACAACTTTTTATCTTGCTGTTAATATTTATTTTATTCCAACATATGTATGGACAACGCACTTGATATTATACCACATTGTAAACATGAAGAAGTGTAGTTTTGTCCTTTCAGTATGATACACTTCTGTAGAAATCACACTAAAACATCCAAGATGTGCATCCAAGATGTGTTATGATCAGGATAAATAAACATTGATACACTGAATGGTTTGAGCAAATTGTCAGATGAAGAAGTTATTGGCAAAAGCAACAGTATTTACATTGCCAATCTATTTTTTTATTTCCAGTATGAGTATGAGATTGATGAGAAAGGCAATAGGGTGATCCTGGGCAGAGGAACGTATGGAGTAGTTGTCGCTGCACGGGACTTGACAACTCAAGTCAGAATTGCCATAAAGGAAGTCCCAGAGAAAAATATAGAGTAAGTTGAACTGCCTGGGGTGTTTTCTAACTTTTTGAATCACATTGATAGCTGGTATGATTTAAGTTATCTTAGTAACATAAAGCTGACCACAAAAAATGCAATGGTTTTCCAAATGTCATGGGTACCCAATCATGTAAATACTTGCCAATGCTCAATTTTTTTTAGCTCAGATATAATTTATTTTGTTAACTTATGTGATAAGCTATGAAATTATATATAAGCAAATGACATGCTGGTACTAGTCCAATGATGATATAAAATTTTAGTTAAGGTCAGCATGGTTAATTATGTTTTCATTTTATCATTTGTTCAATTTTCTAACAAGAAAATAAGGAACAAATATTAAATACATTATCTCGATTGTGACACTAATATGATTATTTTGTAGAGAGGTGCAGCCATTGCATGAAGAGATTCGTCTTCACTCTCGACTTAGCCACAAGAATATTGTGAAATACTTGGGTTCGATCAGCGAAGATGGTTTCTTTAAAATATTCATGGAGCAAGTCCCAGGAGGTCAGTTTTCATTGTTTTATCAGTTGTCATCCTTTTTAACTCTTGGTTTCTCACAAAATCAGGGGGGAATTTGAATGGCGGTTTTGTCTATTTAATTTCTTCTCGTAGCTTTAATTGTCTATGTAGGTGAAATGGGCTATTGCAAGCATTTTGATATAATTTTTTAACAAATAAGAAACAATACAACTATTAGAAGTTTAGGTAGATAATACAGACAGTGGTTGTCATGTTTGCATAGATACTTACAAATGTGATTAATATCTTATTTTTGTTTACCTTTTTAACTTTTCTAGGAAGTCTCTCCACCTTGCTTAGGTCTAAGTGGGGGCCTCTTAAAGACAATGAAGCCACAATAGCATTCTACACTAGGCAGATCTTGGAAGGACTAAGATACCTGGTAAGGGCATGTGGGCATTATCCTAAACCTTCTTATTGTATTCCAGCCAAAATCCATGTGGAAAATCATGATACAGTGGCATAAAGATAGCAGACCACATTTGTCACAGACTTTGGTCCAAGATTGGCTCACCATTGGTCAAAGATTGGTCCAGTCTTTTTAGCTGACATAGGCCTGTAGTTGGTCCAGTTTAGGTAGTTTACAATAGCCCAGCACAGCATGCATTTAGGAAGGTACCAATCATTGTGTTTTTTGAAAAGACAAGATACCTTTTATCTTCAGAGAGATAATCCTTTCTTTGCTCTATATTTTTAGCAATTCTAATTACAAGACTTTCATAACTGTCATAACTGCTGGAAGCAGCTTTTCATTTCCGAGAACTCACAAAAAAGGCTGTATTTTAGATTAAAGTTACTTAAATTGAAATAAAGCTGACATTTTACCCTTTGTGGAGAAGTTTTGTTCTTAGAAAACAAGGTAAATGGTGTTTTTCTGAGAAAATAGGCCTGTTATGATTATTTTTGAACTTAACAGGGCTAATATCATTCTTTGACCTACTATAAGCGATAAATATGATACTTCTGTTAGCCATGTTTCAACAAATTTTAGTGTCATGTTTCTAGTCAAGGTTAACCTGTTCTGAATCATGACTGATTTTTTTCCTCAGCTGAGATGGGCCATCTTAAGTTNTATTTTTTATTTATTTATTATTATTTTTTTTTTTGCGATCCATGATGTATGGGTGGGGGGACAGAACATAACTGAATATAAAAATAAATTTGATTCTTTGGTATCAAGACAGCACTGGTATTATGACTTTTATTTATGAAGTTTGAAAGAAAACAACATTCAAAAATGTCTTGAATTATTAAATTTAGTCGTACATGCACTGTATTATCATAGTCCTGTCGATTTTATGAGGACAGGCTGGTTTATGGTAGGATGGGTAACTTTCAGGAGTAACCTGTCCTGCTGTCTGGTTGAATTTTAGGAGGAGTTTCCAACCCTGTTAAGTTAATTCAACCTATCTTGACTGGAGACATGACATGGATGAACCAAATTAAATAAATGAGACCCTGACCAGTCTCAGTGACATCGCCAGAGGACCACATTAATTAACCACTCTTTATTGTAATGATCACATAGTAAATTGTCTTATCCTTTGAAAATTCCAATGGGTGTTAAAAAAACTGGTGATATTATAGTTTTGAAAAAATCCAATCAAGTCCAAGGCCCTGTCAGAATGCAGCTCTGGTTACTGTGGTTAAGTTTTTTTATTGGTGTGAAATGAGTGATGCCCAGAGATATCATAATAAGTCACAGGGGATGGCAACTGTGAAATTAACCTTTCTATTGCAGTAATTTCAGTGATATTAAAGATCAGTGCGTGGTATTGTATATCACTGTCCTGGAAATCTGTGGCTTTTGGGAGAAAACTGGAACAGTGCATTCAGAATTGGATGTTTTCTTTGTATGAGCTGTGTCAAAGTGTACTTTATTATGGTGCACATCAAAATGAATGATCAAAATAATTGAACATTTTTTTTTGTAATTCCGTTTTCACCCTATTTTTCTTCATCTTAATCATAAAACTTAATAATATTGACCAAATTCTTTATTTCCTCTGTGTTACTTTTGCTCCTGTATCTGAACTCGATTATTTATGCTAGTGAAAAGTGATAGATAAGTGCTTTGTGCCAAAACATTTTCCTGACTGTCTACCTTAATTTCTCTGTGTCACTTTTACTAAATTCAATGTCACATATATTTCAGCATGACAATAAGATCGTTCACCGTGACATCAAAGGTGACAATGTCCTTGTCAACACATACAGTGGTGTCCTCAAGATCTCTGACTTTGGGACGTCAAAGAGACTATCAGGACTACACAACTTTACAGAGACATTTGCAGGTGAGTGGTTTGAGAACTGCTCTGTGCTCATGCTGGTGAAGAAAAGCTTTGTGAAAGTTAAATAGTTTTGGTTGAGGACATGAAAAATATATTTTTATATTGTATTGTTATTTTTTTGTTAGTCTGAAAATGTAGTATTTAAAAGTGGCTGAAATGAATTTGTAACCATGCAGTATAGAATAAGGTGTCTTAGATTATATCACACACATGTAAATTACTGGTGTTAATACACATCACACATTTTGTTGAACTGACCACACTGATAGAATTATGTTATAATTATATTAAAAAAAAAAACAAAATCATATTGATGATGATGATAATGATAATAATTTTATTGTGTAATTTTATTTGTCACATCTAGGTACACTACAGTACATGGCACCAGAAGTGATTGACAGAGGAGCAAGAGGATATGGTGCACCGGTAAGTTTATAGATAACACTAGAGATACAAACCCAGTGAGATATCATAATGAGCATTTGCTTGGAAATGATCTGCCAAATAATGGATTTTGGCTTGCTTACTTTTTGTGTCTCTACTTATCTATCGGCAGTCATCAGAGCCTGTTAGAGGTGGAATCACTGTTCTGTTTTAGTATTAATATTGTTGTGCATGCTTTCTTTATTAATGGTACATCTGTTTAAGATAAAACTGAATGTGTATCTTTCTATTTTAGACCTTTTCTTGATTTGATTCCAGGCTTGTATATTTTTCTCATATATTTTCACTTATGTTATTGCATTCTTCTCTAATGTTGGCTTTGATGATAATTGCTGCCAATAAACACCACTAGATTTATTGAATTCTGCATTAGAAGCAGTTAGTTCTAGAAAAATTGAAATGCACCACATTAAATTGTATCACAAACATTTACATGAAGTATTTCATTGCCAGACTGCTGGTTTGTTAAAGTCATAATTTGAACTGCTTTTTATTTATTGGATTACTATGACAACAGGCACTGCCATATACTAATATTTGGTGAGATCTTTGAATTGGTGAAAACTGTCATTCACTTTCGGTTGTCTTTGGAAGACTGTCAAGCATTTTGTGAAAGATATACTTCTTTAAATGCATATATACTGGTAAAGATTTGATACCTGTGTGAACTTGCTCACATGAAAAAGAAGCTTCATATTTATGTCAGTATAATATGAACTGCACAGCTGAAGTAGCATGAAGCCACAGTTATCAGCAATAAGGGTGCTTTCCTTGAATACTTACATCTGATCTTGTCAACAACCTTGACATACACAAGGTGTCAAAAATGTCCTTGTAACCATAATATAAATAAATCAAGATATCAGTGAACTTCAGTAGAGAGATAACATTTTGTCAGGTAAATTGTATATCCCTAGACATGGCAAATCAGAATTATGGGTATCATTAATAAGGAAGAGAAAAATTCTATGGCCAATTGATTTATACAAATAATGTGCAATTTTATCTGGGTAAGGACTTCTGATTTCTGAGATGCTCAAGGAAAGAGACTTTATGTATTGATATAAAAAGTGATGTATCCCTCAAACACAAGCAGGTGCAGTGTTTCTGTGCCCCCCATGATACAGAAAATAGCCCATTTACGTGACAGGTTATACTTAAATCTCCTCTCCTTATTTGTATGCAGATTGCAGAATCAATATGTTTATATGTTGATAGATTATACTAAATGTGTGTTTCAACTTTGTAAGTTTTTATTTGTATAACATACTTATTAATATAATGTTAATTATTGTATATTTCTCTCTTACAGGCAGATATATGGTCACTGGGCTGCACTGTGATAGAAATGGCTACAGGAAAACCTCCATTCATTGAGGTAAAGGGCACTGTTTTTTATTCAGAAGTCTTATACTAAATATATATATATATATATATATATATATATATATATATATATATATATATATATATATATATATATATATATATATATATATAACAGGTAGTGGGCATATTCATATACATTATAATGCAGTTGAATGGGATTCTGATTGCCAAATTCTGTATCCTAGAGTGCCCATTAAACTTAAAGGTACATACGAACCGAGCATAGGTGGAGCCTGGATTCCCAGTAACACATGTAAACCACTTCTACTACATTCTTATATGACTCAAATAAATTTGACATGCCAAGGGATAAACTGAATAATTCACTCGATCAGCCATAAAAGACCTTTAGACTGCTCCTTTCTTAAAATTTTTGGTTGTAAATTTAACCTACTTTCGTGACCTACTTTCCTGCCCCATTGACATACAGCTTAGAATGCCAGCAGAAAAATTCGTTCAAACATCATTTTCGGGTAAAATTAAACAATGCCTTTTGGTAATTCTCTTAGTTATACTACTTGAAACTATATGCTGGCATTTGGTTGGTTTTTGTGACAAAAAATTGACTTTGTATGCATCTTTAATATGTGCATAGTCATATTACTCGTTTGCTTTCTCTGCTTGAAAAGGCCAATACTGTTTCAAGCCTTTTGATTAACTTGAGGAAAATGATTCTGTATCAATTGCGATTTGTATGGGAGTATTATGGTTATAAGTCAGAACAGTTTTTTCCAAGAATGTCACTCTGCAGCCTTTAATCTCCTTATTACCCAGAGTTTCACTCTGACCATCCTTTAACTCAGGCTATTAGACTGTTACAAGAAGACAAAATAGTATTAATATCATAATGATGCAACAAATTGATAAATTATGATATGCTTTAAGATACTTGACAGCTATAGACATGTTGAAAAATACCTTGTCTATGTTATATATATGAATGATGTGTGTGGCAGAGGAAAAAGTGGGGTTATCATCTCCCTTCATCTATCTTCCTTTGTGTATCAGTTTTCAGGGTACAGCGTCGTGTAAAAAGATGTTAATAAATTTCTCTGGATGAAATAGCCAAATTGTTTTTAGATGTATGTTATAAAACCTGTAATACATTATAGGGAGCCTCAGTACCAGTGCATGATGATGTGTATTGGATTTATATATATAATACTGGCAAATGCATGCAATGTTTAGGCATTGCACCTTATATTGATGTTATTGTACCACCAGCGTTAGCGCTGGCGGTACACATGGTTTCGGTCTCGTCCGGATCGTTCCGCCAGCTCCGCCGGCTCCGCTGGACGGCTACCGTTACCGCNCTTGTTACCTCCTCACTGTATGTTTGTGTATACATTACATGTGCAAATGATATGAGAACATTCAAGTTGTCCACTTTAACATATGGTTATTTTCTAATAGCTTTATTTGAATCTGGTATTTCATTTGCCTTGGAGGTAAAAGGGTTTGTTGGCAAAAATGTTTTGCAATTGGCCACTTGTGTGGCAAAACTAGATCAAGTGTTTTAACAGGGGCTATCTATATACTGTTGCAAGACTCTGTGACTAGCTCTTCAAACTTGACCTCTTTCTTGGAATCCCTGCTGTGGTCAGACAAAAATTGATTGATTGGTTAAGACCTTGGTACATTGAATATCTGGATCGCTTTGTATTGTGAATAACCATCTAGATCAGGGTGTGTTCATGCACACATAATAGGGGGGTTTGGATTGTTTTTTATTTTGATGGAAAAAATCTTTTTACGTCATGTGTCAAGATTGTCATCTGGCACCAGTTGAGAGTTAACCTTTGCTGCTTATCATGTCAAGACAGTGAGGCAGTAGTGTATATTCTCAATGATTTGAAATAAAGGCATGGTCATACTGTATTCCAATGATAATGTGAGAAATAGCACTGTTTACAATTGTATGCATTACATACTCGAAAACAATTGATAGCAGCAGTCCAAGCTGTGGTATTTAACAGTGTGACATACGTCATGCAGCTATTGTTGAAAAAAAAATCTAGAAATAGAATCCAAAGAAACACTGCCTCAGTTCCGGAGCAGATGTCTTTTGCGGTGTTTGGGCGGCAACATGCCAGAAGTTTCCGCATAGTTTATAGAGCACATTATTGTGAAAGGAACAATCAGTTTGAGTTTTTCTCACAACATTCAAGATAAACAATTATTACTGATTGGAATTTATGAAGTGAATCATTTATGATAATTATTTTGGTGGAGGGAAAATCTAACTCAATTTATGTCTAGAAGACTGAGGGACATTATTTGGAAGAAGAAGCGCTGCTCTTTGCCCATAAAGATACCAAATGTGTATGAGTTTGACACAGATGCTCTTGCTGGGATAGAGATTCCACAGGTAGATGGTGACTGTTTTAACATTTTAGGGTATGTGTGAGAAAACACTTTTATTTTCACATTTAAGATATACACCACATTTTTATAGCTTAAGAAAGAAACTGCTGGAAGTATTGTGGCTTGCATGATGGAGTGAGTTGTCTTGAATTTCAGACTTTGTGCTGCAACTACTGCAAACAGGTAAAGTGGTACTTCTGTCAAAGATGGATGGCTTTTAGTCTGTCACTGAAAAGTGAAATATGTTACAACCACAATTACAGGCTGTACTTTAAGTATTCTTATCCTCAGACTTATAATATATCATTACTGCATGTGGATGTAACAATTTCATAGCTGATTTTATTTGTGTATCGATTTATATTTTCTGATACATGAATATCACTTTCCACTATATCAAGAGGATTTTAGATGCCAAAAGTATAAAAAAGATTTGTGCATTTGGAACCAAGTAGCATGATAGTGTATTAAGCTTTTTTGTTTTGTCTTTATCTAGTTTTTGTCTCATCTGTCAGATGTTTCTGCCCTTGAAATTTAGGAACTATTTGTCCTTTTTGGATTACTTTGAAGTTAGCTACATGCTTTTGCAAAATATGTTCATGCACCTTCAAAGCCAGATACAGGCAAGTAGTAACTTGCTGTATATTTGTTTATAAGGTGTAGTATTGCATATACATTTAGAAGGTGCAGTGCATATGTTTAGGAGATACAGTCTAAATGTATAGTTGCAGTAATGCTCATGTATGAAAATATGTTAGGTGTTGTTTTATAAGTTCTGTGATAAAATATGTTAGTTTATGTCTTTGGTATGCAATATGTGGTTTTAATGGACAAGTTTACAATTTGATATTGGAAATAATAAGAGAATTATGATTGGGAGCATCACATTTTAGATAAAAAGATCAGTTTACTTTCATACTGGACAAATATGCACAGAATTAAATGGGATACATCAGAATCCTTAGTTGCCCCATCTGAGGCAAAAGTTGTTTTGTTCTTGTGTTGCTTCGGGAATTCCCAGCTGAAACAACAGAAGAGAATTGTGCATATATGTTGTTTAAATAAGCTGTTAAGTCCTAGGCAATCCAGTCTTCAAATGTCACACAATATGTCATAACAGGTTAACAGCAGAGGAGGTCCTTGGGGGGCAAAAAGAAAAGTTCATGTATCTGAGCTTTATCTGGGCAGGTTGTGCGTGTGCTGTGTGGTCACAGAATTCTGGGACAAGAATCTAGAAGGTGTTTTCTTGCAGCGTTCTTAGAAAGATGAATGTTACATTTGAATTTGTTCTGTTTTATGACAAACATGAAAAGATTATGGAGAAAGAGAGATGGTACGTGCTTAAAGAAACATTTGTTGAATAACAAACATAGGCACTGAAAGGGAAGAAAAGGTCACCATGAAAATGTCTTGTCTCAAAGGATTCTCTGACAGTGTCTGCCTTCAATTTCAGTACCTGTCGCAACCTCTTTTATCCTCAATGGTTTTCTTTTTTTCGTTATTTTAATCTTCATCTGTAGATTCAATGACATGTTTTCACCTGTTGGTCGCCAAATCATTTAACATGGAAATGTGTCCTTTTGCCAATTATGTATGAAATATAGGAAAAAAATCATGTTTACAGAAATCTTTGCATGTATTTACAGAGGAACAATCACAACTTTTTATCTTGCTGTTAATATTTATTTTATTCCAACATATGTATGGACAACGCACTTGATATTATACCGCATTGTAAACATGAAGAAGTGTAGTTTTGTCCTTTCAGTATGATACACTTCTGTAGAAATCACACTAAAACATCCAAGATGTGCATCCAAGATGTGTTATGATCAGGATAAATAAACATTGATACACTGAATGGTTTGATCAAATTGTCAGATGAAGAAGTTATTGGCAAAAGCAACAGTATTTACATTGCCAATCTATTTTTTTATTTCCAGTATGAGTATGAGATTGATGAGAAAGGCAATAGGGTGATCCTGGGCAGAGGAACGTATGGAGTAGTTGTCGCTGCACGGGACTTGACAACTCAAGTCAGAATTGCCATAAAGGAAGTCCCAGAGAAAAATATAGAGTAAGTTGAACTGCCTGGGGTGTTTTCTAACTTTTTGAATCACATTGATAGCTGGTATGATTTAAGTTATCTTAGTAACATAAAGCTGACCACAAAAAATGCAATGGTTTTCCAAATGTTATGGGTACCCAATCATGTATCATGTAAATATGACATGCTGGTACTAGTCCAATGATGATATAAAATTTTAGTTAAGGTCAGCATGGTTTATTATGTTTTCATTTTATCATTTGTTCAATTTTCTAACAAAATAAGGAACAAATATTAAATACATTATCTCGATTGTGACACTAATATGATTATTTTGTAGAGAGGTGCAGCCATTGCATGAAGAGATTCGTCTTCACTCACGACTTAGCCACAAGAATATCGTGAAATACTTGGGTTCGATCAGTGAAGATGGTTTCTTTAAAATATTCATGGAGCAAGTCCCAGGAGGTCAGTTTTCATTGTTTTATCAGTTGTCATCCTTTTTAACTCTTGGTTTCTCACAAAATCAGGGGGGAATTTGAATGGAGGTTTTGTCTATTTAATTTCTTCTCGTAGCTTTAATTGTCTATGTAGGTGAAATGGGCTATTGCAAGCATTTTGATATAATTTTTTAACAAATAAGAAACAATACAACTATTAGAAGTTTAGGGAGATAATACAGACAGTGGTTGTCATGTTTGCATAGATACTTACAAATGTGATTAATATCTTATTTTTGTTTACCTTTTTAACTTTTCTAGGAAGTCTCTCCACCTTGCTTAGGTCTAAGTGGGGGCCTCTTAAAGACAATGAAGCCACAATAGCATTCTACACTAGGCAGATCTTGGAAGGACTAAGATACCTGGTAAGGGCATGTGGGCATTATCCTAAACCTTCTTATTGTATTCCAGCCAAAATCCATGTGGAAAATCATGATACAGTGGCATAAAGATAGCAGACCACTTTTGTCACAGACTTTGGTCCAAGATTGGCTCACCATTGGTCAAAGATTGGTCCAGTCTTTTTAGTTGACATAGGCCTGTGGTTGGTCCAGTTTAGGTAGTTTACAATAGCCCAGCACAGCATGCATTTAGGAAGGTACCAATCATTGTGTTTTTTGAAAAGACAAGATACCTTTTATCTTCAGAGAGATAATCCTTTCTTTGCTCTATATTTTTAGCAATTCTAATTACAAGACTTTCATAACTGTCATAACTGCTGGAAGCAGCTTTTCATTTCCGAGAACTCACAAAAAAGGCTGTATTTTAGATTAAAGTTACTTAAATTGAAATAAAGCTGACATTTTACCCTTTGTGGAGAAGTTTTGTTCTTAGAAAACAAGGTAAATGGTGTTTTTCTGAGAAAATAGGCCTGTTATGATTATTTTTGAACTTAACAGGGCCAATATCATTCTTTGACCTATTATAAGCGATAAATATGATACTTCTGTTAGCCATGTTTCAACAAATTTTAGTGTCATGTTTCTAGTCAAGGTTAACCTGTTCTGAATCATGACTGATTTTTTCCCTCAGCTGAGATGGGCCATCTTAAGTTAATTCAACCTATCTTGACTGGAGACATGACATGGATGAACCAAATTAAATAAAGGAGACTCTGACCAGTCTCAGTGACATCGCCAGAGGACCACATTAATTAACCACTCTTTATTGTAATGATCACATAGTAAATTGTCTTATCCTTTGAAAATTCCAATGGGTGTTAAAAAAAATGGTGATATTATAGTTTTGAAAAAATCCAATCAAGTCCAAGGCCCTGTCAGAATGCAGCTCTGGTTACTGTGGTTAAGTTGTTTTTTTATTGGTGTGAAATGAGTGATGCCCAGAGATATCATAATAAGTCACAGGGGATGGCAACTGTGAAATTAACCTTTCTATTGCAGTAATTTCAGTGATATTAAAGATCAGTGCGTGGTATTGTATATCACTGTCCTGGAAATCTGTGGCTTTTGGGAGAAAACTGGAACAGTGCATTCAGAATTAGATGTTTTCTTTGTATGAGCTGTGTTAAAGTGTACTTTATTATAGTGCACATCAAAATGAATGATCAAAATAATTGAACATTTTTTTTGTAATTCCATTTTCACCTTATTTTTCTTCATCTTAATCATAAAGCTTATATAATATTGACCAAATTCTTTATTTCCTCTGTGTTACTTTTGCTCCTGTATCTGAACTCGATTATTTATGCTAGTGAAAAGTGATAGATAAGTGCTTTGTGCCAAAACATTTTCCTGACTGTCTACCTTAATTTCTCTGTGTCACTTTTGCTAAATTCAATGTCACATATATTTCAGCATGACAATAAGATCGTTCACCGTGACATCAAAGGTGACAATGTCCTTGTCAACACATACAGTGGTGTCCTCAAGATCTCTGACTTTGGCACGTCAAAGAGACTATCAGGACTACACAACTTTACAGAGACATTTGCAGGTGAGTGGTCTGAGAACTGCTCTGTGCTCATGCTGGTTAAGAAAAGCTTTGTGAAAGTTAAATAGTTTTGGTTGAGGACATGAAAAATATATTTTTATATTGTATTGTTATTTTTTTGTTAGTCTGAAAATGTAGTATTTAAAAGTGACTGAAATGAATTTGTAACCCTGCAGTATAGAATAAGGTGTCTTAGATTATATCACACACATGTAAATTACTGGTGTTAATACACATCACACATTTTGTTGAACTGACCACACTGATAGAATTATGTTATAATTATATAAACAAAAAAAAAAAACAAAATCATATTGATGATGATGATAATGATAATAATTTTATTGTGTAATTTTATTTGTCACATCTAGGTACACTACAGTACATGGCACCAGAAGTGATTGACAGAGGAGCAAGAGGATATGGTGCACCGGTAAGTTTATAGATTGTGGTCATGAGCCATTCACCTTTTAAGCCCCAAAACACTAGAGATACAAACCCAGTCAGATATCATAATGAGCATTTGCTTGGAAATGATCTGCCAAATAATGGATTTTGGCTCGCTTACTTTTTGTGTCTCTACTTAATTATCGGCAGTCATCAGAGCCTGTTAGAGGTGGAATCACTGTTCTGTTTTAGTATTAATATTGTTGTGCATGCTTTCTTTATTAATGGTACATCTGTTTAAGATAAAACTGAATGTGTATCTTTCTATTTTAGACCTTTTCTTGATTTGATTCCAGGCTTGTATATTTTTCTCATATATTTTCACTTATGTTATTGCATTCTTCTCTAATGTTGGCTTTGATGTTAATTGCTGCTAATAAACACCACTAGATTTATTGAATTCTGCATTAGAAGCAGTTAGTTCTAGAAAAAGTGAAATACACCACATTAAATTGTATCACAAACATTTACATGAAGTATTTCATTGCCAGACTGCTGGTTTGTTAAAGTCATAATTTGAACTGCTTTTTATTTATTGGATTACTATGACAACAGGCACTGCCATATAGGAATATTTGGTGAGATCTTTGAATTGGTGAAAACTGTCATTCACTTTTGGTTGTCTTTGGAAGACTGTCAAGCATTTTGTGAAAGATATACTTCTTTAAATGCATATATACTGGTAAAGATTTGATATCTGTGTGAACTTGCTCACATGAAAAAGAAGCTTCATATTTATGTCAGTATAATATGAACTACACAGCTGAAGTAGCATGAAGCCACAGTTATCAGCAATAAGGGTGCTTTCCTTGAATACTTACATCTGATCTTGTCAACAACCTTGACATACACAAGGTGTCAAAAATGTCCTTGTAACCATAAAATGAATAAATCAAGATATCAGTGAACTTCAGTAGAGATAACATTTTGTCAGGTAAATTGTATATCCGTAGACATGGCAAATCAGAATTATGGGTATCATTAATAAGGAAGAGAAAAAATTCTATGGCCAATTGATTTATACAAATAATGTGCAATTTTATCTGGGTAAGGACTTCTGATTTCTGAGATGCTCAAGGAAAGAGACTTTATGTATTGATATAAAAAGTGATGTATCCCTCAAACACAAGCAGGTGCAGTGTTTCTGTGCCCCCCATGATACAGAAAATAGCCCATTTACGTGACAGGTTATACTTAAATCTCCTCTCCTTATTTGTATGCAGATTGCAGAATCAATATGTTTATTGTTTCTGGACTGATAGATTATACTAAATGTGTGTTTCAACTTTGTAAGTTTTTATGTGTATAACATACTTATTAATATAATGTTAATTATTGTATATTTCTCTCTTACAGGCAGATATATGGTCACTGGGCTGCACTGTGATAGAAATGGCTACAGGAAAACCTCCATTCATTGAGGTAAAGGGCACTGTTTTGTATTCAGAAGTCTTATACTAAATACATGTGTGTGTATATATATATATATATAACAGGTAGTGGGCATATTCATATACATTATAATGCAGTTGAATGGGATTCTGATTGCCAAATTCTGTATCCTAGAGTGCCCATTTAACTTAAAGGTACATATGAACCGAGCATAGGTGAAGCCTGGATTCCCAGTAACACATATAAACCACTTCTACTACATTCTTATATGACTCAAATAAATTTGACATGCCAAGGGATAAACTGAATAATTCACTCGATCAGCCATAAAAGACCTTTAGACTGCTCCTTTCTTTAAATTTTTGGTTGTAAATTTAACCTACTTTCGTGACCTTCTTTCCTGCCCCATTGACATACAGCTTAGAATGCCAGCAGAAAAATTCGTTCAAACATCATTTTCGGGTAAAATTAAACAATGCCTTTTGGTAATTCTCTTAGTTATACTACTTGAAACTATATGCTGGCATTTGGTTGGTTTTTGTGACAAAAAATTGACTTTGTATGCATCTTTAATATGTGCATAGTCATATTACTCGTTTGCTTTCTCTGCTTGAAAAGGCCAATACTGTTTCAAGCCTTTTGATTAACTTTACCAGAGTTTCACTCTGACCATCCTTTAACTCAGGCTATTAGACTGTTACAAGAAGACAAAACAGTATTAATATCATAATGATGCAACAAATTGATAAATTATGATATGCTTTAAGATACTTGACAGGTAGACATGTTGAAAAATACCTTGTCTATGTTATATATATGAATGATGTGTGTGGCAGAGGAAAAAGTGGGGTTATCATCTTCCTTCATCTATCCTCCTTTTGTGTATAAGTTTTCAGGGTACAATGTCATGTAAAAAGATGCTAAATAAATTTCTCTGGATGAAATAGCCAAATTGTTTTTAGATGGATGTTATAAAACCAGTGTATGATGATATGTATTGGATTTATATATATAATACTAGCAACTGCATGCAATGTACAGGCATTGGGCCTTATGTTGACATTATTTTAGACTAAAAGTAGCTTGGTTTATTAGGTCTTCAGATCAAAGAGAAACTCCAGTATACCTAAGCAGATGACGTGCTTATGACTGATTTCAGTCTAGTGTGATCTGAGAAGATACACGTCTAATAAATTGTTCCTAAATGATTGTCTAGTTCAAGATAGGCAGCATAGCTTGGATAAGACGATGTGGGAAGTACCTCACAGACAGATCTTAGATAACACGTCTGGCTGCACTGATAGTTTTTCCCTGAAAAGGGTAGTGACATGCTAAGTGCATTTACACAGGCTGAATTCAAATAGGTTGAAAATGATTGCACTCGATAATGACTTTTTATTCGAATGTTGGCAATCCAATATTGACTTGTTGTGATTTTATCTGTCTGAACACTATAATCAAATGATTATAATAAGTAGAATATTTCAGAACCATTTGTTTATTATTTATTTATTTGTTTATTTACTTTGAGTGTGTGAATGCACTTACCTATGGACCATTTTCAATTCATATCAGATTTATACTAAACTTCAATCTCATTTGCTAATATGTTAAGATGTGTGACAGACCATTTCTCAGTTATATCACATCTGAATTTACTGGGTCAATACAGTTTTTTGATGTGATTTTTTCAAAGGCAATCTCATGTAGACTATTCCTGAGTGTTCACTGAAACTTTCTCATTACACCATAAGAGCATTGTATATATTCCTTTTGCTTCATTCTGTTAATTAGTTCCTTCAATATTCTGTTCCAGCTCGGTAGTCCAGAGGCAGCTATGTTCAAGGTTGGTTATTACAAGGCACACCCTGATATCCCCATTGAGATGACTGAGAAGGCCAAGTCTTTTTTGCTCAGGTAAGTTGTTCTGGACTGTGGGCTACAGGGTGGAGAGGGAGTGGGAGCACGGGAGGCACTGACAGAGAGGATATTTAATTTTACTTCATAGAGCATTGACATATTTAGAAAATATTTAAACAGCTTGTGCACAGTTCATGTTATGGACTAATGACATTTAAATATATCATAGTATAAAAAGGTTCTGTTTGTTATCTTCCCCCCCATTCCACCACCTCCNGGCGGTATCGCCTCTCTGATCCTCTAGTTTTAGACTAAAAGTAGCTTGGTTTATTAGGTACTCAGATCAAAGAGAAACTCCAGTATAGCTAAGCAGTCTGGCATGCTGCAGATGACGTGCTTATGACTGATTTCAGTCTAGTGTGATCTGAGAAGATACATGTCACATAAATTGTTCCTTAATGATTGTCTAGTTCAAGATAGGCAGCATAGCTTGGATAAGACAATGTGGGAAGTACCTCACAGACAGATCTTAGATAACATGTCTGGCTGCACTGATAGTTTTTCCCTGAAAAGAATAGTGACATGCTAAGTGCATTTACACAGGCTGAATTTAAATAGGTTGAAAATGATTGCACTCGATAATGACTTTTTATTCGAATGTTGGCAATCAAATATTTCAGAACCATTTGTTTATTATTTATTTATTTGTTTGTTTGTTTATTTATTTTGAGTGTGTGAATGCACTTACCTATGGACCATTTTCGATTCATATCAGATTTATACTAAACTTCAATCTCATTTGCTAATATGTTAAGATGTGTGACAGATCATTTCTCAGTTATATCACATCTGAATTTACTGAGTCAATACAGTTTTTTGCTGTGATTTTTTTTCAAAGGTAATTTCATGTAGACTATTCCTGAGTGTTCACTGAAACTTTCTCATCACACCATAAGAGCATTGTATATATTCCTTTTGCTTCATTCTGTTAATTGGTTCCTTCAATATTCTGTTCCAGCTGGGTAGTCCAGAGGCAGCTATGTTCAAGGTTGGTTATTACAAGGCACACCCTGATATCCCCATTGAGATGACTGAGAAGGCCAAGTCTTTTTTGCTCAGGTAAGTTTTTCTGGACTGTGGGCTACAGGGTGGAGAGGGAATGGGAGCACGGGAGGCACTGACAGAGAGGATATTTAATTTTACTTCATAGAGCATTGACATATTTAGAAAATATTTAAACAGCTTGTGCACAGTTCATGTTATGGACTAATGACATTTAAATATATCATAGTATAAAAAGGTTCTGTTTGTTATCTTTCCCCTCCCCCCTCCTCTAAAGTACTGCTGTTCACAATTATTTGAAATTTGTGTGTAATTGCCATATACCAGAAGAGTCCAACTTAGGTTTTCATCATATTTTTCCAAATTCTTTATTAGAAGTCATAAAGGACATTTTAAAGTTGGTGGATACTCATAACTAGATTTATATCTTACACAAGAAATATATTTTGGCATTTTTAAAGAAAAATTGTTTTAGATAATGTCAGCTTCAAAACACTGTTAATGCTACATGTGGAAGTGATCTGATGCACATTTTGCCAGACAGGTTTCATTAATATGCACTTATTGATTTAAATATTTTTTCCTCTCTGAAGAATGCTGATTACATTTTGATTAAAAAAATACTTCATTTTAGTTGACTTAATTAGACCTCTTGAAAACTTCACATAAAGATATTGTCTTTGCAGGCACTGTTAGGAAAGAAATGTATTTAATGTATTGGTGCTGTTGCACATTAACTTTATAATGCCATCATCGATTTCTAGAAAGATATGAGACACTAGATGAGATGGTGAATAATAGTGTTGATGTTGTAGTAATGAAGTATATGATGGTTGACTTAGGGTCCACGTCTTGCTTTACTGTCTGTGAATGACGTATACAGGGGCATACACATGGTCAGATTCACCATTGCATATGGATATGAACAAGCAGTGACACATGCTTGTGCTTGCATGGATGTGTACATACACACACATGCACATATGCACAGAGAGAGAGAGTGAGAGTGAGAGAGAGAAAGAGGATATGCTTTCAATCCAATACACTTAATTAAGCACAAAATGCACCTTCCATGAACATCAGGTTTCAGTTCACTATGGTATTGTTATGAATTACAACAGGATAATGCAACATGGCAGGCATGGTATAGGAGATAATAACAATCTCAATACAGGTGATTCCATCCGCAACTGCCTGTTTTCCCAATAAAAGGGATGCAGCTACAGGATTTCAGTAGTCAAAAGGGCGTGTAGACAGTTAAAAGTCAACAACATTGAAGCATCCCTTGTCTGCATTAAAGCAATGGCGACATCAGGCGTGAAATGATAGTGGGCAGCGCAGTAGCCATTGTGTTTCATATAATATGAACAGTGGATACTAAAACCCCAGTGAAGGTGGGCACTTACAAAGGGAAGGCAGTGAAAAAAAAATGACACTGACAGGTATAAACCGCTCAGATGGGTTGAGTTAGCCCATTTCTATAGCGGAGGGTATAAAGAGATGCAGTGGACAACCTTAGTATTGCCTGGTGCATGCATAAGTGACCATATGGGTGGACACAAGGAATGTACACTGAAGTTATGTACTGAGGTTATCGTGCCTAAAGTTGTTGGAGGCTCTATTTAGGCTTGTAGGAGGCAATTACCAGCTATACCAACCAATAACACTGAAGGACTATATGTTTGTCTGTCTTCATAGTGGAAAATGTCTAAATGGCCGGAAGTCACCATAAGGTACTCTTAATAGTACAGTATAACTGTGTTAGATTGATGATTGATTGCCAGATCTGTTATGAATGAATGGTAAAAAGTCATGCACGTATGAAAGGAGATAGGAGTTTTGAGATATATTTTTGATTAGTTTTCAGTGTTAATTTGGTCCATTCTAGAGGTTTAGATTTTTCACCTTTGGTTTTATTAATAGTAGTTATCGTTAACAGAACCAGTTTATATTTAAGAATGAAGGAAACAACTTTATTCATGTAAATATATTTTGATATAGGTGTCCAATAGCTATGATTAAGAATAGAAAGGATATGATATTCATGAATAACTTATTATTCGTTGCGTGCAGGTGAATGGTAGTCTGCTTAAATAGACATTGCTTGACTTGAAGTCTGTGAAAATCCATAATTGACTCAAAAGGTTAATAAGTTATAATATTCTAGCCGGTATTCTCTGGCAGAGGCATGGAGGCCTCAGTGTAGTACATGAGCACTTAAAAATGATGTTTGGCAGTAGCCAGTAGTTAAGGAGATTTGTCCTTGTTCAATGTTTATTTTAATAAATAAAGAAAAAAGTCATGCAAAGTCATACGCACATGTATACACATACACACGTGCAAATGTATGTGAACAAAGATGCATATACACGTGTGTCTATACATGTGTACACAGACGCATACACATATATATATATATACATATATACGTACACATATACGTACACACATGCATTTGCATGTGAATAAAGACATACGTACTCACATACACGTGTGTATACATGTGTACACAGACATCCATATACATGCATACATATACACACGTGTGTATATATATTTGACACAGACATGTACATACATACTCACATACACGTGTGCATTTACATGTGAACAAAGACATACACACGTGTGTATACATGTGTACAAAGACATGCCATATTTATACATACATACACACGTGTATAAACATGTATACACAGACAAATATTTGGATAAAAGAAACTTAATTGACATTTTTGTTGTCTTGATGATGTAATTTGGAGATACTTTGTAAGAATGGTTTTTTGTTTCTTTTCTACAGATGTTTCGAACCAGATCCAGAAAAGAGAGCCACGGCCACAGAATTACTGGAACACACATTTTTACAGAGGTGAGCATGCAGTATTGTCTATATTATCACCTGGTGTAGCCAAATTCACAATGTTGTTGTTGTTGCCAGCTTCAGTAGTATTGATTTTATTTCGACCTCACAGATTTTTGAGACAAAGAGTTTCCACCTAAGAGAAATTATATTGTGATATGTTCCTGGAATTTTGTAAGTTCTACTCCATGTTTGAGATATAAAGATGGAGCTTTGTGATCCTTCCTTGAGCTAAGCCTCCTTTGTAATGACAGGGCAAACTTGTTTCGAGGGGACTCAAGAACCAGGTATGGCTGTATTTTTTTAGGATGTTGCAGATGAGAAACCCCTTCGTGGAATGAATCTCTTTGTTCTTGTTGCCTTCAAGTTATTTCACTCTGTGGTCACAATAGAAATTGGAACTGATACCAGATGAAAAGAGTTAAAGTGGAAAGCAATCTTTTTTTTTACAGCAATTTCAAGCACCTTATTTTAAACACTTCATTTATCAGTTGAGAGACCTGCAAAATAATACTTAATTAGAATCAAACTCTCTTTACAAAATTAAAAAAAGTATGTTTGAATTTAGTCAGAAATTATCATATTAATAGAAGAAAGTCACTTAGTTTGCAAAGTCAGGATAATTGCTACCATTTACGTATTTGTCATCATTCAAACTGTTTAACCCCATCAATGATAAAATTTTCAGTTAAATATTTTCATTAAGAGAACATTTGATATGTTGACTGGAATTTAATGTGGCATTTTAAGTATGTTTTCAAGGTATCAGTTTAAATGGATCCATTTTTGTGTAAGTCTATAGTTTCTTTTGTGACCTCAGTTGTATTTATCTATCCAACTTTCCAGAATGGGTGATGAGTGAAATTTGGATCTTTTGCTCCAGGTTGAAAAAACCCTGTACCTTTTCCTGACAGTTCACAACTTGGATTTTTATTGAATTTGTGTATTCCACTATTTTGTTACACCTTTTGCCTTTAGGAAGGATTTTGACTGTTTTCAATTTTTTACCACTTGCAGTTGAAGTTTGAACACATATTTTGATGCATTGACTCACTTTTTGGGAGTGTTGCAATTTTGTTGTTCTCTTAGATGAGTTAGAGACTACTAAATTTACTAACATTTTGTTTACATGCTGTTAATGAGGCCAGTGCATAATGAGATAGAGCTATGGTACTGATTTGATCTATTCCATTGGATTTCATTAAGCATATTTAAATATGTTAAAACAACAAAAGGGTGAGACCCAAAAAGTCTTGCCTTTTAAATCACAGAAATGATCATATATATATATATATTGGAATAATAACAAAAAGGGTGTCTGCACTCTGAGTGCACTCTTAGCTTCCCTGTGTATTGTCAGATGCCCTCATTTATGATTTTTTTTCCTTAAGTTTTTATAGTCTTTTATCTGCCTTTGGTTTCCACATGTATACTTCTTAGTATCTTTTTCATTGAATCAAAGATGTTTTTCTATGATTTTTTGGTTTTGAAAAGTTCAGTTATCTGGAATGCTTCTTTTCCGGATAGATTGGACTCCAAAAGTGCTGCAAAATTTCAAGGCACAACAGAAAGTGCATGACATAATCACAGAAGTTGAATAGATTAAAGCATTGCCATTATATTATAAAAGTACAACCTTTGCATTCCAGTTGGCTTTATTTTGTCCTTAAAAGGCTGTTGCTTGACAGCTCATGTCATGTACTCATGTAATCTTAATGGGCTTGCTTTTTATTAGTACATACTGTCTGTACAAACTGGTGATTCTTCCATGTGACATTTCCACATTTTATCATGTCGTGTTTTTGTTTTCTGCGGGTTGTCTGTGGAATGCCATGTGATAAATGGCAAAATGGAAATTAAAGGGAGCATTAAAGGCGATTCAAGATTGTCACTGTATGTGAACTAATTTGACCCTGATGTGCCAAGCATTTAAGTGAAGACATTTCATGGGAGATTTTCAAAGAATTATCTTAAGTATAAAAAAAATCCAATGATATGTCATTCTAGTCCATGAAGGATGTCATAAACTGGTTTGAAGCTACGACAGTTCACAAACAGATGTAGGTCAAGTTTTGACTGAGAGACACAAGAAGAACTGACACATGACAGATTTAAAAAATGACATTGGACTAATGGAGTCTGATCCTTGCAAATTCTTGTACCTGAGTATCCCCCCCCCCCCCAGTCCTTTAGTTTAGATTATATATTTTTCCTTAAAGCTGGTTTGATGTTCTGTAGACATTCTTATAATTTTTTTAATCTTTAGATTACAAGGCACCCACATCTGTTAGTAGTGGTGGTTAGATGATGCAGTGTGTTCAATTTACTTTAAATCTTGGTTTGACTGTGATATGATAGTTATGTAACTTGGATTTTCTTATAATACCACATATCAAAAGAACATAATTTTCTTGTGACAAGAAGCCAACTATTTTTTCAACAAGCTTGAAGCAGCATTTTTAAACATTACCAGCAGAACATTTTTGGATATTCATTTCTATTCTCCAAATTGATTTTACTTACAGTATGCAGTTGCTTGCAAGTGTTTATTTATTTTTTACTATTGTGTTTAAGTTGTATTTTGGCATATCTGTTTTGTTCAGTGCTTTGTTTAATTGCATGGTAGAATATTTTTTCATGAACCAAATGGATAAGGGACTATTGTGTAGCATATTATTCAGCCACTGTATATATCTTTTGTGTTATAAAACATACAGAAATTAACATGTTATCACCACCACAACATAACAGAGTTGATAGTTCTTGGTGAGGCCAACAAGTTTTTGTACAGCCTTTTTTGTACAAGTTATTGTACAACCAATTTCGGTAATTAAATGTTTTTATATTGTGTTTTCAGTAACAAGAAGAAACACCACCACAAAGGGAAGTCTGCAGATTATTTACGGAGTATATCAGGTACAGCATTTATGGACAAATAGAAGATCATTGCCATTTGAATGGATCTTAAATGATTAAAGGAGATTAGTGGAGGGTTTTTCAGTAGTTGACAAAATTTTGATTTTAAAATAATTAATGAATGATTTTGAAAAAAAAATGTTTTAATTGAGTAAGGCAAAAGCATTTCAAGTGATTTCAGTAACTTATATTTTGCTCTCATTAACCCAAATCACCTACTTCATGTGCTTGAACATATTGGTATATAATGGTTTTCATAGCCACATTCCCTGCTTACCTCAGTTTTCTGAGATAATAGTTATCCATCTCTTTTTATTAGTGTATGTGTGTCATAAGAGTATTTTACCATTTGTAGTGCCTGACCCTCCTAGCCAGCAGCAAGAGACCAAGCACCTTCACTTACAGATCCCCTCTCCAAGGTATGATTTTTTCACATATCTATCTCTTTCTCATTTTTATTGGTAACCACATTAAGCTTTTCACTTCCTAAAACACTGTCTTTTAGGTCAGACAGAATTATAAAGATAAAGGAACTTTTTACCTTGCTAAAATTTTGGCAAATGTGCTGCTTTTGTCATTTGCAAATGCTGGAGTTCTGTTGATAGATAATGATGGGGTTTGATTTCTTCGATCAAATCCTTTTACCAATTGTCCTAACTAGTAACTGTGCATATGCAAGCTTTGCTGTATAGTTCCAATGACCAATATTGATAAGTGTATTGGTAACATATATTATATTTCATTACTCTGCTTAAGTAAGTCAGCAAATCATGGCTTCATGCTTGCATAAGATATTAAGACAGTTCACAGAAATTTGCCACAATTTATATGATTGGGCACTTCCCTTTTTTATATCGGAAAAAAAACTGGAAACAAAATCCCACTTGATAATGCGAAAGTTAGCTTTCTTTCTTAAATGAGTCAGAACTAGGTGTCTTTGACCACAGGTGAAGTTTCATCAGTCCTCATTTCAGGTGCCCTAGGTTAATATGGCATCATTGTTTTAATTTGTTCCAGCTCAGCCCCAGATGCCGAGACGGAGGTGGACAGCACAGACTTGGAGGCCCCTCCAGACACACCCCTTAGGTACCAGTTGCCTCTGTGCCCACATGTTATGCACCATTCATTCCACAGTTTAATGGAGTTCTAGCATCATTCTCCCTTGTGGATATAAGTAGACATAAATAAATAATGAAAAAAATTTAAAATGGAATAAAAAAGAGGAGCTATTTTATAAATCTGAATGAGACGTTTTGATATAAATCATTTTGATATGGTTTCTACTATTTGTGGCCTTTTTCATGTTACCTCTAATTGTGTTGACCACAAGTCTTATCATATATGAATAATAACTATTTAACTTTAGAAAAGGTTGTGACTTTGAGTAATGTATTTCTTGGACCACTTAGGTAATTAAAGTGGCAACTCGAAGTCTTTGGACATAAAACTCTAATTTTTAGGTTTCCCATAAACATTTTTTAGTCAATATAAATGAAAGAATGATTTTTTTCTTTTAAAAAAAGTCTTGTTTGGTGATGCTAGAACTTCATTTCATTTTTTTTCCACCAGATAATGTAGTGTATCTAGTGCTCATAAATATATAATGCTAACATTTGGTTTAAAAAGTTTCTTTTGTTCACTTTGTTAGAGCCATTTAAGTGTTTGTTGTTGTTTGTTGTTTCCATTTGTTAACAGCATGTCTGGAAACTAATATGTCTGGAAACTAAATAAATTTTGAGTTGCACATTTGTCAAAGCAATGCGAGATTTGAGGAAGGTGAAAATACTTTTTGTGAGGGTTCATATATTTCATTTGGCTTGAGATAAAATAACATTTTCTTTAGAACTTCTAGGTGTGTTACACATGTAACTAATGATACAGAAAGAAAGGGAAATGCTTCTATGTTTTTTCCAAAATTACTACTCTTTTAAAATTTTAAACCAAATTTTGCAGAATTGCAAGTAGAATATTTTATGGGCACCAGATATACTTTAACTGTATTATATGTGGAATTATATTCCCCCTTAATATAATATTTGTCCATTTACTAGTTTTTTTTTCTGTTTCAGTACATTTATTTTATTTTATTTAGTTCCAGAAAATCCCAAAACGTGCATGACAGGCATGATTGTTGGTTGATATTTACATGTGGGTTTACTGAATATTGTACATTATTCTGACTCTGATCTGAATTCCATGGTGCTTCTCCAAAACCAACATCACAAGGTGTCATATCTTAAGTCAGTTGGATCTTTGTATCATCTCCTCATATTAATAACTATTTGTTAATCATCATAATTTACTGTGCTGAAGTAAAATATTAATAGTTATTTTACATACTGAATCAATGGTATAATTGCACACCATTCAATTGAGAGTCAGTTTAATGTGATATGATGTGAACATTGCCTCATTGGTATCCTTGAAAAACATGATGTTGTCATGACCATTTTAAAATGATCTCTTATATTTGATTTTGAGGGGGGTGGGGTGTTTATTTATGTTTATAAGTTGATGGTGCACAAAGGAGTTTTGCTTCAACATTTTGTAAATATTTCCTTTTAGCATGACTGTCCATTTTGTAGATTGGTCTGCATCTAAGGCAACCAAAATGTTGAACAGTGCCAGTTTGTTTGCTGATTGTGCTCATGTGAAAAATATTTAAATGTTGAAAAACATTTTCATGGTAGCTGGGGAAAGGCTTGCATGATGGCTGCTGTCTGCTTTCACCATTTCCAAATCCTGAACAACTTCGGTTTTGCATGGGGTGCACACAATCACCCGATATAGGTGTTGATTTCAAAGGGACTTCACTCCCTTGTCCATTTACAGTATATGTTGTAGATAAATGCTGTATTTTCAAGTAGCTGATTGCACCATGTCCTTTTTTTCATGTCACAGATCTGCAAGTGACTCTGCCACTTTCTCGTCCTCATTTGGGGGTTTAAGGTTGGTATGAACTTGCACTATGATTATGTGGTCTTCCATTAAAGATACATATAAAGTGAGAGTAAGTGCCTTGTGAGGTATATAAATTATTAGTAGCAGTTTCTTACAAAACGTTCATAAAATGCCTTTAAACCAACAAAAATTACCGACATCAGAAAAAGGCTTGAAAACTGCACCTTCATACTTCTTGTTGAAATATGACCAAGTTTTCCCCTTCCAATCCATAAGGCATAGAAAGTAAGCAGAAAATATCTGTCCAAATATCATTTTCTGGGAAATAATGTTACAAAACTATGTTATTTCTTTAAATTATCCTATTTGAAGTTATGTAGTAGCATTTGGTTGGCCTTATCAGCAGTAATTTGACAGAAATACTCACTTTATATGCATCTTTAAGCCCTGTATAGTCAAATTCTAATTAAATAATGCAAGTGGATATGTATGTAGAGAGAGAGAGAGAGAGAGAGAGAGAGAGAGAGAGAGAGAGAGAGAGAGAGAGAGAGAGAGAGAGAGAGAGAAGTTATGTTTTTGTGTATACTCTAACCAGATGTGTTGTTTCTGACTTTTAGCTGGAAAAAAAACAGTTTTGTTTCTTGTGTTGTCAATATTCAGAATTATTATTTCATAGCAAATGATTTTTCTCCCAACATCAGAACTGCTTTTGCATAAATGCTTGTTTGGCTTGTGTCTTCATTTACTTATGACTGTATATTTACTGCATGTTGCAAGACGGGGAATGTAGATGTTCTGGCACTACATGGCAGCAGCATCTGGATGCGGGTGTATGTTTGTTTGAAGCTGTTGGTTATGTTAATGTAAATGTCTGACATCAAAATCATCTTTTTTATGCAAGACGGTCACTGACAAGTTGGATCTGTTTCAAATAGTTGAAAATTCTTTCATTCCATTTGAAGTTAAAGATGGAGCTCCCTTTCGTTGTTATCATTATAATCTAGCGGAGTTATAATGAAAGAATACCTTCAAAAGATCAAAACTTCTCAACAGAAATACTCCTTTTTACAGAAAATAGAGGAACTTGTCTCAAAAAATTTTCAGATCTGGTGTCTGGTGTTTGTGTATTTCCTTTGGTTATAATAATATGACCTATGTTCTGTTTATGATTTCCTAACAGAAAAGTATTTTTATAATAAAAAAAAGAAAGAAAATGGGAAATTGATAAATTTAAAAAAAAGGTAATCTGCTGAGCATCTGGCAGCAATATGCTAGTAGTGTTAGGGATTAAATCTCAGTCACAGGAAATAGTTATAGCTAAATTATATATATTACATTGAACAAGGTCATGATAACCTATTGTAACAGTACAGAAATGAATTGATCAAAATTACAAAATCTGTTCTAATAACAGGGACTAGAGAAATATTTTGGTCATAGGAGTGAAATTGAAAGCCTTGACCAGGGTGTTGTTGGTCATTGGTCTCTTCAGTCCAAGATAATTTTCTGACACTGGTTAGTGGCTAAGGAAGATTGGTGTTGTCAGGGTTTATGATCATTTTAAAATATTTTATTATATTTTTCGTTTTTTAGTCCCGAACCAGACACCTGCTCTATCACTTCACCAGACAGTACAAAGCACCTGTCATTGATGTCACCAGACGAGGCGTCCAGTCCGAGTCCCGAGACGGGGTCAGCAGGGTCAGGGTCCAGGGAGCAGGGCTTTTATCTGCTTAGGAAGGACTCTGAGAGAAGAGCCACTCTGGCTCAAGTATTAAGCAGGGATGAGGTTCAGGTGTGTATTTTCAGTGGTGATTATTGATCAAAATTATTTTCTTTAAAATTGTGTAATCAAATCCATCTTTAGAACATTGTTAGCGTGTAAGAATATTTTATACTGGAAATGCATAATTTGAAGTTCTCTGATTTTTAAGCCACTAAGTTTATCTAATTCAAGACATTCTATAAAAAACATTGGTATCTTGATATTACTGGTATGGTATTTGACAATGCACAGCATGTGTTGAGTACATTGTTCTTCTGCCATTGCCCTACTATATCTTTTCTTCTATATTCTAGATCTGTTCAAGATGGCTGACTCTTCTGCATACCGAAGCTAATATCACACAGCCAAAACTCAAAACTGTAAGTTAGTACAATATTGTGAAACTTCTTTCTTTTCAATGTAAACTACCAGTGTCACCAATTGCTCATTCATCAACAATCAAAAAAAGAGTTTCCATGAAAAGATTTTAAAAATTCTGCCAATTATTCCTTTTTTGTGTTTATGTTGAATTTCAATTTCAGTCTGATAACAAAAAGAAAGTAATTGAAGGATAAAATGACATCAATAATTGGGATTCGTTGGTGGTAGGTGTTTATATTTATTACTTATCATAAATTATTCTCTTTTTTCCAGCTACATTTATAGATGTGTATTTTTATCACTTGTCACATGTTACTTACTTTTCTAGGAACATTTATTGGTGCTTCTGAAAGGTCTACAGCAGTATGTGGTGAGCCATGACAACAAACATCTCTCTTTTGCATTTGGTACGTATAAGACCCTTACAAAAATCCTTCCAAAATGATTGACTATTTCAAATTTATTTGGAAACTGAAAAGAATATAAAGTTTTTTGCCTGAGTTCTTACAATTTTAGTTCAGAATTTAAGTCAAAAACAAAAGCTAAGTATGTTTGGTTTAAGAAGTAACTGATTTTATGATTAGAAAAATTGATACTTTGAAAATCAAAATGAACTTTGAAAATCAAATGAGGTGTATGCAGATGTTAAATATATGAAACATCTGAAATATTTTTTTATCTTCTATCCTTTACAGACAAGCTACGAGAAGAACTAGACTTTGACATGACTGCTCAAAATGAAATCCAGTTGGCACTCTATGTATTTCATGAGGCTGTGAGTATTTGTTATCAAATTGTGAAATTATCAATTACTGACACAGCAATAATAACTGTTGGCCTGCCAGTATTCTTAGCCTACAATAACAGCTAGTATAGATGTATTGGGATAAAGGAGATTATCCGTGAAGAAGCCAGTAGTTTTCCTATGTACCATTAAGTTGACTTGAACATAATTTTAGCCAAATACATGGCAAAGAACATTCTGCCTAAGTATGCTTAGTTTTAAGATAAATATTTGCTGTTGGTTATTCTCAATAACATTCATAGTTTCAGGTAATAATAAAAATTTTTCTTGTTGGTTGTTCTTAATAATTTTCATAGTTTCAGGTAATAATAATAATAATACAAAGGTGTCACAACATTTCTGTATGTTTTTTCCTTGGCAGGAAACCACCCTTAAAAATCTAGTCCACTCAAGCTTGTTAGCATGTTATAACATTTGAGATTTTTTTCCCCGTCAGGTAAACCAAACCCTAAAGCATTGTAATATCCAGCCACATTGGATGTTTGCCCTAGATAATATTACCAGAAATGCTATCCATGCTGCCATCACAGTCTTTGCTCCAGGTAAGGGAGGGAAAAATGCCTCATGAACTGTTGATTTTAAATTAGACTTTAATTCCTTTGTAAGTATAACTTTTCGCATTGAAATATTTTAATGAACATTTTATTATATTAAAGGTGATGATAGATTTTGTCTGCAGAATTATTGAAGACAGTTGTGATGTAATGGAATCAATTATGATGCAATGTATTTAGAGTGGTAATAAGCACTGTAAGAGTCAGTGAGGTGTAAATGGTACATGTATATGTAAATTAGAAGCGCATTTGGATGCAACTTTAACAGTAGTGACAAGTGCTGTACCTTCCTTATTCCTTGAGAAATGTCAAAGACAAAAGACACAGGTTTGATATTTCTCATGTTTATGCAAGATGCACAACATCTTTTAATTTGTTCTTGTGGGATCTTTTTCTTATCAGCATTCGTCTACAAAATTATTTGCTACAGAGTTGGTTTTAGTGATTCCTCAACTCTGATAATTCATATAGTTTGTGTCTTTTGTTCTGCAGAATTGGGTGCTCATATCCTTGGTCAACAGTCTGCTGAATCTTTCAATCAAGGTAAAGTACCCGTAATTATAAAAAATAACTATTTATTTAAATGGTATGTATAACATACATTAAGATTAACAAAGCAGCCAAACACATTGTCAGTAGAATAAAATGTAAGATACAGTTGCTGACTTTATAAGTTGAGTACAAAACAAAATTGTTGGTTCTGATATGGGAGATGCGGGTTTGAGCCTGCCGTTTCAAAGCTGTTTTCATCATTGTCTTGTAAATGTAGAGATGGGAGGTCAAGGTCATGTCCAAGGTGAGGAGGGGTCAACATCTGGTGTGTCCACAGTGAACTCTACCAAATCACAAAAAGCACAGCTACAGTACCAGACAGAGGCCAACAGAGAGTTATACTCTAAGTTACAGAGTTTGACAGAAGAAAATACAAGGTATGCTAAATTGGTTTTCACAGATTCCATAGTTTTTTATTCAGTTTTTGTATTGGTAGGAGTAAAGGCCTCCAGTCATTTTCTTAATTATCTCATGCTTATGTGTTTCCAGTGTGTATCCCCCAATTATATGGAAATTTAATCATGACTCCCTTTGAAAATGTGGTAAGATAAAAAGTTTTTTTTCTGTTTTATTTAGGTTATTGCAAGAATTGGTTATAGTCAATGAAGCATATCAAAATTTGCTCAAGTCATGTATCCAGGAGAAAAGAGTCAGCATGGATCATTTGAGGTAAATCATTTATTTACTATTTTGTTTTGATTTATTAACAATAATTTAATATAGATATGTGGAATGGATATTTAGATCTGCTGTTTAAACGTAGCTGGTGTGTTGAAAATTATGAAAATAAATGTTAAAAACTGTATAAGATTTGTTAATATTTAATTTAAACCAGTATGTCAGTATTTAATTTTTAGTCTAAAGATAATGCATTTCCAATAAATAAAGCTTGTTCTTAAGTGAATACTTAGCTGGATCTTTGGATGATTATTTTTAGAATGTTATCTCAACAAGAACCAGGAAGGAATGGACTACATGGTGCTGGGGGTGACTCTGGTAAATAATCTGAATTTTAACATTGTCACTGTTAACTGTGGGCCATGAGTTAGATATGATTCAGAAACAATTTTGATCAATGTTTTCCATGTGTTTAACTTATTTATGTGGAAAGACTTGTGAGATGGTGATCTCATATATTCTTTCAGCTTGTCTCATATTTACATATGAAAAATGTAATACATTCATAATATAATAAAGTTCTGGGATAATTTTAGACATTCATTTTTTAGGTTGATGCAACTTTACTTGATTGGCCTTAAAAAGAGAACTAAGTAAACTTTGAATGTTTTACCTGATATTCAGCATTTAATCTTTTAATAGCCACCCAACCACAACGTCGAGTAGATCAGGGGTTGGTGGACTGGTTGAAATCCCACGGTGCTGACCAGGAGACTGTAGACAAGGTGAACAAGGCTCATTAGGATAACATATAACATCATTGATTTTTGTTAAAATGCTGAACATAATTTGTCTTTTTTTGGGATCACTCTCGTAAAGTGAATTTTTACCAAATGCAAATCATGTTCTAGTTTGCCCAAGGAGATGTAAACTCACACATTTGTATGTTGCAGTATTTACCAAAAAAAAAAATAGGCCTTCTAAAGTGTTGATGTCAGTTTGTAATGACAGGTGTTTCACATACTCTTTTCTAGTTTGTGGAGGAACTGTACACCAAACATGATGTGCTAGAAGTCATTACGAATGAAGATCTGAGACGAATGCATATAAGGTGTGTTCTCCCCCCTTCTCCTGTAGCTACTGTATCTTTATAGATAATTTATTAAGAATTATTAGAAGCATAATGAACTAGCCAAGAATGCATATTTACTTTCAATTTTGAAATAGGATTTTCTTTATTTTTCATATAGCATAATTTACATTTATAAAGTAAAGAGATACTATAAACTGCTTTTGATTATTAAAAGAATAATAAGATTCTGAATTCAGTTGTGATACATATTTAATAATAGCACGGGGAATAGATGATCAACAAATTACAATCACAGAGGAAATATTGAATTGTATTCTTCAATATAGGGGTGGAATCCAGTGTCGTATATGGCAGGCAATAATGCACCACAGAATCTCTCGGCAGCGAAGAACGTCACCTCGGTGACAATTATGGACAAAGGCATGGACTTACTGCACTATCTTGTGAGGGAGAGATTCTATGTCAGCAGTGGGACTTGAAGTGGAGCTGAATATAGATGTTGCTGAAATTGGAAGGAAGGTGACTGCTCTTTGCTGTTTGAAATGTTTATTTATTTATGGAGATATATTGGTGCGCCTAAATGGAAAAAAACTCATCATGATTGAAATTTCTTTGTACAATGAACTGAGAAAACTGTTAGAAGCATCGTGCCTTTTGATGCTTTAACAGGGAAAGATGGTAGAAAACTGTTCAGGACAAAATCTCTTTTTTGTTTTTTGTCTGAAACATCATGTTTAGGAACTGCATTGACAGCACAAGCCCTTCACATAGTAAAATAAAGTTTAAAAATGACTGTAGTTATAACATATGGCAGCCTTAAAGTATATATTTATATATATAATGTTCGTTTTGCAATTTTGTGTAAAGATTTATTTCACAGTGGAAATTTCAAGAGGTCCTGTTGAGGAAGAGTCCATGCCTTATAGTTTTCATGTGGAGTTTCATATTTGGTTTAAAACCCAACCCATGCTTTATTTTTGTTAAAGAAATTAAAATATTGTGATAAATAGCACTGTGGCATTATAGTTATGAGTGTGGAATTTTATTAATCTTTGAATTTTTTCCAAAATAGTTTTAGGATGGCATTGTTTATATTATCAAGTGTATATTTTATTGAAAATGGATTTTTTTAGATATCGTAGAAATTTCATGTGGCGATTTGGAAGATTATGACAAGTAGACATATTTTGCTTCTCTACCTCAAATTTTGTAGGAGTACCAACAGACAGCCTTTGGATTATTGTTTAATTTGTCCTCTTGCTCAAATATTTGCAGAATGCAGTATCATTTTAAGTCATTGAATGCTAACTTATTGTGTAAATGTTGAAGAATTTTATTTTAGAGAAAAAATGTGCAGTAAGTATAGGCTGGACTAGTGTGCTGCTCACTTAGGAAAAACACGGAGAAAGGTTACAATCCCGAGAAAATTATCTTTTGCTTAATTGGTTCACTGGCAAATCCAAAATATTTGTAAATATGTACATAATGAAATGATTGAGATAAACATCATGATAGGTGCTTTGTAGTGAAGTGCACATTATTAAATAGTGTAAAGGGAATTCATTACAAAAAGGACTGTGATTGTTTTAGTAGTTTTCACCCTGGTTTGAAAGCCTATCTTTGTCTTTTTTTATAAAGGCACAAGTCATTTTAGAGCCTATATTTTTAAGCTCAAAATTTTACAAAGCAAACCCAGCTTGAATACCATGGCTTAATCATGACATGTTTTGCCATTTGGTTTTCTACCAGTATCGGGGAATTTTAGCACCTTCATGTGGTAAAAAGTATTTACTCTGCCCATTTTCAAGTTATTTATTGATGGTGATCAGGCCAGTCATTGCATTGGGTGGTGCCAAGTCAATTTCTGTTAAATTTCAATCATTTATATAAGTTTGTGTATGATTTAATGGAGAGAGTAAAGTGTGGACACTGTAAAGCTCTGGAAAATTTGTACACCACATTTGTAAGTTATTAATCGCAATTTAAAGGAGAGTTGCACGTTTGAAGACTACCTTGACTTGCAGCATCCCGAGTCTGGTATTTTGCGTTTCACAGTGTACATTTGTTATTTACTGACTAAGAGATGCCATAAATCCAACTTCAGTGTTTTGACTAAATATTTATTTGTATTTTCTCAGTAATGTGACAAGGTTCTATATATTTGCATACAAAGTCCAATATAATGTTTTTAATGACAAGCTATTGCAGAAGCATAATGTTGGAATAAAATGTGCGGTATATATTTAGTACCAAATAAACTTAGCTAAAGCTGCCTTTATATTTGCTTTTCAGTTTACTTAATCTAAACATGCAAACTACTTTGCTTTAAGAGACAAAAACTTGAACAATTGTCTTTGTGACCACACATTGAAAGGAATACAAGAAAGCATTTGAAAATAGACAATGTCTGCCATGATTCTTCAGTGAGATTTCAAGTCATATTATGAATTCATTTGGACTCTCCCTTCATTTAACTTCCGAATAGAACCCATATGTTACACATTTTGACAGTTGAAATGTATAGCATAAACAACATTTATATGACCTTATTCTCTGTAGGTGCAATTTTCCAGTGTGATTATAAAATGGTTTCAGACTGACTTAGATCCCCCCATCTCACAACAGCAGCATTGACACCGAGATTCACAGGCTCCTAATATCATATTTTTAACTGAGTTATAGTGTACACAAATCTATGCAAGTTCAGCTGTATACTGTAGCTGTATTTGTGATCTGGGATTAGGATATTTCTATTATTTGCATGGACAAGCAACCTCAAATTACATAAAAAATTGTGATATTTGTATAAAATATCATGGAGTGCTAAAATGTCCATAGAATCCAAATTGTCTACCATCTACATATACATGCTTCTATCAAAAATATTGTAAAAGAAAAAAGCAACTAGTACATAATAAAAACATTATTTTAATAAGATAAAAGTCATTTTATCAGACATACAAAACACATCTACAAAGATTCTTTCAACTTGGGCGTTAATATCTTGATAATAACTCTAACTAATAATTTTATTATCAAAAATTGCAATCATAAAGTACATAGAATTGGCAAGCATGTTTCTAAATTGATCACTCAAAATCAGTTCAGATTCAGCAGTCTTAAATTGGTCTACAAATATCTGAAACTAATCCAAGTCCTGCTGAGTACTGGTCTTAAAGGAGGTAGGTGTGAAATACTCTCAATTCTTCTTAAGGCTGGGAGGTACGGGGCGAGTATAGAAGAATCCCCCTGCAGCTGCGTTTATGAAAATAACAGATTGAGCCAGCATTACGATTGCCACAGCCTGGAAGCTCAACATGCCCTTGTACACTTCCCACAGCAATAACAGCCACATTATCAGCCCCAACTGGAATATAATGCAGAATGTTAAAATGACAACTTGATCAAAATAACATAATTTTTAAACAATAGAATTTTAACAGAAGTTTGTAAGAAAGTCGCTTTACAGGAGTGGATTTGAAATACAAATTCAGAAATTTTAAATTCAAAGGCCAACACATATTTTTAGTACAAAAGCTCATATTGTTAGCCATAAAATGATAATCTAACATCAAAATTCAGTGCATAATTTGTGAAAAAATAAGAAATAAGGGGGAAAAGCTTCAGCCTGTCTCAGCATACACATCTAGCAGTGATTGGGAAGGTTCAAACCACCCATGGGACAATGGCCCCTCCTGGGTCACCCTTAATGGGCCATTTTGCATATCAATGGGCAATTGCTTGACATTTATGGGCCATTTTTAAACATGACAAATATATTTGAAATATCTGTATCAATATTTTTGGGAATAATATGATAAGGTTTTGCAGTT